TCACCATTGGTGGTGCTGAAGAAGCGACTCACGTCAAGAGAGTGAGTCGCCACAGTATAGCAAATTAATGATCGTAGAGTAAAACAAGAACAAGGTAGTCGTTAGGAGAACATAAATGGTATTTGGCAAGTACAGCTACTTTTGCAAAGGTACAATGCCACTTGATGCCTTATCACATTATTGAGATCCTTTGATTGGTCAGGCCACTTTATTCAAGCCTGGGATTTGGGCAATATGTAACAAGAAGACGAAATCCTATTCAGCTAAGCTGACAGCAACTTTTTTGTACAAGTATGTTTCGTGATGGAGTCGTTATCTTGTAATCTCTACAAAATGATGGTGTACTACAAGACGTTTTTTCTGTCTTAAAGAAGACGAGAACGGCACGTGGTCTTCTACGCCTAATGTTGTTGCTGCCTAAGTTTTCAATTGTAAGTGTTTGTTTGATAAACGACTTCGTGAAACCTCGAGAAAAAGAGAAAAAGAGCTACTCGATGATATCTACCCCCTGCCTCTCTCACAACTCAATCATAGCGCTGTCTACCACTCCGTCAATGAGATCCCTGATACGCTTGATGCTCTCTTCACTTCCTTCCACACGAGACAACATCTCAATAGCGGATGCCCATTCCTTCACAACTGTCACTTTCTCCATCAACGCAGCGAAAGCTCTCACCTTTTTCTTCTAAATATGTTATGTATCGTTCAGTGTCAAACTGAGTCATCATGCCACCGGATAAGCCTCTTACTTGGCCCTTCAACCGAGCTCTGCGCGATCTTCAGTCGTAGACTTTAGGTGTAGACTTCACTCCTTGTCAACTCTAACAGATGGCACGCTCGATGATCTTCGCGAGTCGACTGCCCATGTCCTTCTGGGGCGATGCGGCTGAATCTGCAGCATACATTCTCAGCCGCAGCCTGCCAAGTGCGAACGCGAAGCGCGCGTCACCATTGGTGGTGCTGAAGAAGCGACTCACGTCAAGAGAGTGAGTCGCCACAGTATAGCAAATTAATGATCGTAGAGTAAAACAAGAACAAGGTAGTCGTTAGGAGAACATAAATGGTATTTGGCAAGTACAGCTACTTTTGCAAAGGTACAATGCCACTTGATGCCTTATCACATTATTGAGATCCTTTGATTGGTCAGGCCACTTTATTCAAGCCTGGGATTTGGGCAATATGTAACAAGAAGACGAAATCCTATTCAGCTAAGCTGACAGCAACTTTTTTGTACAAGTATGTTTCGTGATGGAGTCGTTATCTTGTAATCTCTACAAAATGATGGTGTACTACAAGACGTTTTTTCTGTCTTAAAGAAGACGAGAACGGCACGTGGTCTTCTACGCCTAATGTTGTTGCTGCCTAAGTTTTCAATTGTAAGTGTTTGTTTGATAAACGACTTCGTGAAACCTCGAGAAAAAGAGAAAAAGAGCTACTCGATGATATCTACCCCCTGCCTCTCTCACAACTCAATCATAGCGCTGTCTACCACTCCGTCAATGAGATCCCTGATACGCTTGATGCTCTCTTCACTTCCTTCCACACGAGACAACATCTCAATAGCGGATGCCCATTCCTTCACAACTGTCACTTTCTCCATCAACGCAGCGAAAGCTCTCACCTTTTTCTTCTAAATATGTTCTGTATCGTTCAGTGTCAAACTGAGTCATCATGCCACCGGATAAGCCTCTTACTTGGCCCTTCAACCGAGCTCTGCGCGATCTTCAGTCGTAGACTTTAGGTGTAGACTTCACTCCTTGTCAACTCTAACAGATGGCACGCTCGATGATCTTCGCGAGTCGACTGCCCATGTCCTTCTGGGGCGATGCGGCTGAATCTGCAGCATACATTCTCAGCCGCAGCCTGCCAAGTGCGAACGCGAAGCGCGCGTCACCATTGGTGGTGCTGAAGAAGCGACTCACGTCAAGAGAGTGAGTCGCCACAGTATAGCAAATTAATGATCGTAGAGTAAAACAAGAACAAGGTAGTCGTTAGGAGAACATAAATGGTATTTGGCAAGTACAGCTACTTTTGCAAAGGTACAATGCCACTTGATGCCTTATCACATTATTGAGATCCTTTGATTGGTCAGGCCACTTTATTCAAGCCTGGGATTTGGGCAATATGTAACAAGAAGACGAAATCCTATTCAGCTAAGCTGACAGCAACTTTTTTGTACAAGTATGTTTCGTGATGGAGTCGTTATCTTGTAATCTCTACAAAATGATGGTGTACTACAAGACGTTTTTTCTGTCTTAAAGAAGACGAGAACGGCACGTGGTCTTCTACGCCTAATGTTGTTGCTGCCTAAGTTTTCAATTGTAAGTGTTTGTTTGATAAACGACTTCGTGAAACCTCGAGAAAAAGAGAAAAAGAGCTACTCGATGATATCTACCCCCTGCCTCTCTCACAACTCAATCATAGCGCTGTCTACCACTCCGTCAATGAGATCCCTGATACGCTTGATGCTCTCTTCACTTCCTTCCACACGAGACAACATCTCAATAGCGGATGCCCATTCCTTCACAACTGTCACTTTCTCCATCAACGCAGCGAAAGCTCTCACCTTTTTCTTCTAAATATGTTATGTATCGTTCAGTGTCAAACTGAGTCATCATGCCACCGGATAAGCCTCTTACTTGGCCCTTCAACCGAGCTCTGCGCGATCTTCAGGCGTAGACTTTAGGTGTAGACTTCACTCCTTGTCAACTCTAACAGATGGCACGCTCGATGATCTTCGCGAGTCGACTGCCCATGTCCTTCTGGGGCGATGCGGCTGAATCTGCAGCATACATTCTCAGCCGCAGCCTGCCAAGTGCGAACGCGAAGCGCGCGTCACCATTGGTGGTGCTGAAGAAGCGACTCACGTCAAGAGAGTGAGTCGCCACAGTATAGCAAATTAATGATCGTAGAGTAAAACAAGAACAAGGTAGTCGTTAGGAGAACATAAATGGTATTTGGCAAGTACAGCTACTTTTGCAAAGGTACAATGCCACTTGATGCCTTATCACATTATTGAGATCCTTTGATTGGTCAGGCCACTTTATTCAAGCCTGGGATTTGGGCAATATGTAACAAGAAGACGAAATCCTATTCAGCTAAGCTGACAGCAACTTTTTTGTACAAGTATGTTTCGTGATGGAGTCGTTATCTTGTAATCTCTACAAAATGATGGTGTACTACAAGACGTTTTTTCTGTCTTAAAGAAGACGAGAACGGCACGTGGTCTTCTACGCCTAATGTTGTTGCTGCCTAAGTTTTCAATTGTAAGTGTTTGTTTGATAAACGACTTCGTGAAACCTCGAGAAAAAGAGAAAAAGAGCTACTCGATGATATCTACCCCCTGCCTCTCTCACAACTCAATCATAGCGCTGTCTACCACTCCGTCAATGAGATCCCTGATACGCTTGATGCTCTCTTCACTTCCTTCCACACGAGACAACATCTCAATAGCGGATGCCCATTCCTTCACAACTGTCACTTTCTCCATCAACGCAGCGAAAGCTCTCACCTTTTTCTTCTAAATATGTTCTGTATCGTTCAGTGTCAAACTGAGTCATCATGCCACCGGATAAGCCTCTTACTTGGCCCTTCATACCGAGCTCTGCGCGATCTTCAGGCGTAGACTTTAGGTGTAGACTTCACTCCTTGTCAACTCTAACAGATGGCACGCTCGATGATCTTCGCGAGTCGACTGCCCATGTCCTTCTGGGGCGATGCGGCTGAATCTGCAGCATACATTCTCAGCCGCAGCCTGCCAAGTGCGAACGCGAAGCGCGCGTCACCATTGGTGGTGCTGAAGAAGCGACTCACGTCAAGAGAGTGAGTCGCCACAGTATAGCAAATTAATGATCGTAGAGTAAAACAAGAACAAGGTAGTCGTTAGGAGAACATAAATGGTATTTGGCAAGTACAGCTACTTTTGCAAAGGTACAATGCCACTTGATGCCTTATCACATTATTGAGATCCTTTGATTGGTCAGGCCACTTTATTCAAGCCTGGGATTTGGGCAATATGTAACAAGAAGACGAAATCCTATTCAGCTAAGCTGACAGCAACTTTTTTGTACAAGTATGTTTCGTGATGGAGTCGTTATCTTGTAATCTCTACAAAATGATGGTGTACTACAAGACGTTTTTTCTGTCTTAAAGAAGACGAGAACGGCACGTGGTCTTCTACGCCTAATGTTGTTGCTGCCTAAGTTTTCAATTGTAAGTGTTTGTTTGATAAACGACTTCGTGAAACCTCGAGAAAAAGAGAAAAAGAGCTACTCGATGATATCTACCCCCTGCCTCTCTTACAACTCAATCATAGCGCTGTCTACCACTCCGTCAATGAGATCCCTGATACGCTTGATGCTCTCTTCACTTCCTTCCACACGAGACAACATCTCAATAGCGGATGCCCATTCCTTTACATCTATCGCCTTCTCCATCGACGCAGCGACAGCTCTTGGTGAACAATGCGGTTGAGATCATGATTTGTAAAGTATACCAGCACATTATTCGTATGAGTGCAGTGTGTTAATTACTTCTGGATGCTATGGTGGTCTATGTTCCTTTGAGCGGAAATAGGTACATAGACACCAACATAGCATTCTTGCTTGGAAAAAGCGTTACACAGTCGCTTGCGGTGTTATTGGCTGCCCCTTCAGCAAAGTCCATAAACTCTTGAAGAGTTCCCGATTGCAGGTGTAACTAACCACAGAAATCGCTTGGCTTTGCAAGAAAGAGGTATAATTTGCCAGCTACGGAAGCCAAAAATCAAAGTCAATGTATGCACCGGACTCTGACTATCAGAGAAAGTAGCTACCACTTCATACATGTAAATTTTTTAATTTGCTATACATGTATTGCACCTGAATTATACAGTAGTATCTTAAATTGAATCATGTTTAACGTTTTTCACGCTAATTTTTTTTCTAAAACACGGTAACCTTTTTGTATCTTCTTCATTCTCAGATCTGCCCAAGATCTAAAGTGACCATCACTCTAACCTCATGTCTGCTATTCCCGAAGTATTCAAGCGTCTCCCAACATGCGTCGTACCACAAAAGGTAACTATCTCTAGTGTTATTCTCTTCCTCTTTCTCTTGTCCTTCTTCTTATGCTTCTCTCATCTCTATCCGATACTTCAATATTACAGTATCACGTAGATTATGAACTCATTGACTTGCTCAATTTTCGCTTTGAAGGCTCCGAGCGCGTCATACTGTACATAGATGAGGCAACACGCGTCATCACTTGTCATGCTGTGGAGCTCTACGTATTCAACGTGTCGGTCAAGGACGCCACGTCTTCATGGAAGACGCAACAGGCCCAAGAGATTCATTACGAGAGCAAAGACGACACCATATCGTTCCATTTTGCTGAGCCATTGGTTGCAGGCTCTCACGTGACACTTGAGTGCCAGTTTCATGGCTTTTTGAACGACCAAATGAGGGGATTTTACCGCACAGAGTATGAGAATGAAGAGGAGAAACGTGTTCTTGCAGTCACGCAGTTTGAAGCCTGCGATGCTCGTCGTGCTTTTGTCTGTTGGGATGAACCAGCACTTAAAGCTACTTTTGAGATCTCGATGGTCACAGAGACGGACCTTGTGGCTTTATCGAATGCCCATGTCGTCGAGACACTTGTGAGACCAAAAAAGAATGCTCATCTTTGCAAGAAAACGCGCTCAAATGTTCGCGAGACCATGGAGAAAGTATGGAAATTTGCAGAATCTCCAGTCATGTCGACGTACCTGGTAGCCATGGTCGTGGGAGAGTTTGATATGATCTCTGATCTGACCAGGGAAGGAGTGGTGGTGAATGTATACACTGCGCCTGGACAGAGTGCGCGCGGACGCTTTGCACTTGGTGTGGCAACCAAGGCTTTGACGTTTTTTTCCGAGAACTTTGGCATTCCGTATCCAATGAAGAAACTCGATATGGTGGCGATTCCAGACTTGCGGGGCGCTATGGAAAACTGGGGACTTGTGACGTACACGGAAACGTTCTTGCTGGTCGACGAGAAACTCAGCAGTCATGAGATTAAGGCCGACGCTGCACGCGCTATTTGTCACGAGCTGTCGCATCAGTGGTTCGGTAACCTTGTGACGATGAAATGGTGGACAGATCTTTGGCTCAAAGAGGGCTTTGCACAGTTTATGGAGTTCGATGCTGCGCATCATATTTTTCCAGAGTGGAAGCTGTGGGACACTTTTGTGCAAGATATAATGCTCAGGTCTGCATTTGTAAAGGATGCCATGGTGTCTTCGCACCCGATTGAAGTAGAGGTAAACCACCCTGATGAAGCAGATGAAATTTTTGATGCTATATCGTACAACAAGGGATCAAGCGTGGTGCGTATGCTATCGGAGTATCTCGGCCGTGATAATTTTTTATGCGGCGTACACAATTACCTTGTGAAGTACAGCTACACTAACACCGTGACAGAGGACTTGTGGGAGGAACTGGAAAAGGGATCAGGCCAAACGTTGAGAGATATGGCTGATACATGGACGAAGCAGGTGGGCTTCCCGTTGATTACGGTGAAACAAAATGATGATGGCAAATGCGTACTCGTACAAGAGCGTTTCTTTGCGGATCCGAGCTTGAGTACTACCGACGATACGATTTGGGATATACCACTGACGCTTTGCACATCCGACGACCCCAACGCTATTAAGCGTCTTGGAATTTGGGATGCTAAAACGTCGTCTCTGAAGAAATCGACGACGGTCATAACACCGCTAGCAGCTGGTGATGACATTAACAACAGAATCCACGTACCAGCAGGATGTAAGGGCTGGATCAAATTGAACCCGAACCAAGCGAGTTTCTACCTCGTGAACTATTCCCCGACTTTGTGGAAGCGTCTCGAGCTCCCGGTGAAGGAGCAACTCCTTGGTGTCTCAGATCGTGTCAGCCTGTTGAACTCCGTGTTTGCGTTTGCTCGGGCAGGTGTACTGGGCTTGCCCGTTTCGTTGGACTTTACAAGCACGTATGTTGACGAATCTGCATCCCTGTGCTGGAAAGAGATCGCGCACAATATGGAATATTACTCCAATCTGTTTCGTGAAGAACCATTATACCCAGAGCTGCAGCAGTATATTCGCACTCTATTTGCACATGTGATGAGACGATTGGGGTGGGATGCTGACTCATCAACGCAAGCTGACGCTGACGAGGGCGAGTTTCGTAAGACAGTCATCTACCGGCTAGGTCTTGCTAATGACCAGGAGGTGATCAAGGAAGCGAAGAAGCGCTTTCACGAGTATATTGGTGGCGATCCGGCTGCACTTTCGGGCGATCTCCGTGGTTCCGTATTCGATATCGAAGCTACGTACGGCGACGCGTCCACCGTCAAACTGCTGCAGGACTTGCACAACAAGAGTGATTTTGCTGAGGAACGCAATGACTGCCTCAAAGCGATGGGATCAGTAGTGGACGCAACAGCAAAGCTTCAGGTCTTAGAATGGGCAGTGAAGAACGTTCGATCTCAAAACATTCATTACCCGTTTATCAGTGTGGCTAGTGACAAGGTTGGAGCCCAAGTGGCGTGGCAGTACGTACAAGACAAGTGGGCCTTCTTGTCCAAAAAGTATTCGGCGATGACGCTAGGCTCCATTGTATACGGAGTCGTCTCTCGCTTTCAAAGCGAGGTGATGGCTGTAGAGGTAGAAGCCTTCATGGTCGGCAAGGATACGTCAGGATACAAGCGTCGTATCGATGGTGCTTTAGAAGTTGTCCGTCTTAAGAGTGCTGTGTTTTGTCGTGACCGTGAGATCTTGGCAAAGTGGCTGAAGAAGCGAGCTGCATAAGACGCAAGTTGTTTGCACGTTCGTGGTCAGGTTTTTAAAATTGGCTGCTATGCCTTGCTTACATAACTTTGTTGTCTGAACACTTATCGTTGAGCTAAGTGTCTACTTCTCCAGTACGATACCATACCGTCACTAATCCATACCATTACTAGCATCTATTCCAGTGTAGCACAACGTAGAGGATCTTTAACATGTTCGCCTACGAAGAAGACTGGCTTTAACATGTTTGCCAACCAAAAAGACTGGCAGACATTGGAGTCCCCGGCACGAACGAGCGTTCGAGTTCTTGTGCATTAAATAGTTTGGCGCTCGTCGGATCTAGCGCCAAGTGGCTAGCTGGCTGCACATCAAGCGACAACTAGAAAGAAGTACGGGAAAAAAGACAAAAGAACAAGATAAAGAAGTCCAGACAGTGCTCCAAGGAACAGCGCAACGTGCGTATTTTCCTCCATCACCTTTTGAATTGGCTGCAACACATTGTCTACCGTCGATTAGCTCGACGTCCGGTAGCTCTTTTTTCCGCCTCTTTCTGAAAGGTCCAATTTACGTGAATGACACTGCCCAAGATCTCCTGTCCATCCAGTCGTTCCATGGCTGCCTTGGCGTCCTCAAAATGCTCGAATTCTACAAGTGCGTAGCCCTTGACAAAGCCCGAACGTCTGTCGAGGTTCAAATGTAGATCTTTGACCTGCGCGTCCTCTCCAAATGCGTCCATCACGTCCTCCTCCTGTGCTTCTTCATGAACTCCAGTAACAAACAAGATCCAGCCTTCTACGGAGCGAAGAGCGTTTGAATGGTCTCGAGACGACAACGATGACAGAGGCTTGAGCTTTTCAAACACACCGCTCTCGGCCGGATAACGACTCACGTCCATGGCCGCAGAGCCAGAGCCACGGCCTTTTACTACACGTTTATCATTATCATCGCGACGTACGACGTGTGGCTTCTCCTCTTCCTCTTCGACGGCCATGGCCGTGTCACTCTCGTAATCGACTTCATCGGCCATTATTCCCTAGGTCGCTAAAGTGATAATGACAAATCATTGGTTAAAACACTTGAAAAGTAAACAAATGATTGGTTAAAACACTTGACATGGCTACATGGAAGGTAGCCACTTTGGTAGGGAAGTTGATGGAGCTAGTTCGTTATATCGCTACTCCTTTAGTTAAATACCTCCAAGACACTTGAAGAATTGTTCTTGCTTGCATCTTGTCTGCACAATGGGCGGTGGAAAATGAATGTGGTGATAGAATAATCACACATCCCTGGAAGCGCGAAAACGTTGTAAGGAGCGTTGCACTGGCTCGCCTTCGTTGAGAGCTTCAATGATTTTGTTGTCTTGGTCCTCGATGATCTCCGCTCGAGTAGCAATGTCTTGAGCGCGTTCGGCTGGGATAACAATAACGCCATTGATGTCTCCACGGATAATGTCATTGTGACGCACGACGCAGTCAGCAATTAGTACGGGGCCATTTATTTCTGCGATCGTTGTCGCTCCACACTCGCCGTGCACCGATGTGCCCATTGCAAATGCTGGGAAGTTCATTGTACACAACTCCTGCACATCTCGTACACGTCCGTCCGTCACGACACCTGCCACATGTCGCGCCTTGGACGCCGTTGCCAACAACTCACCAAACACTGCCATTGTACTCCTCGCTGGTGCACTAATGACTACAACCTGTCCCATTTCCGCCGTGTCCATGTAGTCATATGACCCACTACCAGCCAAAGCTCCGGTAGTCGGCATTATCTTGACCGTCAATGCAGGTCCGCAAATATTCATGGCCAAGGGGGCGTCGTAGCCTCGAATAAGGTTAACATCCACCAAATGTCCTTGGAGCTTCATCTCCACCATGGCATCTCCAATAGTACACGTTGACAGCTTCGCCAAGCGTAATAGTACCTCAGTAACATCCTGTGGAGGTTCACCTTCCGACTCCAACATGTTGGTGAGAAGTTCGTGGTCAGACCGTTTGAGAGCCAGCGACTGAGCTGTCTCGACCCCTGCTGCTGCGTAGGCGTCAGGACTTGGCACTGGAACTACGAGCGATGCTACCGTAGCCGCCATACTTTCCGATGAGTCGTCGGTCTCCTTCATCTCATCACTAGTCTCCGCTTCTTGGCTATTTCCATTCAGATGGATACTAGCAGAAGGAAGTCGGATGACTTTTCGAATCCGCTGGTTGGTCTGAAAGCTTGGAGCGCACGACATCTTGAGGTGATCGGCCAATCGTGTGGCATTACTCGCATACTGTTTGTCGCATTTCTTGCATTGATAGCGTATCATTCCCTTCTGACCGGCCTCTGGTTCCAAGCGGATAAAGTAATCGTACACATTACTTGGTTTTCGACCCATGATTTTGATGGACAATGTAGTTTACAACGATTCGTGACGGAGAAGATATCGGCGAAAACAATTATAATTTTTAAAAATATCATTTCGACATTGTATTCGCCATAAATTATATTCTCATATTTAATTTTGTGTAATTTATTAGCTCACTAGCCAATTATAAACGCTTGTGGTCATTTTAAATCCGTGGCGATTAATTGCATCAAAATAAGGACGTGAGACCAAAATTTCATGTCGACGTCGCTACAAGAAGCTATTAAGTTGCAGGAGCGTCTGTCCAAGCTCTCTGTCTGCGCAATTGCAGATGCCATGGTAAAGCTGCAGATTCAGTGCCATCTCATAGACGTAAATCTAGTACGGGGTTACTCGTCCCCTTTAAACACGGAAATATGTGGTCCTGCCTTTACGGTGCAAGTGGTTCCAGTCAATGGCCCCGCTATAAAGAAGCTACCGTATCATTACGTGGACAAGATTGAGAGAGGTCAGGTGATTGTCATTAGCGCCCCCAATGGCAGCACTTCCAGTGTCTTTGGTGGACTGTTGGCCACGGCTTCAAAGGTTCGAGGTGCAGCGGCTGTCGTGACGGACGGTCGTGTGCGTGACGTGCAGGAACTTTGCTCCATGGGGTTCCCCGCATTCTCTCGAGGAACGTCAGTGCACGGTCAGCAAGGTACTACGACAGTGGTGGACGTAAATTGTCCCGTGGTAGTCGGCAATTGTGTCGTGCGTAACAATGACGTTATCCGAGGTGATGTGAATGGCGTTCTAGTCATCCCTCTTGAACGTGCAGCTGAAGTGGCAGCGAAAGCAGAGACCATTGAAGAACAGGACAATAAAGTGGCGCATGCAATGAAGCAGGGCACAGGACTGCAACAATCATTCAAGCTCTTCCGCTCAAAGCTGTAGCGTGGTTGATGCAACTCACGTAACTTCCAGGCAACTTCCCATTTAACGATATCAGTCGCGTATACTTAATCAGGTAGAAATGACATCAGTTTTTACTTGAAGATACCGCGCTTCAAACGTTCTCTCTGGAATCGTCTGGAGCTGGTGGAGCGCCTGCGACAGCTCCACGCTGGCCACTAGACACTTGCGTAGCTCCATTGCGCTCTGCTGACTCTGAGCCTGCGTGGCCAAGTATTGTAGTGCATCGTCCAAGTAATCGTGACAGTCGTGAACGCTCACAACTTGAAGCTCCCTCACAACCACAGTGTTCATGTCCATGGCGATAATCGATGGTGGCTGCAGCTCCAGTCGTGACCGATCCACAAACACCACACAGCCCATGGACTGCACTAGCGACGTTGCAAACTCAGCGGAAGCTTCAGAGCCAACAAGATCCACGACAGCGTCCAGTGCCAGCTCGGTCTGTTGCGCCAGCACGTGAGCAATAGCAGCGGGCTGAAAAATCTCTAAAGGAGTGAGTGAGGCGTGCTGCAACCACACGGAGCTGCTGCTGGTTGGAGACGTGGAGAACACGTGCAGATTCTGTGCCGGATACTGCACGTCTTGGTGCAGCAGCCGCGTCAGCAGGTTGGAGAGGATGGTGGCCGGTCCGTCGGATAGGATCGCGATGTTGGTCACGTGCCGTCGCTGCAACTCGCTGACGATGGAGAGAACAACTGACATGTCGTCAGCCAGTAGTGCCAAATCGTCGGGTATGGTGGGAGGAACTATGGACAGGTTAGCCACTGGCAGCACGATGTATTCAGCGAGTGTTCCACACGAAGCACTCACGCCGACTATACATGATGAGGTGCAATCTTGTCCATGGTGAGTCGAATTTTTTAGCTGCTCCTGTTCTTGCTTTTCAAATGGTATGACTGGCTCACGCGTGACATACGGTGATGCCACGACCTTGTCGGAGACCTTGACAGAATCTCCAGCCGTGACTTCTGTCTGGTTGGAAGTCAACGACTGCATTTCACTGACGACGCCGACAAAAGACCTACCCAACACTCCACTCCTGCCCAGAATTTTTCCACGACAACTTTGCGCATCCAAGAGCGATGCTGTGGCACGTAAGACACGCACTTTCGCTTCGCCTTTTCCAGCAATGTCGCAAGCAACACGACTACACGAGATTAACGGTGAGTCTTCACTGCAGCGACATGTAGCTCTTAACGCCAACATTTCCACCATCAAGATCACGTCATCACCACTTCCTGCCATTGTGTCTGTATTATGAAGACTCGTCAACTTGCTGTCAGTCGTGCCTGTCACCAACGTTCCCAGTATTTGCTGCAGTTCTTCGCTCTTTGGTAAACGAAACTGCTTATTAAGCACCTCAATGAACTCCCGAAACCCAGAGTTGTCAATCAGATTCATTGGGAGCTGTTCCTGTGCAAGCCATCGAGCCAGTACCAGCTTGGCGTCTCCAGTTTGAAGCAAAGTATCTTCCACCTGTCCCACTGATTGTCTGGTCGCCGCTGCCTTCTCCTGTTGTGAACGTCGAGTCCTGGATGCCAAAACACTTCGTGGTACTTGGTTGCGCTGCTCCAGCAACTGTAGCAATGCGCCGGCATGATGTCGTTCCAGATGGCGCGTGAGATTGTGCGTCTTGTCCTTGAGCTTAGCAGCGCACAGGAGACACAAGCGCGACGTGACGTCTTCCCGGGCCAAATTTGGGTACAAGTCCCGAATATCCACTGCTTGAATACGCGCGACTGTTTCAACCTCCGTCTCATCCGCCATTAAAACTTCAAGACAGTTGTAATGGTACTGCTTCTATGGACCTGCACTATTGCAAAGTGTGACTTTGATCTTGAGAAATCAGCCACGGGTAAAATCAGCATGAGAATTAGTTTTTTTATGCTTCGGTAGAGTACTGATATAATCATAATTCGAAAATAGTAAATAGTTTTAGACGCGTATTCTTATAATACTAATATATTTTCGATAATACTATTTCGATGCACTGATATAGTGGTCTTACGAGTCGGGACGATTATCTTGTCGCTTCTGGTGGTTCATGTCTTTTGAAGCGCTTCTGTAGCTGCAAAATAGTTGGCATTATGAACATGTCGCCTAAGCTACGTCCACTCCAATATCTTGTCCTTGACAGAGAGTTGTAGACTATCCCCAATCGAACTAATCTCTGGGTTCATATGTATGCAAAAATCTCTCTTTGTCTTCCTTGAAATCGAAAGTTTAGTTGCATACTTAATGGGACCCATTGATCCGCTGATCATCGTCACCATAAGAATACATGACTCAAAAGTTACTTGGCATGTTGAGTCAATAGGTTCAGATCTCGCGAACGGATCTCTCTCTGGCGCGATTGTTTTCGTTTACGCACATCGAACTGTTCGCTTATTTGTCTCGATTGATGCTCTGATTTGACATACGTCGTCAAACAATGGGAAAGCCTCGTCCTTAGTTTCGATAGCTAGCGTCAGGAAAGCCAATGTTGCACTCGAATCGAGGTGGTCAGCGTACCAGGCGGGTGGGAAAATCCAAAAGCTCGCACTTGGCTCACGGTTACGTGCATATTTGGTGAGGTGAGGCTTTGCTGAACACCGCAACGTTTACAGGAAGCTTGCTTTGGTTTTTTTTCGATATGATACTCCCGTTCGCGTACACGTTGCGCTCGTATGTACAGTATGATCCGGCCAACTCTATGCATCGGTCAAGTTGTGTTTTGCTGGTCACCTTCTAAGAAGAAAAAGGTCCAGCACGGCTGAAACGTGCCTGCTCCCCTTAGGCCGGCACTTTGCTATTCGCGCACACCAGAAGACACCCTTGGTATTGTAGTGTTCAATCACTGCTCAACCTTCTTAGTAAACCAGGTTGCAAACAAGTTGTCATGGGCTTAAGTCGCAAGGCTAAAGTGACTGAGTCTGCAACGTCTTCAGCTTCTTCGACGTCTCGGTTCTTGGCATTTTTCCACAAAAAACACGACGCGCAAGTACAGGAAGACAAGTGTCGTACTTTTCGTATCAAGACCGTTCAGTCTAAGCATCGGAGGACCAAACTTCGGAGCACGAGCTTCAGTGGCAGTGACGAGGACGATCAAGCTCTTCAAAGCCCTGTCAACGTCAAAGTGTGTCAAAAATCTTCAGATCGAGTCGCACGTGATGCCCCTTGCATTGGTGTCTTTCCACAACGGTCGTCTCGGTCGTCGTCATTGCAGTATTCCTCCAGATCTTCGTCCGTGTCTTCGTCATCATCTCGATCATCCGGATCTTCACTGCGGAGAGAACGTCGACAGAATTTTGCTTTGGCTCTAGCTCGGAACCAAGACGATCTCAATTGTCAGAGATTCTCGTCTTCTGACTCATCCTTAGGGTCCGAGACACGAGCGATCACGTCGTTGACTATGAGCTTCGGGTCATGTGAAATGTGGTGCAAGACCTCAGTGGACGAGTTTCTTTCGTGCTTTCCTCGGGATCTGATGGCAGATGTACGCGTGACGTGCAATATCGTGAGTCCCCGACGTTCCAAGAGATACATGCGTGACCTTATTGTATCGCTTGAGTTTGAGATCCGAGCGACCAAATGGGCGGCCTATTTCCTCCAGATCGTGCACAATGCACGCTTAGAGAAGCGAATCTCGCTACGGTCGGCGATTTCGATCAAATGGGCCATTTGTGCTCATGTACAAGGTCAATCTCAAGCACAACAAGAAGAGAAAAAGATATTGGACGTGACGCTGCAGCGGAAGATGACCGAGTACCGAGTCGCACTGCAGTGTGTCGCTGGCACACACGTCGTCAAATTTGGCCGGAAGGGAAAACCTCATGCAACGACACTGTGCGTCGAGAATGGCGACACGTTGCGTTGGACATCCAAGCTGCTGGCTCATGCTACGCATCTTGCTGCAGACGGTGTGGCAGCTACGACGACGATGGGAAAAAAGCGAGTCAAGGCCAAGAATGTCATTCCACTTGCTAGTATCATCCGAATTTCATCCGGTCCTTCTACGAGTGTGTTGGCTCGGGCACTGCACAAAGGCACACTCGTTTTGGCCGACGCTGGATGCACGTTGTCAGTCGTGACGCATACACGCACACTGGATCTCAAAGCAAAGACTGATGAAGAACGTGAGTGGCTGCAGCGTAGTTTAGAGTTCCTTGTGGACCTTGCACGCGATCACGAGCGACGAGTATCGCAGCAAGTGGAGCTTACGATAATGAAGCGGATGGAAACCTTTTCGGTCTGGAAGTACGGCCGCAAAGGCCGACCACACAAGACGCGTGTGTTTGTTGATCGCTTTGGAGAAGTGTCGTGGCTTGGTCGTAGCGGAGACTCGCTTCAACTTGATGAAATTCTTACAGTGTACGAAGGTCTTCGCACGCCTGTATTTGCTAGAGCTCGAGCAGCTGGATTGATGTCTTCAGCCAAGGCAGCACACTGTTTCTCTCTGGTGACAGCACTGCGATCTCTGGATATCGAGGCGGTGAATGAACAACAACGAGATTGGTTTGTGGTAGCCTTCCGCTATTTGCTGGACAAGGTTTACGAGAAAACCGCCGCTATGCAGCGCGAGCGAGCTGAAAGACAGCTTCGCATGCTACAGGATCTATGCGCTGAAGACGATAGCTTTCTTAATGGAGATGGCGACAACATGTACTACGACGATCGTCCGCCAGCACGGCACTACAGCTAACTACCGCATCAATGCAAAGCCACAACAGTGTAATTATCTATTCTATGTCATCATGTCTTGTTAAGAGTTCTTGCTAAGCTGTTCACCGCGGAGCAAACTGCAGTACATCCCGCTGCATCTTCAGCCATTCTTCCATCTGTAAACGCTCGAGTGCACGCGCATTTGCGAGCCGCTGCTCAACGATTTGGACAAGACCACGTTGGTGGGCAGTTTCTAGCACCTCGAGCTGGCCGTTGCTCAGCGTAGAGAGATCTGACCCTGGAACTAAATGGAATGCATGCAGATCTACAGCAGAGATCCGTTGATCCGAGACCTCCAGCATATACTGCATAGCCTCCAAGCTGTAGCGACTTGCATCGTCTTGAGTCCTACCACTCGCCGAGTTTGGCATGGAGAGGCCCAGCGATGCGGCTTGGGCCTGCGCAAAGCTATTGCAAGTCATGGACTCTTTCGATATCACTTCATGACATCGGATGCACTTAAACAGGGTCGAATTAGCTGCCCGGAATGCCGACGACTCGAGACAGGATGCACAGTACAATTGTGTACATGCCGAGGAGGTCTTCTCGTCAGAATTTCTGGACACATCACCACTGCATTGCAAATTATCATTCACAAGTTCACCGCATAGACCGCAAGCCAGGTAACTCAGAGTCTCAGCGACGCTTTCATTACTGACTCGCAATTTGCTAACCCATCGATCGCGGGTCTCACGTGCGACTTGGTAATTACCACTGGCACGCTGCTGTTTCCATGTTAAACGCCCGGCTGATGTGTAATGTAAACCTGCTGATGATAACGACGAAGCTGCTGTATATGAAGCAGACGAAGTACCATAAAAGGATGGTCGCCATGGTGACGCAGACGAGATTGGAAGCCTGCTTGGACTAAAAGCCGCTGAAGACGACACGCTTGACTTTTCAATTAATCCGGTTGTCAACCCGAGCGATCCGAAAGCCAGAGCGTTGGAGCTCAGCAACGACGACGACGGGGCTGACCGAGACTCGGATGAGAAACCACTCGTCTTTCCCCATCGTCTCTCTTGAGTTCTGACTGGTGTGTCTGCAACAGCACCCACTTGCTTTATGGCAGATGCTGCTAAAGCTAATGGTGTCTTCCCACTGATCGAGCTTTGTTCCTGAACATTACATGATCGCTGATTTAACTTCCGTCGAGACGCATGCGGAGCTGTTTTTGGAAAAGTTGTTGCAATCTTTCGTCTTGGGGTACTCAATAGCGGAGTCTTCTCATTCAATGGACTTGTTGGAGTTCTTACTATAGTGGTCGTGACGGCTGCAATGGCAGATCGGTGTTTCTTGCCGACGGTAGTCCACGCACCAGTCGACGGCGTAATTTCTGTTTCCACTTGTTGAGTATATTTGTCATCCGTGGTACCGGATGATTGCCTCACTTCATCTTTTAAACTGTGTCCTTCGTACTCATCATCACTGTCCTTGCTTAAGGACACAACTGAGTCTCTGCCTAGTGCATCCTCATCAGAGCTCGTAGAACTTGCTTTATCGTCTTTCGCTTTGACACCACTGCCACTAATCGACGTGATGTCGTGATCACTTTTCGCAGTAGACTCTTCGAACACAGGCTCTGTCTCAGTAGGCTTACCATTACTGTCACGATTTCCTCTCTGATCCGTCACGTTATCTTTTATCTCTGTCAGGTCTACTTCATCCTCTTGTCGTACTTGCTGGTGCTGCTTAGCTGCCGTCTTTCGTTTGGCTTTTTTGTTTTTCTTCTTGTTCTTCTTACTGCTCGCAGCAACAGTTAGTCCACTCGCCCCACTACTTGCACTCTTGTCCGACTTTTCCTCCATTTCTAGCATCGCCATCATACGAGCTGCTGCCTCCTCTTCAAGTTGCCGCCATAGGCCACGCAAGTGTTCCACACACGGGCCGCTTTCGCGCAGCTCTGATTCCTGTGCTTCTTCCAATGGTGTCTGTCCAATTACATTTCGCAGTGTAATCTCGGCACCAAATGCAAGCAGCGTCTTTACACATTCCAAGTATCCACACGATGCAGCCATATGCATTGCCGAGCTTCCTTCCCGGTCCTGAAAGTTCACGAGCTTCTCATTCTTTTCCAACAACATGGTTAGAATTTCAGCTCGTTGTTTGTCATTTTTTTTGTCTTCTTCCGGGTCTTCTCCAATCATCACGGCGCATAGTAACGTCGATGCACCGTATTGATTCAGTACATTAACATCTGCTCCATGTGTCAGTAAGACCTTGACAGCTTCCGCTCGACCTTCAATACACGCCCAAATCAATGGTGTATCGGCATTAATGTTCCAGCAATCCACAATCTTTGTATCACACTCACAAAGAGCATTAACAATCTCTGGATCTCCATTCTACAACAACAACAACAACAACAACAACAACAACAACAACAACAACAACAACACCATCAACATCAGCTACAAAGTGACACCATATAAATACTAGCAATTTGTATCTCTCTCTCTCTCTCTCTCTCTCACCTTTGCAGCAAAGTGAAGAGCAGTAGAATGAAGCTCATAAGTGCGAATATTAACGTCAGCACCACGTCGTAAGAGTGCGTGCACGACATTACGATGGCCTTCAGCTGCAGCGACCATAAGGGCCGTAAATCCGTCCACGTCCACGTCGTTGACACTTACAAGGCCACTGTCCAAAATCTCCTCGAGACACTCTAGATCGCCCTCAGCTGCGCATTCATAAAAATTAATCGCCCACGTCTGACTATCAGTCAAGTCGATGGAAAATTCGGCCGTCGTTATTTCCGAGTCGTCCGTGGAAATGACGGGGACTTTTGCAGTGAGAACTACATCAGAAGAAACGTCGGCGTCTGGCAAAGAAGATGCATGTGGTAGCGTAGATGAAGAAGCTATATTCACGACACTAGACGCCGACGTAGCGGCCGTATTTGCTTCTGCCGTTGCCGCCATTGCTTGATTGACGATGGCGTTAGTTTTGTCGAGAGTGGGAGGATAAAGAAGACACGACAGAAATCAAGGCAATGCTGTTGAAGTTGCGTTTTGCCAGAAAAGAACGCCCGATACCCGAAACCTTGCGACTATTAAAGTAAAGGAGGTCAGGAAGGAGACAGAAAATAAAGGCTTTATTTGCAGCAAGTACTAACGTTACAGCTCGGGGCCTTCTCTAGATGCTGTTGTGACTGTCGGATGCTTGTTGTCTACGATTATTAGACAGCAAGCAGTAAGTGACGTTTGAAAAGTACTTCGTTCTAGGCGATATTTCGTACCAAAGGAAGGTGAACTTGATGTGGACTTGACACGGCCGTGTTGAAGCCGTTTTTTCTTGTGTTTTGTAACCTGTTTGCGTTTCACCGTCATGGTGATATGTGAGTCCTTGGATCTCCTTTGCAAGTGTCGATAATGTATTGATCCGTTAGACTTGATGCCACATTTGAAGAAACACAAATGATGACAAAGAGTACGATAGTAAGATCAATGTCTTCGTCAGCTACCGACTGACAAAGCTTTATCTGTAGATATGCGATCATCTGACCCGAGAATGCTCGAGCAGTGCTTGATCCAAGGCAACAACACGTGAGTAGCCATCCGTCTGAGATGGAGGGTGGGTGTGCTTAGGAGGTCGTAAAGGCAATACAGATAATAACACAATGCAGCCCAATGTATCGCTTTATATAGGAAGTTGAAGAGCCCTAGCAGCTGGAAGCCCCAGTAATTTCATGCAGTTGTTCGTTCATTATTGTAAGTTCTTATCTGAGACTCACATGGTCGAGAGCTAAGGAGTCTATTGGGTTTTTCGTCTATTTATCTGGCTTGGCTCATAAAGAATCACTCGACGGCCTGCCATTACATTATGTGTTTGCTTCTCTTGACTTCTATACAAATCTTACCCATCGACGGCGTAATGGGCTTGCTAAGACTATCGGTAGCTGGTGTTTCGCAAAATGAAACTACTCCGTCGACGGCTGAAGGTGCTGTTTGTTCGATACACGCCCACGAAAAAGATATTTGTGCACTGCGACATTCATTGGAAATCAAGTGGCACGAGGTGTAGCCTAACCATGAATATAACACGCGATCTGCGATCAAAATGGATAAAACGTGCGTATCATTCACGACCTTTCGACGTATGCGGACTTATGGCCTAGAATGACTGGCTAAGGCGTAAAGCGTGGAAGAATACGATGCTAGTAGAAATCTTTCTACACTACTTTTTGACCTTTTCTCGCCCTAAAGTTGCCGTAGCCATAAGACGGTAGTGTGTGTATTTGTTAAAACACTAAAGGCGTACCGTCTGGGAGGGTTCAAGCTCGACTATAAACCACGAACGGGTCGTCATGAAGTCATTTCTTTTTGCTTATTTTTTTGCAAAGAAGAAGCGAGTCCAGTTCCGTCAGCCTCATTCTTTACGTATCGACGGCCATGATCACTCAGCACGTTGAAGTTGGTAGTTGTGTGTGGTGCACACGACCGACATATTGGGGTTTTATACTATGCCATGCCTGTACGACCGGCCTGAAAATCCACTGTAGATTGCTGACTGCGACACAGACTGATGGATTAGCGTTATTGCGATGATGCTTGGAGCTCATGAGTAGTACCACCACCATAGTAGTGGCAGCCATGTAGTACTTGCTCTAACAAAATACGTTTCAAAAGTAGCAATTAAAAAAAAAGCAAAACGAAACTGCCTGAGTTGAGAGCCAGCAGCCCAGCAGGCGGTAGTAAAATTAAGGTCAGCCATGGACCATCACCGTCTAGTGGCTACACCGTCGCAGCATGCTTTTCGAACTCGACGTCTTCTGTTCAGAGCCATTTGATACCGCTGTTACTTTGTAACTGTCGACATTGGTGGCTGAGCGCCGATTGGCTGGCTCCAATAAAGGCCCGTTCTTCCTTTTTTTGTACCGCTGCGATAAGAATCTGGCGCTCACTATGTCGAGTCAGTGTCTGAAGAGAAAACTGGCCCCTCTCGCTCTCTCTCTCTCTCTCTCTCTCTCTCTCCCCCCCCCCTCTCTCTCTGTGTTCTCGACGCTGGAAAGTCGATCCGCGACAAAACCGCTTCGATTTGCCAAGAGAAAAGAAAGCGCACGGAAGGAGACAGACCACGTGAGTTGTCAAGCAACAAGCTCAGCCTCAGTCCGCCAATCCACCGGAAACTCTCGCAACAACAAGTAAGCAAGAAAAAAAAACAACGTGCTGTCTCCTCCCCTCATTCAGCCAACAAACAGGAGAGAAAAAAAGTGACCACTTGTCTTTCTTCTTCTTCTTCTTCTTCTTCTCTTCGATCTTCTCTCTCTTTTTTTTTCTCGTTACAAATGAGTGCGAATTCGGATCGAAGGTGGAGTCTCGCACGTGCCACCGAGTTTTTCAGTGGTGATGGTAAACCTGACATGTACGTATCGATGCCTTAACCCCCTCTCGCTTTAGACACACTTTTATCGCTAACTTAATCAAATTTTCCATGCAATTGTTGTACTAAAATCAGGTTGGATATTCGTGGGATGACAGCAGTGACAAAAGGTGCAGCTGGTAAACGCGACAAGTTTCGCAAGAGCGTCTCTCGCTGTGGTGTATCCATCTATGGCCCCAAACACTCGGCAGCAGCAGCATCCGCATCTTCTAATGACACACCAAGTCGTGAAAAAGTCTTTATCGAAGACCCTCGTGCCCCGTGCCTGAATATTGATTATTCCAACGAGGCGTACCGTTTATTACCCTCATCGGAAAAATTCTCGGCCCATACGGGAGTGTGCCAGATTTTGGGTACAAAATGCATTCGAGGTGGCAAACATCGTGTTCGTGTGGGCGACATTATCCGTTTTGGGAGTGTGGGACTGCTTGTGACGGAAATTGATACGGGTGGAATCGGTACAAACGATGCAACACTGAGTCCGTCCGAAGTGAATAGTCTCATTCAACGAGTGGTCTGTCATGATGAAGTCATGGCTGATGTTGACAGTGGTATGGATACGGACGATGATAATGCCGATGCATCGGGGAATGATGAATCAAAACCACGTTCGTCGTTGCAACGACAAAGTACGAGTGCCATTTGTTATGTCTGTTACGATGAATCTGAAGACGAGAATCCACTTATTGCACCGTGTAAATGCTCGGGAGATACCAAGTATATTCATTTGAATTGTCTCAAACGTTGGAACACAAATGGGGAGAAGAATGAAATCTGTACCGTCTTGGATGAGAGCAATGCACGAACGTGTTCGATCTGTAAAGCTCCGTATCCAAGCAAAACACGACTTTCGAATGGAAAAGTCTTGTCACTATTGCCCGATCGTTTGAATCCACCGTGTATTATGTTTCAAGTGGTGACGAAACATTCATCTTCGACACTTAATTTGTCGACACGGTACCAATTAAGCTACAAGATGCTTATGGACAATGACATTCATCGTCCACTTATGGTGGGACGCTCGTCGCAGTGTGATTTGGTGCTCAAGTACCGTACCGTGTCGACGATTCACGCGGAAATTCACTATTCAAAGGGTGAGTTTCTTCTCAAGGACGCTGGAAGCTCGAATGGCACGTTGCGATACATTTATCGCCCACTGACACTGCATAACAATCAGTCGTTGCATGTCAAGTTTGGACGCACTGTATTATCCATCAAGCCGACAAAGAAAATTCGGCTTCCGCATTTTTTCGGTACGGCAGGTCACCTGCATTCCAGTGGCTCACGACTTGAAGACAGTGGCGTGCAGGAGGAGGAGGAAATGTCGAGTACATCTACTCCACGTAACAATAGAATCCGATACTACAATCACGCGACGCAGCAGCAGGTACCGGTCATGTCAGCCCAACAGCAACAGGAAGCACGCCAGAATTTGCAGACGCAGATGCAGAATTTAGATCTGTAAGTCGCCTACTGTGTGCGCTTGACGGCTTGGACTGGTTTTCTTTTGCGTGAAACTTTTCGTTCCGTTGCCATTGGCCGAACTGCTTATGTACCATCATCACTTTCAAGAGCCGATGCTTGGGATATTGAACACCTCGGCACTGGATCGCCTCGATTTCCGAGCCTCTGTTTTAATTACTTATTCCACCCACCCACGATCAAGAGAGAAAGAGAGAAAATATGCAGTAGAAGAGAGAGGCTGGTAGCTGAACAGCGAATCAAGCAGAGCGCTGTCTCGTGAATGAAGTGATCATCATACGCGTAAAGGAAGAAATGCAAAACATCAGAAAAAATGAGGCCGTGAGACTGGGGTTCGCCTTCTGGGTGTCGCTAGAAGTGAAGACGGATAAGTTTGGTTTAGCAGCGAAAGCCGAGTATGCTGAGGGAAGGTCGGTAACGACGTGAGCTGGGTCAGTGCGTTAAGAGCATTCATATTCTACATTGTACTTGGAAGTAATAAAAGTTTGCGGAATGGGATTTGGACTTGCTTCATCTGATTTGAAAGCTAATACAAGGCAAACAACATTTATTTAGCATTTGAATCGAGGGGGAGTTTATGCAGGTGCTCAATCATCCGCCATGTTGGACTCAAGCACTCCGATGGCCATGGACTGCAGCATGGCCTGCTGGAATCGAGCAGCCAATGCGGGATGCGCCTTTTGCATCCGTGCGTAGTGAGACTTGCTAAGGAAAAAAATGGAGCTAGAAGATTTCGCCTGCGCAGTGAATTGGTGACGCTTGTGCAGAATCATCTCCGACGCACCTACCAAGCCTCCCTGGCACACTCGTGTAATGCGCTTGCGACCTCGAAAGCCCGGCCCCAGCCCTTCATGGATTTTGGAAGGCATGAACACGTCGACCTTGCCGTAGCCAATGAAGTAGACACCGTTGACGAGACCACCGGCACGATACAAAGTATCACCTTCCTGCTTGAGCAAGTGCGTCACGTACATCTCACCGAGGTCCCGTGTAAGCACAACACTCTTCTCGTCACCGTCGCAAGGCTGCGACCCATCACTACTTGTACGAGCAGATTTGTCATTCTTGTCGTGGAAACCGTCTGGACGAGGCAACAATTCATCGAGCAACTGCCAGGGCTGACCGTCGTTTCCTCCATTCGCTGCTAGTGCTGGCGCCGACTCACTGAGCGGCAGCACGCCTGCTGATACTAGCAGTTCATCCTCACACCATTCCAGAGCCTTGTCCAATGTGTCGAACACAAGTAATCCCGTTCCTGACCCGTCCTCCTTCTCAATCACATCATGGACGCGCAACAATCGTTCAGCATCTGTCGGCACGCAGGCAAATATGAGGGCGATGCCGTGCTGAGCTAGCAGTTCTTTTGTGGCGTTGAAGCAACTTCGCACCGCCGTGGCGTCCACACCGCTCACTTTCTCAAAGTCCAGGATGAAGTACCTCGTACGAGCCGCATGTAGTGCAGCCGGTCCGCTCTTCCCACCAGCCTTAGGCGTGGACGAGTACCCGTGAATTTCATGGTCATCGAAAACGGAATCCAGCGTCGCGAGGTCATCGTTAAATTGGTCCTCCAACGAACGAGCTACATACGGTGAGGGTTGATGTCGAGACAAGAAGGTCGATGAACCCGAAGTTTGAGCCTCCTGCTTCTCTGTGGTTGTCACCAATACGTGACGACGTACTTCGTCCATGACTTTCACACTTGAACCGAAGAAAATGTAACCTTTTAGCTCCAGCGTGACGATAGACATGCGCATGTTTTGAAGCAGCACGCGCTCACGTAGGTCACGCTCGACGCGCGAGCGCCTCATGACGCGGTGAACACTGGAAGTCGCAATGTACGAGTAGATAAAGTTAAAGCCTGCGATGATGATGCCAACCACAATGCCCAACTCAAGGTTTACGAAGACCATGGACAGGAACGTAAGCCACACAATGCCGTACTCGCGTGGAAGGAGCTTATTACGAGCATGCCAGAGCCACTCGATCATAAGATCGAGACACACCAGCATCTGCAACGCACCGAAGAAGACCTTCGGCACATAGGCAATGATGGAGAACGGACTGAGCACAAGAGCGACCTCGAGGAAGAACACAATGAGACCGATGTAGCGACTATCGAGCCTGCCACGCAATGTGAAGATCGTCTGCGAAAAGAGGTAAGATCCGGTAAAGCCACCACCGAGACCCGAGAGCAAGTTGCTGATGCCTACAGTTTGCAATTCATGGTTATGGTCCAGCGGCTTCCCCAGCGCCGTCTCAACGGCAGCTACATCGAGGGACGACGAAAATGCCACGACAAAGTACATGGCAATCCATGTCGGGATCTGGTCCGTCATGTGCGAGAAGTTAATCTTGGAAAAATCGTAGAACCCGTAGATCTGCGTGAGCGAACGCGGCGTAGGAGGAAGCTCCGCAACCCACCCAGCAGCACGAGCATCATCAAGAGATGAGCCCGTAATAAGTAGCAACCCGTAGAACGTAGTCAATATCACCATCAAGCAGCAAGGCATGACAGCCATGTGATTCCAGCGTGTGTTGATCCAGAAGATGGCCGTGCCAGCAATGACGCCCGGCACAGATAGCAGCAAGACATTCCAGTTAGCCAATTTAATCCAGTCTGCCGGCTGCTTGATACTCTGCGTAGTCATCATGGATAAGCCAGCTTCCATTGTATAGAAGCCGATAAAGGCAAGGTAGCCACCGACCACCGGCATAGGCAAGTACTGTACAAAGCTAGCAAGTCGAAGCTTGCCCGTGACAATGAGCGCCGCACCCAATACGGCCGTCGACACGGCCATAGTAAAGAGAGTCGTCGCCAGTACTTCGTCCATCGAGAACGCATCACCTCTCATGTCGTGCAATAACTTGATGATTGATGAGGCCATAGCCGAGAGAAAAATCAGACCTGCGTCTTGAACTTGGCCCATGGCAAAGGGCAGCGAGCTGACGCACGTAAAGCAAAGCTGGTGCACGGCGGCCGAGACAAGCACGAGCTTCACTAGGTCGTTCATGTACGGCTGGAACTCGGGGTCACGGAAAATGATCTGGGCAAAGCTGATCATAAGCGGCACGAGAATGACCGTGTTAAGAACACCAAACACGCCAATCTTGATCTTCCGCTGGGTCGGACTAAGTACTGGTTCAAGCATGAGCAATGACGACCTCTCCTCCACGTCCACCACGAGGTCGTCCATTAAAGACGCGGCCACGCCAGAGTGGGGCGGGTGGTACGAATGACGCGGTGTTTTCATGTTTCCACCGGGAAGCGGCAGTAGTCCACGCATTGACAAGGATGTGCTACCATCGTACGTGCGACTGATGGTCCCAGAAGGAGACATTGGCAGCAAGAGACTCCCAAAGTCGCGGCGACGCATGCGCGGTGTCCGCGCCGTAGCTCCCGTGCTGTCCATGCCGGAGCAAATCGAAAAATGACGCTTCGTACCAGCCACTCACGAAACCGACCGTCACACGTCTATCCGAAATCCGAAGGAGAGGTCGACCAAGTTTTTCTGAAGACAGACGAGTCTATTTGACCATTACTGGTTGCAGGATCTTTGGTAGATCGTAAGCCTGGTTAGCAACGTCGGTTCCTCGTTCCAAGCTCCCATCGTTCTTGTGTTTAGTGGCAGATGAGCTTTTGTCAGCAGGCTTGCACGCACGAGCAGAGGTGGCCGACCGTCTATCTTGGAACCGCCTGGTGTATCTCGAAGTTTTCTGGCATGTTTATTTTTTGCTTGGAGTGATGCAGACCTGATCAGAATGGACACGTGAAAAGTACAGACCTGCTCGACGCTTCCACGAAAAATTGGTGAAGACGCCTTGGATGCTGGATTCAGGATAGGGAGGATAAACAAGGCGTAATGCATGTAGCTTGTCTACGGGATCGGTTCGACGGACAAGATATTGCTGGGCGTGGCTTTAGTTTTATGCTCTATCACGCTGAGCCATGCTGCGAGTTCTGTCCTCGGTTGAGCAGAGGTCGACGTCCAGGATCGGCTCTGTTTGTGCTTGATACTAGCATGGATACCAATATTCTGGAAGAAGGTGAGCACCAGCGACCCTGCACGTACAAGCCTAAGAAATGCTCGACTTTAGTAAATCTGCTTATCAAGCCTGGGACAATAAATGGGTTCGAGTCGGCATGATTGCGGATCGTCGACGTCGCAATATGCACATAACATGCGATGAAGCGGCTAATTGAAACGAGGTCGCTACTTCTATGTGTGGACATCTTGAGATATCGAGGACTTAGCTAATTGGAGTATATTACCGGCGCTACCTACAACTGGAAGAAACAGCCATTCGATTCCGCGCAATTTTTTTCGCCAAGCCTAACAACGACTTCAGCTGTCCACCACTTACGAAATTGTTGCCATTAACTGCGGAAAGTTCGAAATTGACGCTCTTCAGTTCCTTCAGTGCCCACTCCGTGGATATCTTGAGCATCGCAGCCAAACAGTACAGCTCCTTGGACTAGCGACGCTTTTCGTCAAGTTGCTGCTAAAGCTTGTTCATCTCCGTTCTTGCAAATACTTCCACTGATTATGGTGTCAGCAAGACAGCAGAGTTAAAAAAGGAGCTGAAGAGACGACTTGCACAAGCTCAACGCACCAAGAACAGCTTGTCAGACGCATTGTAAAGTTGAGCAGAAGTTGGTATTTGCAATATTGACGACAGAAATTGCAACATTGACGAGACCGGACTTCTTCAAAATCAAGATGTTAAAGGTTTATGACTTCAAGTTCCTGTCTAATGCGAGTCAACTCGGTAAGAAGTTGAGCATTCTCCGCCTCAACATTCTGTCTGTCGCACTTCAGAACCTGTAGTCGCTTGTCCGCTGATCGCTGACACAAGGCAATGGCGTTCTCCAGGTTATCCTTGTCCGAACGCAAAGTCTTCACTTGGGTCTGCAACGTTGCGACACGTTTCTGATGCAAGTTCGCCATTGCCTTCCAATGTTCAATCTCTTCGTCCGCTTTGGTATTTGTCACTTCCAGCTCCTGTATGGCCTGTATCTCACTATGCTCCATCTCGTGTCTCTTATTCTTTCACACTTGCAACTCCACACTCAGCATCTCTGCAGTGTCTCTCAACACCACCAGCTCTTGTTCAGCTCGCTCACTCTACGTGAGCTTTGCTGTTCTGCGTTAGTCATCTGCTGTAGCTCGGACCCCGTAGCTTTTCTTCCGTGATAGATTGAGTGCCTTCATCGTCACGGTCTCGAAGCACGTGACGAAGCATTTGGTCAGCTTCTGCTTCTCGTCGTGCCTTTTCCGCTCGTGTCGCCACCTGTCGCGCCACCTGAACATCCCTTATCAGCATCTCAATGGTCTGTTCTGCTTCGATCCTCTCAAGATCTTGGTCTGACAGCTCTCTGCGTAGCGAATCGATCTTGAGTGACTACGTGAGCGTCACAACGTGCCTATTGAATGCCAAACCCTCCTCACGATGGTGTTAATTACAAGGTAAACATTAGAGATTCCTGGTGTGTTGGATAGATTGCGCCGACTTCACGTTCGAGTGACAGGCAAATAGTGACATTGATGGCAAAGAGTGATTGTCACTTCAACTTCAATTCCGCGCTATATCGTGATGGAGATGCGAGACAACAAGAGTAGCATGTCGTTCTCATGCCGCCGCTATCATGCTACACTCATTATACTGCATGAATCAAACCGCAGATATTATCGCTTACAGCAAGAACTATCGACCGAAGCGTTACATTAACGAGCTGGTAGACCAGACGCAGCGTTCGAATGAGTTAAGGGACGAAGAAACTGCGAGCTGCAGGCGACGCAGCAGTCGTGAGATGGTGGCATCGATCATCAGGCTGGAATTGCACTTGGCATGCGTGCTGCTATGAGCTGGAAAAGCTAACGATGTTGCTGATCCTTTTTAGGGATCATGAACGTTGCCGTCGAGGTGGTGACACCGTGTACGTGTAAGAACGAGAGCAAAGCAGTGGGTGTTCGCTATGTGCGAGAATTCTATGGCGTGCTGGGCTTTTTTCCACCGACCACTGTGGGCTTTTTTTGCCTCGTTATCAGGCTACAGTCTTTATGCGCAGCAATTCTTCCTTACGGACGACACATCCGGAAATTATGTGCACCGTAGATATCGTATCGGGTCATCTCACTTCCTTCCTACTGAACGACTGTGCCCAAATGCTGCTGCCCAAGCTTACAGTAGGCTCCTTGTTCATGACCCAGGAGCACGCTCTCATACTCGCTCACGGTGACAAAATCCTCGGCTAAGCACGCAATGCGCTGCCATTGTATTCTCGCTCCAAATTAAGCTCATGGAAAAAGCGAGTGCAAACGTCCACAGCTCAACAAAATTACGTCGTAAGCCGTCATGATGCCGAGCTTGGTGACCCTTATTCTCACATAAACGGTACTGCGACTATTGGATCACTTTGATTGATAAAAACACCTAAAAATAATTCTTCCACGGCCAAGCTCCTCAGTCTCATGGCTGTATCACTGGACCTTGCTAGCTTGCAATCCGTCGCCAAGACGCTTCACGGTAGCTTCGTAATCCAGGGGTTAATGCTTCTGCTGCTTGTTCTGCTCCTGCGCTACGTGGCTGCGTCCTGGCGTGCAGGTTTAGCACCGTACGAGGTGCAGACGTGTCCACCAATCAACCCGCACATGCATTATCGCTATGGGGTGTCACAGATGCAGGGGAGAAGACCATATATGGAGGACCGACATACAGCAATAGCAAGCCTGAACGGAGACCCAAACCAGAGCTTCTACGGTATATTCGACGGCCACGGAGGCGAGGGAGCTGCAAAGTATGGTGGAGTATTGTACTCGATTAGGGCAAAGTATTTGTACTAAGATCTCGTTGCAGTTATTGTGTGCAGGCCATGTGTCAGAATGTGATCCGAGAGCCGTCACTTACTAAGGAACCTGTGGAAGCTCTGAAGAATGGATTCCTGCGTACTGATCAAGAGGTTTGCCTGCACTTGCAGCAGCTGCTGTCTATTGACATGCTATACTAAGTGAGGATATATGATATATTGTTACAGTATTTGCAGATCGCGAGCCGCAAAAACTCGGAGGATGGAACGACGGCAGTCGTAGTACTTACGCAGGGCGACGAGATGTTTGTGGCACATGCAGGTGACTCTCGAGCTGTGTTGGTGCATTGCTGTGGAAAGGTATCGGTGTTGACTTCGGACCACAAACCAAACCGACCAGACGAACGCCGTCGGATTCAAGAGCTAGGAGGTTCGGTGATATTCTGGGGCGTATGGCGCGTAGAAGGCATTCTTGCTGTGTCTCGAGCGATTGGTGACCGCATGCTCAAGCCGTTCGTGGTTGCAGAACCTGAAGTGAAAAAATTCACGCGAACGGAGGCGGATCGCTATGTCGTTCTAGCTAGTGACGGAGTGTGGGATACAGTCTCAAATGACGATGTGGCGCAACTGGTGCTCAAATACGAAGACCCGCAGGCTGCAGCACAGCGTATCATGGAGGAAGCGTACGCACGTGGAAGCATGGACAATATCTGCGCCATGGTCATTGACTTGAGAGCGTAAGTATTTATCTTTTCGTAGTTGTCCAGAAAGTGTATTAACGTTGTCGAATGCTGGTGGATGAACTTAGAGATAGAAATGAGTGCTCCGCTAATGACGGATAATTTGACCGGCTTGGTGATAGAACGAGAGGATAAAAAGTTGTCAATAGTTGCAAGGCTTACGATTAAGCAATCGCGGGGTGTATCTGATTCGTTAAGACGTCACCTTGGTCGTCTAGAATGGAATCGCTGACTGTAGCAGTAGAAGTGTCAGGATCTATATGCAATCATACGATACAATCTTCACGCCCAAGAGTTATGAGCGAATAGCAAACCTACTTCGAAGGAATGAATTTGCGGAGAAAGACAAGATCATGACAGCTGGTCATTTCTTCTTGGTGATAATTGTCCATCGCTTGCATAGATGACTACAACGGTTCGTCAGCTCAAATCTGAGCGGTCGTATGTTAAAAAGTGCTATTTAAAGACGCGTGAGGATCTTAAATGTAGCCGTATGTGACGGCACACATGTTAAAATGCTACTTCAGGCCTCAAATGCACCGAAATTTACAGAAGCACGACGGCAAAGTTACACATTGCATAGTTATGTTCTAGTAAAGCAGCTTGTTTACTTCGACATGTGTCCCCGCCCTAGCTTTTTGTTACTTCACGCCAAGCGCAAAAAGTCCAGCCAAATATTAATTACCTGCTACTACTTTTTTATGGCTGCCCCATATCCTCAGCCTCATGTACCCTCTTTAGGGAATAAAGTCAATCCTGTCTCAGAGACAAATCAGACCTCTAGGACGACATACAATAATTCGAAATAACTGGAATTTGGATTTTCTTCCTCAAATACAAAGAAAAACACTATTTTATATATCCCTTTAGCATTCCGAAGAAGCCTCATCAATACATAAATATCATGGGCGAGAGCTTGACCGTCAGGTATGTGCCTAAGACACCAACATAGTGATTTTTACAGTCAATATGAAGAACAACAGGACGACGGGAGAAGCGGTGTCAAGATAGAAACAAATTGTCAACAAAAATCCGGATACTATATGAAGTAAACTAATAACTTGTGTCTCTAGACTCTTTGTATGCACACAGACGTACGACATCCCGTGCGACCCTCGACAGCCTGCAAAGTGGCTCTTGATGCAGGCCAAGACTATCCAACGCTCTAGTCGAAAGCATACGCCGCCAGAGGACGAGCTCGAGGTTTTGTTTAACCGTACGACTCGCCAGGTGCTCAACCTGGAGGAATCTATCGGTAGCAGCGTCTCCACCATGGACGTGATTGATGCTCGCACTTTACTGCAGACACCTGATACCTCCTCGTCCAATAGCGCCATGTTTCCGTGGCTTCGATCGTATCCGGGCGGTCTGCAGCTCTCCTCGGACAAGACGGACTCATCCAATGGCCTTTTCTTCCAGCAGTTGTACGCCTTCACTTTGATCGGCAAACGCACGCCAGTGTCGGCTGCTCAACTCAAGCAGAAGAAAGACCAGGACGCATTTCTGTCACTGGTGCACACGTATGTTATGGGAAACTACGATCAGGACAACAGGTCACGACCGCAGACGATGAACACAGCAGGAAATGGACGACATTTACGCGTTAATGGAGGCATCTCAGCAACTTCTTCAGACATGTACGCTACATCATCAAGAGAGAACCAGTACCAGTCCACTGGAGCGAGACAAACGCCGGTGTCGTTGTCGCCTGCATATCCCCCAGAACATGACTTGAATGGTTTCTCAGACTCGGGATCAGATAGCAGTGTGGAAGACTCATCGTCGTATCCGACTCGTTCTTCACAGATAAACGAATACGGTGGGCCTCAACGTATACCCGCTCCTTCGAGTCCTGTCCAAGTGCCGATAAATTCGTCTCCGTCAATTTCTCATTTTCAGAACACATTGGATGGAATGGAGAGTGTGTTCGACATTGTATTCAAGCAGCAGGCAATTGGGATGAAGCTCGGTGCAGACGAGACCAAGCAGTACGCGATTGTGAAGGAATGTTTTGAAGGGTCTGAGGCGAAGCGGTATCCTGAGATTCAGAGCGGTGTGGTAATAATGGCGGTCAATGGACAAGAGGTGAGTGGCCTTGGACTGTCACGCGTGCTGTATCGATTACGAGAGGCTCCACGTCCGGTTGTTGTTCGATTCGGCCGCATGTCGGCTCGTCAGCTGCAAGAACGACGCAAAGCCCGTGGCCCGTGGTAATACGTGCAATCTGATCGGAGCAGATTCACTATCGTAGTAGTACTACTACTGTCAGTGATACTACAATGAGAAGATAATATTTTGTCTTACCCACCTGAATGTAAGAAAAAATACTACTAGAAAAAAGCTATTTTTTCCGTAAAGAAAACGTTTTAGTACTAGAGTACTATTCGATTATCGTGCTCTATTCGATTATCGTGCTTTATTTGCTTCAAATACAGCTCTGTAATATTCCCGTCCTCCATCCATCCATTCCCTAGGTGTCTTACTCTAATGGAGTCCACGACTACTTCTACAGGGTCCAAGACTGCATCCAACACCGTTTCAAACCAAGATGAACTTCGTATTCGTCAACTTCTTCGAGATCTTCAAGTCGATACTGGAGATGTGGTCTTATTCGACCGTAAATGCTCATCCATGGGCCTCTACGGCGGCGCTATTTGCGTATGTGCCAAGTTGTTTGGTCAGACACAATGGGACCATAATGGAATTATTATTCGTGCCCCTTCCTTGGCTCCAGATGGAGCATCTCCTGAGGATCAACTGTTTGTACTGGAAGCATCAATCACGGGCGTGAAATTACGACCACTCGTAGCTCGTGTGCTGCGCAGTCGTGGCCATGAGGTCTCTTTACGTAAATTACAGACGACCCGCACACCCGAGCTCCAAAATAGAGCATTAGAATTCGCACTTAGTAGTTTAGATACTCCCTATGAGGATAATTTTGCCAAGTTTTTTAATGCAGGGGTGTCGGTACCTAATCGTATTGCTCGTGAACGGATTTTTGCAGCTTTAATGACTCTAAAAAAAGAGCTTGCAAGAATTGAGACGGAACTGGCACATCGCGATAAAATGCCACTTTTTGAGAAAAAAGCACTTTTACACGAACGACAAGTTGTGAATTTACAGTATCAGGCACTAGGAATGCAACTTCAAAAGACCGAACGATCGATGTTTGAAAATGCCGTGGTGGAGAAAGAAGTGAAAAGTACGAAACTGTTTTGTTCGCAATTGGTAGCGGGAATGTATCAGCACTTGGGACTTTTATTACCGTATCCATCGGCCAATTCGTATCTGCCAAAACATTTTAGTGCAACGGATGGAGGAGATTTTCTGAAACTACAACAAGGAGCAAGTTTTTTGCCGGAAATTTCATTGCGACAACAGTTAGAGAAACAAGCAACAACGTTTGCAACAAGAGTGCACGAAGCTATGGAACGTGGACCACGGACTGTTAGTGAAACTGCTACGATCGTGCATTGTTTGCGACGTCATCAACTTTTTCACACACTAAGTGAGCCAGATTTAGTAGCTACAGCTTCGCAATTCCGACGGCGTGTATTGACAAATGGAGAGGTGGTTTTTTATCAAGGAGCTTCTGGGAATTGTTTCTACATTATTGAGAAAGGTGATTGCGATGTCTTTGTTGACTATGACTACCTACTAAAGACACAAACAGCACTGGATGTGGTAGACTCCAATGATGCTCCAAATTCAGACCTTAAACGGCGGATTGCGTTACATAAGCGGAAAACCATTGCACTACCTGAGTTTAAGACATCATCAAGTCTTGTAGGCAAAAACGAGCGCGTTCATGTAGCTACGAAAGGCCCGGGCAACGCTTTTGGTGAATCTGCGCTTATTTACGATACCCCACGACGTGCAACAATTCAGGCTAGCTCTTCCGACTCGGGTGACGACGAAGAAGCTGTAGTTTTGTGGCAACTAGATAAGCGTACGTTTCGTGAGGTGTTAGCGCGTCATCCGGGTACCCAACAGTCTCTAGAAGAACGTCGTTTTTTGCTTGAGAGTTTGGAGGACCACCCGCTGTTTGCCGAGCTTGACGATCGTGCAAAGGCATTGGCTGTACGCAAATGCTTTCCACTAAGCGTGCGAGCAGGTACGACTATCTTGCGGCAAGGCGACCCTGGCGACTACTTCTACCTCGTTGAAAGTGGCCGATGTGAGGTGTCACGTCGCAAGCCAAATGCAGCTAAACCTTTTGTGGATCGGATCATTGGACGTGGTGCTAGTTTCGGAGAAGCTTCGTTGTTGTACAATAGCCGTCGCGGTGCCTCAGTGAAGGCACTTGAGGATGCCAAGATATGGTGTATGGACCGCGCAAGCTTTGTCACAATCACGCGCAGTGGTTCCAGTGCCCTATACAAAATTTTCCGGAAAGTAGGCACTACAGTCGTCTCCGGCTTGAGCGAGAGTTTTGCTACGGAACGTGACTTGCGTCGTATGCTTACAGACCCTCAGCAAATACAAATGGTCAGGCATAGTGCCAGCGAGGACGACAATGGTAACGATAATACCGAAGACTTTGAAACGATGGTAACACCTTCTACTCCACTGCCATCAGCGCAAGCTTACACTCGTGCAGTACAGCTCGCGTTGTCACTTTTACTCAACGATCCATCTGGACTTATCAACTTTTCTCAGTTTGCGCATTTCCACATCGCCTTGGGCGCTTCTAATATGGATCAGCTCCTTCCAGAGGCTGCTTTCCGCGTTTTGAAGGCAGTGACAGACTCATGTGATGGCGGCAGTACCCGCGCATCGATACCGTCTGCATCGCCATCTCTTTTCGATCTAGACGACCCAGACCAATCTGCAATCAAACTGAACAATCTTCCTCGTGCTATTCACCAGTGGGTTTCTACGTGTGACCCAACGGAAGCTGAGTCAGAGGAGCTAGAGTCGCCTGTGCAGATGACACCTGGACGCTTGGCATTCTATGAGAGTTTGTTTGACTTGCCAGCGCATCAATTAGGTGACCAATATGTCACACACGACGACCTAGTGCGCGGAATTACAGCGTTTGAAGTGGAGAACGCTCGATCCAAAGGTAAGCAAAGTGACAATCATCCTCAATCAGAAGATACTTTGGCAGCCAAGGAAGAGTTTCGAGCTTTTCTAGCTACTCTCAAGTCTGACATCAGCGCGCTGCGCACCATCTGGCGAGCTGCTGAGCTACAAGCTCATGGTGTAGACCGTGCTGGTATATTCAATGACCAGCAAAAGCTCTCGTTCGATGCCAGTCTTAAGTCTGGTTGGATTTCTGCTCTTCGGCAGAACCCGACCGGTAGTGACTGGGAATATTTACAGCCCGAGATGGAAGCTGATAGTCAGAAGACGGCTTACAACAACATCAACGCGACAATCCAAAGACAACAGCTGACAGCCCAGGTTACTTCGTTTGCCGCTGCTATCACCGCTGGTGCACTGGCCCGTACTGTGTGTGCGCCGCTGGAGCGGCTAAAAATTATGATGCAATTGTCCGCCCCTAAGCCAACACCCGTCGCAGCTGTGACCGCTACCGCTAAGCTTTTTTCCGGTACTGCGCCATACCAGTCGTTAACGAGGGGTTTTTTGAACATGGTAAAGCTCAGTGGACCGCGCAGTTTGTTCAGCGGAAATCTCACGCACTGTATGTGGGTGATGCCTTCAGTACCCACGAAGTTTGTTTTGTGCCACGTCTACCAGGGGCAGCTTGGGCATTTGTTTTCCGAATCTTCTGCTCCTTTTGGTGCGATTGGAAATGGCCCTCGGGCTTCTGCGACTATGGCTAACCTCGCAGTAGGTGGTCTCGCCGGTCTGACGCTGAACTGTCTATTGTATCCGTTGGATGTTATCCGTGGCCGGCTTACTGTGCAGCAATACTACAACGCCAACCGTCCATCGAGTGGCATCATAGATTGTGCGCGCTCGATCTGTAGCAAGGAAGGTTTGCGTGGATTTTACCGAGGTTTTGTACCCGCAAGTCTCGGTGTCTTCGTTTACATTGGGTGCAATTTTTCCATTTACGAGTCTTTGCGGCCAGTGTTTGTGCTCTACGACAGAGAAGACACGAGCAACCAGCTCGGTCACCTCAGTGTACCAGGTCAGATCCTATGCGCCACCACGGCATCGATAGCGTCGCAGTGCATTTCGTACCCGTTCGACGTCATCCGGCGGCGTTTTCAGCTACAAGGCGCTAAGTGGCACCCAGAGCTCGTGTTTCCGACGTACGAAAGCGCATGGCACTGTGTAAAGTCGTCTATAGAGGAAGAGGGAGGTGGTCTACGAGGTTTACGCTCACTTTACCGTGGTTTATTCGTGAATGCGGTGAAGGCGCTGCCGTCCACAGTGATCTCGTTCATCAGCTATGAAAAGCTGCGTGAAATGAAGCACAGCGCTGATGACGTGTAGCTGATGCCTCGAATATTTCATTGGAAAATGTTGGAACGCACTGCTGTGGTAAGACGCACCATGGAATTGGTGACGTTGCTTGTTAATTAAAATGATACATATCTCACTAGGTGAGGTGGGCTTGTGGAGGTCAGTATAATAAATTGCACCACTCTAGCAGGCTATTGAGCTTTAATCATGAGCACTTCGAATCTCGATCTCCAAGTCTTGTACCTTGATGCCTACGCGAACAAGAGATGACAAGGAGCTATCATTCACCGCATTCACAGTACGGCGAGCTGAAGTTGACGTCTTGGAGTTGCGGCACGGCGCGTCGAATCCATTCTTCTTGGTCGGGCTTTCAAATGTCGGCCGATGAACGCTTCGCGAGGGTCGCAGTCTGTCACTCAAGAAGTCACTGTCACGTGAAGGCCACGCAGACGAAGTGTCATCGCGCTGCTTCACAAAAGCGTTCTTGTCTACAGGAACGACCCCCTCCTTCTTAATGCGCTTCTTTTCGTTGTGCTTCGTCTGGAGTATACCTGCGATGTTATTGACAGCATCGCGCATTGCCTCAGAAACACGCACAGCCTCGGTAAGAAGCCGAGAGCATTTTCGCTCGACGTCATCGACCCAACGAGGTTGGTCCTTTGTACGATCAAATCCACGCGATGCTGTCTTCCAGACCTTGCCGTACCGTCGGTGTAGCTCGTGAGATTGCTTCATGAAGTCACCCCAGCGCTCAGACACTAAGTGCATCCGGCCGATGTACTCGTCCAGCTGCGACATAGCTGCGTCGTGGCTCTCTTCCCTATCAGAAGCGCCAACAACAGAACCACGAACAATCGGACTGTCCTCCCAGCGCTTATAAGTCTCCGTGATCATGTACTGTGTTTGTTCCAGCTGCTCCAGCAACGTCTGGTTCACCTCACCAAATTCAACACGTCGCTGCAACTGCTGTGCGTGCTTCATCACAGCGGATTTATACTTCTCGATATCCTTGTCGCGGCCAGCAATGGCATCTTTGTACGTTGCAATCGCCTTCAGTAGCTCTTTGTTTTCTCGAACCGCTTGCATGTACTGCTTCTGAGCATGCTTAGCAGATTTTCGGCGCTCCTGAACCTCCTCAAACAGCAATCGATTGCTTTCTTTTAGGGCATGAACGTCGTACTGTGCTTCCTCACGAGAGCTTCGCTTTAATGCCAAGATGTCGCTTCTAGCTCGAGAAAGAGCCTCCTCTGCCTTGGTCATCTTGGATTGAAAAATCCGAATTTCTTCTTCAAGAGATTGTCTCTCCTCTTCTTTTCGCATGCGCAGCTTTTCATATCGAAGCGACCATTTCTTTTCACAGGACTGCTTTGCATTCTCCGCGTGCAATGAAGTGCTTTGCAGGGCTTCCAGCTTGCTTTGACTTGCGCGCAATTGGGCAGTCAGACCTTCAAGCTTGGAGTTCAACACAGACGTCTGTTGTTTCCACCGTGTCTGCACCGCTGTTGCCTCTGCCTTAAAGTCATTCTTCAAAGCAAGGATAGCCTCTCGAGCTAGGCTTGCCACCGTTTGGTGCCGGCGATCGCTAGAGGTCACACTGCGGCTTGACAAAAGCAAGCGAAGCTCCTTCTCCACTGCCTCAAGCTCTTGCCGTTTGGACATATTCTCATTCTTCAATGCGACTGCCGCTCGCTCCGCCTCATATGCTCGTCGGCGCTCTCCATCCAGTTGTCGTAATATTTTACTTTTCTCCATAGCAAACTGATTTTGCGATTTCTTCAGCTGTTCTCGAGCTGCCGTGCTCGTCGACGAGCCGACCAATCCTGCCTGTGCTAGCTGACGCTCAAGATCCTGCACACGCGTTGCTCGTCGAGTTAACTCATCTTCACAGCCACCGAGCTGTTTTTGATACTCCTGTAATTGAGCAGATTGCCTCTCTAGGTCTCTCTGATATACAGAAAGACGGTGGCACTGCTCCTGTGCATTTGCAGCCTCGTTCGAAAACTTCGCCTCACTAATCTGAAGCTTATGTTCCATGACCTCGAGTTCCATCTGGAAGCCTGACAGCTCTTCACGCAGTCGCCGGTTGTCCTCTTCCATACCTTGACGGTTTTTCTCCAATGCGAGTAGCCGTTCGTTAGACGTTTGCTGGCAGCGCGATTCAGCCAGCTCACATTGTTCCTTCATCTTACATGCCTCGGCCTCAGCAATCTCTAACTGATTCTCCAATCTCTTAACCGTTACTTCGTGTTCATTCTCCAGTATGCGTCTCTGGTGCAATTCGGACTCAAGCTGATTAATCGTTCGTATAGTGGCTTCGCGATCAGTCTTAAAGCCATCGAGTGACTTCGTCAGCTCTTCGCAGGTCGTGGTCAGCTTTACATTCTCCAAACGTAACCGTTCAGTCTCGTCAGAAAGTTGCTGTCTCTTCTTAGTCATTCGCTCAGTTTCAGCCTGCAGTCTTGCACACTCCTGTTTCATGCTTCCGTTGACCATCGCAAGCCGCGATTTCTCTGTAACCTCAGCATGTTTTAATCGACTCTCCAACGTCTTAATTGTGAGTTCATGCTCATTCTCCACCTTGCGTCTCTGGTGCAACTGAGACTCAAGCTGCTGAATCGTGTTCAGAGCAGCATCTTGATCAGCCTTCATGCTATCAATTGACTTGATCTGTTCCTCTGAGGCTGCTGTCAACTTCACATTCTGCAAACGTAAGCGTTCAGTCTCACCAACAAGTTGCTGTCTCTCCTTAACAATTCGTTCAATTTCAGCCTGCAGTCTCACCCGCTCCTGTTGAATGCTCTCGTTCTCCATCGCGAGTCGCTCCTTGTCAAAATGTGCTTTTTCACGATCGGTCAGTAGTCTCGTGTGCTCTGTACGATAGTTTTCACTCTCACGGTGTAACTGCTGCATCTGCTGTTGAACCTGTTCTTCCATTCGCTTAAGTTTGACCTGATACTGATCATCCAACGTCTGGTTCTCCTGTCGCATGGTCTCTATCTGCAATTGCAGTACCGTCACTTGTTCGTCCCGTTGCTTGCTTATAATCTTATAGTGCTCTGCTTCTGCCGAGATTTTAATATGATCCATCTCCATTTGCTGCAGTTTCTGCTGCTCTCTTTGACTCGTCAGCTCCACTTGTCTCTGTTCTTGCATCCTCACCTCCTTCAGCTCCTGCATCTGAGTCATTAAAGTCCTCATATCTTTTCTCTGTCTCTCTACTTCTTGTTCCAGTTGCTGAATTTTTTCGAGATTCACTTGTTCTCTTTTACGTGTTGTCTCTACTTCCAGTCTCCATTTCTCGGCCATTTCTGCATCAACACTGCCTCTTTCTTCCAGATGCTGTTGCAATTGAGCTTGTGCTTCTTTCTGAGCATCTTTTCTTGCTCTAGCAGCTGTTTCTTGAGCCTCTTGAAGCTTTCCATGCAGCATATCGAGAGCTTCCGTAGCTCGAATCATGCTAAAATTCCGCTGACGAAGCTCATAATCCCGTTCTTCGAGCGTAATACGCAACTGAGCGAGCTCAGTCTCGAGATCTTCACTTGCAAAGTCTGTTCCTTGCTTCATACGCAGCAGTCGCTCCTCTAGAAAGTTTATACGTAACGCTTGGTTGAAATTGTCCATACGCAGCCGTTCCCGCTCTGCTTCTTGCTCACGAAGAAGCGTCGAATGATCATGTGTGGGTGTCGATGTCATGTTGAGATCGTCTTGATTACGGACACGCTGTGGGCTCTGCATAAGAGAGAGAAAGAGAGAGAGAGGTTAGCGTCCAAGTCGACTGGATTGGGTCTCTTGTGTTTTGAGAATGCCACTTCGCGCGTGTTTTTTCAAAAAAAGACACGGTGGACCACATGATTTGTGTTTTTTGAAATTTCGATAAAAGCGCTTTTATTTTTTTAAAGCAGAGTACGAAAGTATTTGACGAAATAACGTCTCCAGTTTGTACTTAAAGAAACTCCATGGCTGTATCGTTATAAGGCCTATGCGTTCTGACAGGTGTGTCACCTACAGTTTGTACATACATGAACTTTGGTAGTTTTTGATTAGACACCGATCGCATAATTTTTAATTTGTTAGAATCACGCGGTAGCCGTTTACTCTGGTTTTTCAATATGTGAGTAACCTTGAGCACCAAAACTCGCATGTGTGATACTGTAGATCTGGCTTCGTTTCAAAACACACCTCGATCAGAGTCTTGGTTGACCAAGAAGCGCACGTAACTCGATTAGTCACATATACTGCAGTATTCATAGCTTCAGCCCACCACTTGCATATGATTTAGCATCGATCTTGTACATTCAGTCAGTGTCCGATTCATTCATTCAGCCATCCCATTTTTACTGTGACGAATATGACACTATTGTTTGGTGCACTTTTCCAGCCTTATCATACACTTCTGCACACCGCGTGTCCATGTATTGTTTGCGCGAATACATGTGATATTGGTACTCAACTGGTCTTTCGTCATCGACTTATGTTCGATGAACTTATCAACCATGTCGGACTTGTGTGTGGCGTAGTATGCGACCACATAGTGTGAACAATCATCCAAAAAACGTTTCCACGAATCTTGCTCCTCTTTGTGACTTGGTCTCCATTGACCCGATACGTCGCTGTGAACAATCTGAAGCAAAGAAGTGGTCTTCTCTTCGCCGTAACTTGACTTTGGAAACGGCTTGACTGAAGACTTGTATATCATCAACAGCAGACGAAATTTGTATCTTAAATCCTCCTTCGCACTTGTCGAGGTTGTCATTGCATTCATTGGCAGATGTCCTAATCGTGCATGTCACACACTAGGACTCACATATTAGGCTCCACCGCCGACTTCTTTGCTTGTGCTTGCTGATTCCAATGCATTACATTCCAGCACGAATATTTTACCCTTTTGGGTCACTTTAGTCACTACTTCTTTATCATTCTTGATCTCACATGTTCTATCGCGAAAGGTCACAATGCTGGAATTGACGATGTATTGTACGTTCCGGAGCTGAAGCCTACGATCCAACTCCGGAACGTAGAACACACCTTCGAATGACTTCTTATGTTTCGGGACAGACCCAACTCCAGTTCCAGCACAGTTTCACCATTCGCAATCGAAATACTAAAACACTTGTAAGCGATCGAATCTCTACAAACTCATTTTGTGATGAATACTTGCGCCACTGTCGAGTAGTTAACCTTCCGAGCCATGTTCACCCACAGTGAACGCTTGCTTATATCTGCGACGACCTGGTGGATTAGCCTTATCAGCTAGATTGCATTCTTCTGTAAGTAGAACTAGCTTCGAAAAGGCGATTGCTCTGCCTTGATCGAAATCGCACTCCAACAGCACCTGCGCGCTAAAAAGCTCCAGCGGTGAATCCATCATCTTGAAGTAACTTTATGAGATAGCGGATCGCCTCTAACTGGTTTGGTGTCGGAACGGGAGCTGATATTAGTCCTATAGCGATCTATGCATCCTCGGCTTCAGCTTGATTTTAAATTTTTAGCGATTTCCAATAGAGATTAAACATTCGAGTTGATTCAGTTACCACTCTTATCTTTCTTTTCTTTATCGACCAGTTTCTTGTCGGTATCCTTGCGATACGATCCAGGCGCCTTCATCTTCACTCGTGAGGGCTCCGCATTCTCTTCGACTTCTATAGAGTGGTTTGGATGAAGCTCTCTCGTGAGATCTCCAAGCGTTATATGCAGTACACTGCACAGCAACAACATCTGCTGGAGCAAATTGCGGCATGTGAATTTGTCGGCTGTAGGTCTACTGTGTGTGGAGGCTTGAGAGAGTTCGAGAGCTGACGTCCAAGTCTCTCCGTCCACGCGAACTTAGGCTCATATACTCATTTGCTAGTACAAGACCTGCTTCACTTTCTGCATCACGATACTCTCCACATTGGACGGTAGTCCATGCGCAGTCGGAAAAACCCGTGTTTGTCGTCTCAATCTCGCAATCGCAGCTGATACAAAGGTGAGCCCTGCTATCATACTTTTCTACTTTTCCCCAGACTCAATTTGTAGCTCCGTAGAATACAGCAGCTTGGCTCAATAATTGCTCTCGTAGGCACATCATCTCCTCCCTTTATATTTGAGTTTCACTGGCACTTTTAAGCCAGCTACCTCAATTGGTCCATCATCCAGCAACCCAACCAGGAAATGGGCCAAATGAAAGTGAGCAAGCTGGACAAGAAAGACAAGTCCAAGCTTTCGGTGCCAAGAATTTAAACAATCGTAACTTCATCAACGCGATAAGCTATAAGCATTTTCTACCACCGACCCTGAAACAGTAAAGCCGCACGATAAAACGTTAGGACACGACTGCGTCTAGTGATTGTCAGAAAGTTCGATTGGTATGACTGTCAATGTAACACACAACAATTCGTCGAGAAAAGTGGTGCAATGAGATAATACGTTAAAATAACTCCCTTCGTAATTCACCCCTTCGAATTCAGTTGCAGCTTACGCCCTAGCTGAGTACCCACAACCCAATTCTCGAAAATTTTGATTGAGCTCAGCAGCTTCCGCTTCTTTCAAATCCTGTAACCTTACACCAATGGGTGAACGCCGGCGCTCTCGCGCTTTTACAGGTCACCGGGTGCAGTTTACGCCCGATTGTGTTATCCTAAATGTATTTAGCTCGCTGATGACGTCCGTCAGTGACGGCACTATGACGCCAAGTCCCAACTGGGCGTCATTCCCGTTTAATGTGAATCCATCAATGGATATCACATTCACGAGGGTGGGTCACATTGATGTGTCTCACTAAAGTAGGAGGTCTAAGGTACCACGTACCCTTGTAAACTCTCCGTTAAGTATCGTATACTCAACGGACTTATGCAACTATTGTCCCGTTACACCATCCCCTCTTTTCAACGATTTTTACATTTTGTAGAACATCGAAAGTAGAGATGCCATCGAAACGTGGTAAGGCTAATAAGTTGCCTGCAAAGGCGCCCATGAAGACCAACACAAAGCCCACGCGACGCGATATATTTGCAGCCGTCCTAAGTGTTTTATGTGACAACGTCGACATCTATCAGCTCTTCAGCAGAGAACACTGATCCATCCCACTATTGTGCGGATGAAGATCTGTCTCTCATTGTAGACAACAACGAGAACACGCTATTGCCATCACCCCAAAGTGGTGATGAGAACAGTGCATTAATGGGACATATGTCCCCATCATTTGAGGCACCCAACCTTCAGGAAGCTTCCATGCTTCCTGAAAGCGAGAGTGATGCCTCATCATCTGTGCCAACAAGCGCAGCGACCACAACTGAGCGCGTTGCTTCGAAGAAAACAGCCGCGACTCAACAGCAAATCGGCAGTATTAAATCGCCCGCCTCCGTTAACCTACGTCTGCAGTTTTGCCAATCGATTATAGAAAGTCAGAATCAGGCGAAGGTGAGCTACCAGATCCACCGACTTCAAAGTCGGCCTCACTAGCTCGACGTCGCGAGGTCCGCAACTTAAGTGGTGGAATACCACGAATGCCACCCCCATTCGAGTGGTCAAGCTCGAGTGGTCACGCTCGAGTGGTAATAGTGCGACGATCCTAGAGCGTGTCACTATTGACGCTAATAAACTCTTTAGCGTCATTCCATCATGGAAAAGGCAGGGCAAAACACTAGTTTGTGCGCTCCCTATCCCCGTCGTGTTGCGTTCGATTAAAACAACTGACGAATACGAGGCATAGTTCCTGTGCCGTGTTAAACTGCATACAGATTCAGTGAAACAGCGGTCGCAGTGAATCAGCTTCGCTATGACGCGTGTGAGGGAATTCTGGTGTGGTAAAACATATCCCTAAGTTCATCTCGCCACGCCGCCTCTGCTATTCCATCACTACCTAGCAGAGATAGTGCAGCTGGTGCTTCTGCTCGTAAGCAAACAGCAGCCCAGGCATGTCGACACGCAACGCGTCAATCGGTTCTTAAGTCAAAATTCTCGGATATTTTTTTCAATTGGACAAGAATATGAAGCTTTTGCTTTGCATGGCGATGGGCCAACAGCCTTTCAACAAGAAAGCGCTTGTTCCCACTTGTATTCACCAACACAGGTGGCTACCGATAGGAGCGGCTATTACGATCAACTACCTGTGGTGCTACGCAGGCACAGAGCGCTGCTGTGAACCGACAGTTTTTGAATCACGACCGTCAAGTCTCGCAGCTGACCTCGGAACTTCAAGATGCGAAGGCGGGGGCCTTCAGAGGTATGACCGCCTTAAGCCTTTATTAGATATTGTAGAGAGACAGGTAATGAGGATACCGCGTCAAGCGTGGAGTCCTCCTCGATCACTAAGTCCCTATCGCCTCATTAGTATACGCTTTCCGGCTTCACCGTCGCCTGATCGGCAACGACGCTCGACCCACTGTCGACGTCACCATCGGTCTCGTTAGGCAGATGCGAATATGTGACCTCTTGTGAATCCACATATCGTTTCAGACGACCCACGTAAAATACGTGGTGCTTCTTCATATACTCTGGCAGGCTTAATGCACATTGGAGACCTTCATGGCTGCCAATGTTGACGACACACCTTGTGCTTTCACAAGAGACACACTTTCCTGGTGTCTTGCCTCGAAGTCCGGTCTGCGCGATAACGCGTCAGCCAAGACATTCGACTTACCTGGCTTATATTTAACTTTAAAATTGAATAATGGAGGAAAAAGGGGTCCAACAGGATATCCAAATCGCAATCAGAGAAGAATGTTAGCCATCTCGCCATCCTAGGCAAGAGGTGAGGTGAATTTATAGCGGTCCGCAGTGATGCGTGATCCGTATAAACCACAAAAGGTTCGGTGCTCAATAGGTGCACACAAACTTAACAAGAGCATACTTAATTGAAAGTAGCTCCTTGTCATGCACAGGGCAATTCAGCTCTTCGGCTTGCAAAAGCCGAGACTGATACGAAATGACACGGTCAATGCTGCTGTCATCCTTCTGCATGATCAACTCTTGTGGCATCACAAGCTACTCCCATAGCATACCGCTTGGGGTGTTTACTGCCATTTTGGCTACATCAGTATCTCTCGTGAGAACTTGATAGTAGCCATCCTTTAAGTCTAACGCGGAAAAGTTAGTTGACTTTCCCATGGAATTCAACAAGACATCTGACCGTGGGATCGGCGTTGCGCCGGAATGGTGGCCGTGTTCAGCTTATTATAAGCATGAACCACGCGCCATCCACCTTTTGCTTTACGCACACAGAAGGTAGGGCTGCAGTGAGGCGACTTGCTCTCACGTACATGTCCCGCCTTGTCTCGCTTGTCGAAGAACTCATCAATGTAATCGACTTGTTCCTTCGGCAACGGCCATTGCCTGGTCACACAACACTTGGTGCCAGGCTTCAGGTCAATTTCGTGCCTGATGCCCCTATCGGCCGGTAGGCGGCTCGGCACTTCTGCTGGGAACACATCACGGTGTTTCCACAGAACATAATAGAACGGGCTGTCCTTCAAGGCATCCCAGCCTTGAGCAGCGAACCGTTTCTTTTTTTCGGTCTTCAAGACGCTCTCGTCCATTGTGGATGAAGAGCAACAGTCCACCACGCTCTCTTCTGGAACTGGTGCGACTATCTCGTGGATCTTTTCTTCCTTTAATTTAGACAGGAACAGATCCCACGTCATCTCCGAGAGATTTACTATCTCCTCGGCAGATGCCAAGACAAGTTGGAGCACCTCAACTGAGCATGCCTCCGGCATTTTGTCTTCGACGGCCTCGAACAACTCGTTCGTAGGTCCGTCCTCTTGGACCGAGACTGATCCAAGGGTCGCTCGTTTCGACGTGCCCTTGATCGTATTAATACGTCTGGTGCTCGTTGTTCGAGTCACCACGACCTTTGAACTGGAAGAAGGTGTCGTTGCTATATCAGCTAACGCACTCCTTCCAACCGCACCAGGCTCATGGCTATGTGCCGGTTATTGTGGCGCTTGACCTCCTGTCAGCCCACCATCATCTGCCACAGGCTCTCGGCTCTGTGCAGGACTATTGGACGCATGACTACCTGTCATCGCCCCATTCACTACACCAGTCTTTTCGACCTGGGTAGGAATATGTGTCACCTGACTTTCTGCCAGGGTACTTCCAACTAGACCACTCTTTTTGAGCTGGGTAGTACCTGGTGCCGATTGAAATACCGCCATCGCACCCTTGACACAGCATCAGTCACATAAGACTCTCGCAGGAGCACATCCTTTCCGGTGTCCTGCGTAGAGCTAGCGACTGTGCGTGTACGCCAGTCAATCCATGGTTGGTGTTAAGCCAACCAAGGCATGCCTAGGATGAGGTCATACGGACTCTCCATACCTATCACCGTAAACTTCCCTTTACAATAAAACCCCATTGGTGTTCCCCAGTCAATAATGCTGAAGGAGAATTCAACTTGAACTCCCTCCCATTTACGAGCGCGTCGTTCGCTAAACGAACGGTCGCCTCTTCTTTCTTGCCATCCTACCAAAGCGACTCATAGTCGTCGGACTCTTCTTCAGAGCCGCGAGTTTCACAGAATCTCGCGATGCATTCGAATCAACGAGAATGGTCATCACTTGGTCATAACCTTGTACTTGAGCGCTATAGATCAAAATGATTTGAGGTCCGATCCTTTGGTACCTCAAGGACTGCGCTACCCATTGTTTGATAACTATGAACGTTGGGGTAACTTCAAAGTCCGCGACAGTAGGGCATCCCGCCCCTACTGCGCTCCCACATTTTTCGACCCATCTTGGGCAGGTGCTAAACTCGTGCATCGTGTACGCTGGTTTTTCGCACCTCCCTTTAGGTAGGGAGCCTTCTTGCTGGCTGCCTTAGCACCAGCAGCAAGTTTGGCATAGCAGCGAGTCATCATATGTCCGCGCTTGCCGCACTTGTAGCAGACAGCATCTGCATTGCCTAACTCCATTGGAGTGGCATCCGACTTCTCATACGATGCTGTCGCGAGGCACTGTTTTAGGATTGCTGTTTAACCATGGTAATTTCAATTTCCCCTTCCATCGTTTTTTGCACCTTTTTAAAAAGGGCCTGACGCGATGGGCCATGCCGTAGTCCGTTCATGAACGTAGTTACCTTAATGTGTTCCGGATCTACAGTAGTGGACGCAGACAGCGAACGCATCTCCTGCCTATACTCTTGCAAAGATCGCTTCGCCTGTCGTGCTCCAAAGAAGCGTACCTGAATTAACACTTCATTGTTAAACGGCTTATACATGGCGCGAATCTTTGACTTAAAGATCGCATATGAAGGAAACGCTTTTGCGTTTGCCATAAGCGCAGAGTATGCCCACTCTAACGCTTTGCCACGCAATTTTTTCTAGGCATACGTCGTCTTCGATGAGCTGCACCATACCGCATTAATTCACTGCTAAAGAAAGTGGACAATCTTAGTGGGACAGTCCCATCAAATTTCAGAGGGTCCATTCGAATAAACCACGGCTGATTAGACCGGGCAGAGAGCGTCTCAATAGTTTTGTTGAGCGCCTCGTTTCGATCTTGCTCACGGAAAAGTCCATCCTGAGTGTTATTAATAGACTCAGCTGTATCATGGCTGTTTGCCTCGGACGCATTTCTGCGCTGGCTTAGCACAAACGCCTCGAGTTGCTCCATCTGGGCAACATGTTGCTCAGGAGGACAATTTAAGAGCTTGACCAGGGCTTGTTAACCAAGTCACTCCACCAAGTGCCCTGCCATCTCCCTATATGTTGGAAAAGGTAAAAAAAACTCGTCCCAATTCATATTAAGGACCATCCGCACTCACACACAAGCTTAAAAAGATGGCTCGTGGAAAGGGCTATCAATTGTAGACGGACATTCAATGAAGCTTCCGCATGCTACTTTGGCACACACCTTCAACCACGCGATGAAGCGGTTGCCGTATACCGTCCGGGCGCCCTGGTGAGGTTTGTGTAGAGGGAGAGGTCCGTCAAAACAAACGGATGCCGCGGAAGCATCTGTCAAAGGCCTGAGCTGACCATATATATATAGATTTAACTATATGGATAGGACGGGATGTTGGTGTGTCAAACAGCCTGTGTGTCTGTTACGGAAATCTGTTAGCTTTATCTGAGATTTTCAACAAATGATATACAGAATATGTAATAGAGTAGTGTCTGTCGGTGCGATCCTTTTTTAGCATTCTGATTGGCTAATTTTTAGTAGATCTTCATTTGCATTGGCTAAATTTTGCAGCAAAACTCCATTCGGATTGGCGCATTTTGCACAGATGCAAAACCTGGCATGATTTTGGCTAAGCCACACCCATGGAAAATGTAATTCGCACCCATCACTCATTTGCTTAAGAGACGACCCTCCCTGGGTGGGACCTCTTGATAAGATAGACATCCAAGGGATCTTAGCAAGAAACCTACCGCTGGACACCGCCGTCGACTGTCTTCAGACCTGTACCTCCTTCTCCTGTGTGCACAGGATCGTGCATTCTCGAAGGCCTTTAGCGCGCCGCTTATTGGACCTTGGCGAGATTAGAGAGAAACGTAGAGAATGAGAAATACCACGACGCATGCGCAAGCTGACCCACTTTGGTGGCAAGACGGCTCGCGTCACGTGTTTACATACACACATACATACATATTTATGGTCGCGCGCACCTTTCCGTCGGTAAAAGCCCAACAGTACAGAAAGATTTGCATCTGGTCTTGATTCAAGGATACGTATGCATCTGGTCTCGAATCATGGATACGCTTGTATCTGGTCTTGATTCATGGATTCGTTTGCATCGGGTCTTGAATCAACGGTCATTTATCCTCACTCTAACATTTGCTGCCAAACCCTCCTTGCTGAAACCATGAAAAAGCCTGGCGAGTCCAGCGTAGTCCAGTTCTCCTACACGAAGGTGCTTATCTTTTTTGTTACGCTGGTCGCATACTCGACGAAGAGCGTAACCGCTGCAGCGTCGACGCCTGAAGAAGTTGTAGGCAGACCACCCGATTTGAATGCGCGGAGTGCGTCATTCGCCTCCCTCCCGGTCCAGCGGTATCTGAGGTCAACGAGTGACAAGATAAGTCATTCCGAAGAGAGGGCGGGCTGGACAAGTTATCAAGCCGCCCTGGCGTCAAAGCTCCAAACGGGTTGGACAGATTTAAAGCCACTCCCGACAAGGATGATGAAGTGGCTGCGAATGAAACGCTGGGATATTGCCTTTACGTACTGGAAGCTCCACAAGCAAGAGCCCATGACACTTTTTGAGAACCCTATCTTTCTTAAATTTGTCGGTCTCGTTGAGTCGAAGTACCCAGGAAACATTGACAAGCAAGCGGACAGGATTTACGCGGTTCTTGCAAGTCATTACAAACCTGACAAGCTGGTAGATATTCTAGCTGTGGGGTTGGACAGCAAGAAGAAAACGTTAGCCGGATTAATGCTGACTGCTCAGGTCACGAGCTGGATTGATAAGAAAATACCTGGGCAAGAGGTTTTTGAGCTTTTGAAGCTCGGTAAGATAAACGACGGAAAGCTCTTTGCAGGCCAAGCTTTTTTGCAGTTCACGTCGTTCATCGCGAGAAGCTACGATCGTCCAGAGTCATATGATGTGCTGTATGAGATGTTGTATTTTAATTACGGAGATAGTATGTGGAGGCTGCTTAAAGAATCAAAGAGCGTCAATCCGAGCCCTGCCGTAACCGACCTGCTAACGAGGCGTTGAAACGACAAGAAATAATCTGCGAACAAGTTTTCTAGCCATAAAGTTGACGAGTCTGGAAAAGGTTGGCGAAAGAAAAGTGTGGTGGCGTCCAAATGACTGATGATGAGTACGCTTTCAACTTTGAGGGTGACCATATACCATTTAACAATGACGCAGCTCTTCACAAGTTTGCAGACGTCATGTCGCAGCTGAAGGCATGTTTTTCTTATAACGACTATTCAATGTTGCGTTCGCTTTACAGAGAAGACGCCAACTTTAATCTAAAACAACGGTAGTGTATTATCGTTAACGTTGAAAGCCTCGACACCTGTATCGGATTTTACATCAGCATTATCGTTAGCTAGTGAATGAATGTTAGTACGAATGTTACATTAGCTTTCAAGTTGAAGTGCCATGTCAAATTCCTTTGGTTGGTCCATCTTTGTAGACCTCACAAGTTACATGACAATCCCGGCTCAAGCTGCAGAAGGCCAAGCGCGCGTAGGCCGAACAACAATGGAAGAATTGTGTGATGTCGCTGCAGCCATGTATTGGAACATGCTAACCACGATAGTTTTCGAAACCTTTCCTCCTTTTACTTAATCGTCATAACAAGCGGGCTACCTTGCAGCTAAGACGAGGCACATGATACGCTTATAGATCGGCCCTTCTAGCGCGGCCGGATTTCCAGAGCATTTTACGTACGGTTCCCCCTCGACAAACACGTTCTCTCTCGCTTGTAATGCTGTACCAAATAGTTAGGAAATGGCCATATCGACGGCATCGTCGTCAGCGCAATTACGCGTACAAGTCCTCGATAACCGATTCGTACTTTTCGTGCACAATCTTACGCTTCAGCTTCAACGTTGGCGTCAGCTCGTTGCCGTTAATGGAGAAGTCGTGCTCCAGTACAACATACTTGCCCACGTTCTGCGCACGAGACGTGGCACGAGCATTGGCACGCTTCAAGCCGGCGTCCAGATACGCCTTTACCTTCTCGTCAGCGCGAGCCTCCGCAACAGTCGTCGCCGAGCTGCCAACTTCCTTCAAGATGCTAAGCGCCTTGTCGTCCAGCGTGTTCGTAGGATGACCATCCTTATCCGCTGTCACACGCAGCGTGAACAGCGCAGCCAGGAATTTGCGGCGGTCGCCTACTACCATCGCGTTCGACAGCAGCGGTAGTTCTTCCTTGACCGTATCCTCAATAATAACAGGTGGAACGTTTTCACCACCGGCAGTAATGATCAGCTCCTTGATACGACCCGTAATCGTCATGAAACCGTCCTCGTCGATCTTACCGCAGTCACCCGAGTGTAGCCAGCCTTCCTCGTCAATCGTGTCATTCGTCTGCTGTTCACCCTTCAGGTAGCCCATCATAATGTTGCGACCGCTGAAGATCAACTCGTCCGTGTCAGACACTGTCTTGGTCTCCATACCGTCAATCGTACGGCCGCACGTGCCAACCTTCCAGTAGCCTTGCATGCTGCACGTCTGCGGGCCGCATGTTTCGCTCTGGCCGAAGAACTCATACACCGGCAGATCCAGCGAGCCAAAATATTCGATGACTTCGCGGCTGATGGGTGCAGCACCACTAAAGTTAGCAATGCACTGGTCCAAGCCGAGGGCCTCCTTCACACGCATGAGCACAACAGCATTGGCGATGCCGAAACCACATGGAGCACCACCCGAGTTGCCGTACTGAGCAAGCGCCATCTTTTGAGCAGCCTTGCTCTTTGCCCACTCCGCTATACGCTTCTTGATGCCCGTAGTCTGGGCCGAAATCGACCACATCTTTTCGGCAATCTTTTCCCAAACACGAGGTACACCGAAGAAGAACGTCGGGCGCACCTCTTTGAGTGTCACGCCCAGCGATCCCTTTAACGCATCGGGCTGCGCAAAGTAAATCTGCACCCCGCCACAGATAGGCAGCCAAATGTCAATCATCTGGGCGGCAACGTGGGACATCGGCAGGTAGCTCACGAGACGGTCTTCATTGCTCATTGTGTGATTCAAGTTGCGCTCAAACATGTCGATCACGCTCATGACCGTAAACACGACGTTGTCATGTGAGATCATCACGGCTTTCGGGTCGCCAGTTGTACCCGACGTGTAAATAAGTGTACAACAGTTGCCCGGCTTTTGAGAGTCCATGACGACCTTAAGGGTCTCGTCCTTAACATCTTTGCCTAGCTCGATAAAGTCCTTAAATGAGTACACAGGTACCGTCGACTGGATACCCTCAGGAACAACGTCGTTCCACAATACAAGAGCTTTCAGCTTTGGAAGATTCTTCTGAACAGCCAAAAACTTTTCCAGCTGTTGCATACCGTCGCAAACGACGACACCAGATTCCGAGTGTTTTGCAACAAACTCACATGCCTTGGGGTTATTCGTCGTGTAAATGCCAGCAGCCACACCACCCGCAAAGATCGCGCCAACATCGGCAATGGCCCATTCCGGCGAGTTAAAGCCGATAATATTCACGGCTTGATGACGTTCCAAACCAACGTGCAGTAGCGACTTGGCAAACTGACAGCACTTGTCATAGTACGTCTGGAACGTATACGAATTCCTACAGGACAAAAAGATACCATACAAACGTAGGTATTCCCTTATCAATGACCTGCTCTTCTACTTGTCACACTGTATATTCACGTACCAGACCCCATCCTGTTTAAAATGAAGCACATTAGCTGATCCATACTTGATCAACGTGTTTTGAAACGCCTGTGAAGTTGTAAGGGCGGGACGTGCACCGACACCAGACTCCGTCATGCGAATCGCCACCTCGTCCTCAATTTTCCACGTCTATCATTACAAATGATACCAAATAAGAAAAGACATCACGTGGGATGAGACTGAGAGCGATGTCAATTCGTACCGTATATTTCGAAGCCATAAGAGATACTCAGGGACTGGGACTCAGGGGGTTCTTCTTCTTCTGGGCTCGAGGTTGCAAATTCCGCACTGGGGACAATCCAAGCGAGATTATATAAAACGGAATTAGTAGTTCACTTGCTGTTTGTATCGAGTAAGATTCCGGAAAACGTATTTTTATTTCGACGAATCAAACGACGCCATCGCTTTGTAACCCGTACGTGGACGGGACGGTTATGGTTTTTGTCGAACGCAAAGGTGTTTCATGGGTGGAAAAGTGATTACAATGGGAGTTACCGTATGCCGTAACCGAGTGTTTCCAGTCAATGATGCAGTAGTTTAATGGGTTGTACATATATATAAGATTGATAACATCTGATTAAGAAATAGTGGTGATCGATGTTATCGAAGAAATGTACAGTAGCAATGCAAGAATTCACGAAACTACCAGCGAGGGAGCTTCGCGAATGAGTAACCCCAAGGGCGACAAGATCGACGCATCCATTTCTATGCACTTTTATCCTATGATATAGACTATACATACAAAACAGCTGGGCGCTAAGATACGGACGGTCCTGATTGTGTCACGACGTAACGTCCGACTTTAACTGAGATGGACCACTTTAGTCTCAGATAATAGTCAACTGAACCGTAGTACTGTCAGCAAGCAGCACGCAATAATAGCACCGCTAGGATGCTCGAGCTAACGATGTTGTTCTTATGTTGACAAGTGTTTCAATGTTTGTACAGTACCAACGTCTGTGCAAAGAGTCCGGTACATGAAGACTAGCGGCCATCAAGTGAAGCGCCAAGCATCAACCATGACAGTCAAGATTGAAGGACCTGTCCTTGCCGGCAGTCTCGTGACTTTTATTGAGACGCGAGAAAGCGATCTCGGACTTGCTACCTTGCAACCGTATATGACAGCGCAGCGTGTCTTCGCGGTCGTCGCGGGTAGCAATCAGATCGAGCCTTATGCGCATAAATTGAGACGGGGCCTACCTGCTGCTCGTGCTGTTGTCTCTGATGGCGCTGCATGTGGGGCTTCGCAAGTATACGGGCGGGAATATTTGCCTATATTCGTCTCAATGCGCTCCTTCTTACTGATGTAAGTAAGAATCAAAGTTTTCTAAGTATCTTTCATTAGCTCGTGGTAGCTCATGAAGAAAACTTTTAATTCATGATGGACCACCCGCAACAATGTGACCGATAGAACTTTGACAAAGCCATTTTGTTTCATCGCATCTTTGCAGGTTTGAGTCGAATTGTACCAATCAATCATCATTCACTCCACAGAGCTTTGTGAGCTGACCTCAAAGTGGCTATCGGTATCGTCATAGCTGTGCTCCAGTGGCGAGACACCTATACACGAAAAGTAAATTGTCAGCGCATAAAAAAAGGAAATTCGTAACTATGTATAAGACTCACATTCATCACGCGGGGACGACGTCTGCGATACATGGTCGATATATTCATTGACATCCGTCACGGACACACTGTCAAAGTCAAAATCCAAGCTGCTGGAGCTATCCTGCAGTTGCTCCTGGGGAAGAGATTGCACTCGTCGAGCAATCGCCTTTTTCCGCCTTCCTATAGGCGGTAGTTGATGACTCACCGGTAGCACCTGCTGCTGGAGCTGTTGCTGCGTGCGCTGCAATTGCAATTGGACCTCTCCTTCAATGCGCTGGCTTTCTATGAACGCCTTGAACCGACGAGCGGCATTTGGAGGTGGAGTTCGGCTTGTGCTCATTTGAGCCGCAAGGCTCTTTGACGCATCGGTGCGTCGATCTCCAGCCATCCATGACCTTCGTCGATCTTCAAAACATAATGACGGTCGCTTCCCTTTTTCCAATGCTGCTGCAAAACCTGGCATGTTTTCCATGACATCCGAAAAAGTGGCTTCTGGGCTGGGCAGTGGGACATGAGATTCCCAATCAGTGTATTTCGTCAGTGGTTGACTTGCGCGCCAGACAGCAGCTTGACGAACAGCCTGTGAAAGCGAGTGCAGCGACCTGGCATGATCGCTCGTGCCACCCGCGTGCTCCTCAATCTCATCCAAAAACATTCGTTTCTGGGCGGCCAAACGCGTTGGAGTCGGTTGCCCTCGAGAGGGCATTGCCGACGCGTGCTCTGCGGTAGCCGAATGATCTTGCGTGTTCGTAACGCTAAGTAGACTGCCCACAACAGTCGTCTGCTCGTCTTCATCGTCTTCATCACCGTTTCTTTCATCATCAGCCTCACGACCAGCGTCTTCCTCTTCCTCCTCTTCACTGCTTGACGAGTCTTCGCCTTGGTTGGGGCCAGGAGCTCCAAACATATCCATGGTCTGTTCAGCAAGCAGCCGACGAAGTAGCAACCGTTTCGAAACCTTTTGTTTGAGAAGCGGGCGCATGGCCTTGCGCACACCCTTACTTGACCAAGCTTTTTTGATGGAATTTTCGTGTTCACGCGAAAGCATAACGAATTTGCCAATCTTGTCGTCCTCGAGTTTTTCGCCGCGATCTAGTTTCCGCAGTACTCGTACCAACGTGCTCTGAATCGTAGCAATACTGCGGTCAACGTTCGTGTTATCAATCTTGGGAATAAGACACCGATCTGCGTGTTTGCAAAGATGGCGCTGAATGATGCGAATGTTATCAAAATGTTTAATGTACTTGTTCTCCTGTGGATCAATCGTCATATGACGCGCGCGTACAGCAAAACGCTCACGGTGTTTGTTTTCATTGCTAATGTAAATCACGAACGGTACACAAGTCGGGTGCTTTTTCACAAGCGTCAACAAATCGTCCGTATTCAAATGCACGCCTTCCACAACCAACGATTGTTTGCGCTCTTCAAACATCGTCAGTACTTGATCAAGTTTTTCCAGCACTAAATCAGACTGCATTTTGTAGCCCTTTAGCACCATTTTCTTGTGCAATCTCGCAGTCGAGATCTCGTCTCGATCTCCTTGAATTGCTGCGATCATCTCGGGTGACAAAGCCTCTCCAGCTTGATAGGTCGACACAAAAGCACATGGTTTCTCCTCTTTTGACGTAAAGGAACGCAATACATGACGTACTGAATCAGTAGGTAAAACCGTCGTCAATCTCAATCTTGCAGCTAATAATGACGCCAATGTTGATTTTCCAGTGCCTGATGTTCCTCCTAATAAGACTGCAAAGCTTTGATTTCTCTGTGTAATTTCCTCGGCGACTTCAAAGTCCAGTAAATGATGTGGCTTTACATAATCCAATCGTGCCAATGACGAATAGATACTAGAATGTAAGACATGCCAATCAAGTGTCACGGGCATTTTTTCTTCTTGTTCTTCATTCTGATTGGTAGTAAATACCCCATTGCGGTCCTTGTCTTCTTTTGGTGATCGATACTGTTGAAATACCGTAAAAACTTCCTGTGTCACGGTAACCGCATCTTTTGGTCGGCAGCCCATGAGCATTAGTGTCTCTTGGAGTCGATAGCGTGTAAAGCTCTTGCGCTTGTGACCCTCACGCTTAACGTAAAGGAGTTCCATGGGATCAGGCCCATCGGTTTCTGTCTCGACGACGTCCATAGTATCTGACAATCTGTTTTTTACCGAGAATTGTTTTATGGCCGATACTGACTTCAAATGCACGGGAATGTACGGGGATCTCATTGTGCTAGGCGCGGGGACGGGGGCGTAGCCGGTCATTAATCCCAAAGGACGTAGCTGGTTAAATCAGTAAACCGATATAAGTACGAATGCGTGGTGGGTTTTTTTGTGGGTGCTTCAAATACCGGTATTGTATGAAATGGGGACTATTACCTAATTGGAAACGAATTTTGGGTCATTTATGTCGCATGCAAAAGCGTTGGAAACGTGTTGAAGTAACAGGAAAAAATAACACTACGCTCGATGAAAAATGGACGAAGGAGGAAGACTTGAGGCTACAATATTGCTCATATGAAACAACTTTGCTGTCTCAAGACGGACGTTACGCTCCGTGTCCCAACGACATGTGTCTACTTTGTCGCAACGATTGCAAGCATGTTTTTCCCATCGACACGCAATATCCTGGTCGTTCGTTGTCAACAAAGAACGTCGCGTCAAGTCAGCAAGATGTTGTAGAGCAAAATGTCATGACGTGTACGCACGCACGCACGGTCTCTGCTGTACGATCACAACGTCCAGATGTTTCGTTTTGTACGGTGGAAATACCGGTTGATTGCAATAAATACCATTGTTTCTATACTGAACTTCGTATCGATTTTTTGTGTCCCCCTCTTTCACTAATTAAAGTCTCAACACTAAGACGAAAAAAAGGTTCTCTCGGATGGCGAGCAAGCGTCTAGACGCTGTCAAGTTGGCCAAGAGCTCCCGTTGGGACGAGTTACGACGTCTTGTTGAGGTCGAGCCGGCCACTGCCCAGCAAGTGGATTCATACGGGATGTTACCACTTCATTGGGCATGTACGGAACCGCAGTCCATTAGTGAAAGTGTTCTCTTAGCGTTACTTAAGGCCTTTCCATTGGGGGCCCGGGCGTTCAATACGGCCGAAATGTTACCACTTCAAATTGCAATTAAGGCCCAGGCACGGATTGAATGGCTACAGGCGTTATTAGCGTCGTATCCCGATGCCGTCCTCAAGAAGTCACCAAATGGAGAAACGGCATTACAATTGGCACGGACAGCAAAATTGCCTCCTCGTAGTATGAAACTATTGGAAGAAATGTATCATCATGTCTGTACAAAAGAAGGACTGCCGGATCAGTTGGCAATGGAAAAAGCACAAGAAGAAGCAGAAGAAGCAGAAGAAGAGGGACAAAAGTACAAGAAGAAAATCATCATCATTTGAAACAGGAGGAAGGGCCATTACGACCGTCCGAGAGATTTCAAGCGATTGCAGGAGATTTACCACTTTATCAAAAGAAAATGGGTGGCATTCAACATGGACAACGACAACGTCGGTTGAGTAGTACAGCATCACTCAAGATGCGATCGTTCTCGGACAATGACTTTTACACTCAACAAATGAATGTGATGCTACCATCTACTGGAACAAGTTCTTGGTCTCCACGTAGGACCATTGAGACTTTGAGACCACAGTCTATTGTGTCGCAAAGACCGTCGACGACAGGAGCACGAAGTACAGTGTCTTTACCACCACGTTGGATGAATGCACCGAGTTGTAACATTTGTGCCCAGAAATTTGGGACGTTTAAGAAACGACATCATTGTCGCAATTGTGGACAATCCATTTGTCGTGATCATTCCGCACGTGAACGAATGAAACTGCCTCATTATGGACTTAGTGATCGTCATCGTGTGTGTGTCGTGTGTCACGATATGCTGCGTAACGCAGGTCGTCAGGTGAGTCGGCCAGTGAATTCGATGCACGCTACGCAGCGCGTCGTGCCGCTAACGAGGACTAGTCAGGCTTTAGTTAACGACGCTCGTCGCTCGGACGAGGCCCAGCGTTCACCAACTGGTATGCTGGAACGTCATGTATCGGCACCGGCACGCGCATCCAACTCTGCTGCTGGATCCTACCGAGGTGGAAATGGTGTTGCCGTGAACGAACAAGTCGCAAATTTGCAGAAACAGGTTACTCAGCTTATGGAGGAGAAGCAACAAGCAGAAATACAGCTGCGTGCCCAGGCTGAAATGTTGAATTCCGATCGCCTCACAAACGGTTCTCGCAGCAGCAACACGAGTGGCGGTAGTGGTGCTGGTTACATATCGATGTCGCGTGATCGTCAGAATTCTTTGCCAATGGCCACAGGCTCTGCAGTGTCGACTACAGTTAGCGCATGTCCAGTACCAAATCCTGGCATGTCGATGTATCGTTCTACAGGCCAACTTCTGAACAAACCCCGGAAGACTGGGAGTTTCCGGCTGGCACGCGAGATAGATATCGATAGTCCCACTTTTGGTGATTACCAATCTCAGCAACAACCGCAGCTGCAGTCATCACGCTCCAACTCAACATTGGTAAGTCCCGTACTGCAAAGGACGACACGGCTCCAGGACGCACTAAACACAATCGCCAACGTAGAGTCCACGTACGACGACATCGATGGATCGGACTCTGACTCCGACATTGAGGGACGCCACACCTACGTTGGTGACCTTCATGATGCTGAGGCAGACACTGAGGCCGAAATCGACGACGTCGCGAAAGAGTACCTCATTGACGATGAGGAAGATGAAGACGACGATGATGACGAAGAAGCAGTGGTGGAAGCAGCCAAAGCCGCAACTGTTGCGGTAAGTGACGAGGTGAAAGTGGAAGGTGAAACCGAGATTGAGGACGAAGTGAGCGGTGACATGTTGCCAGAAGTGGACGTGCTGGTGAGCCTAGGACACGTAATGATGGAAAAAGGCAGCGTTAGTGCTGCGGTACAGGCTTTCGCGCGTGCCGTAGAAATTCGACCAGACGACCCCGCTCTTCATTCGCTGCTTGGCCGTGCCTACTATGCTGACGAAAACTTGGATGATGCTGTTGCTGCCATCACAAAGTCACTGTCTCTGGAGGCGTCAGCGATGAACTCAACACTATTGGGCAAGATCCTTTTCGAAAAGGGAGACCACGAGAAGGCCATCGCGGCTTACCAGCGTTCACTTGACATGCAGAAGTAAGATGAGTGAGCGTGCGAGTTTGCATGGTGCAGGAAGCCTGCCGTTTGCTCGTGGTGCTCAACGTAATCTCACGGTGTTGGCAGCAGAATCACTGGGTGTTGTTGCCTTCCCCTGGCTGAAGGCGCTGTGATACTTGCTTTTCTTTGTTAGTGTGGGTGAGTGATCAAGTCCTAACGTTCACGTCCGAGTATAGACCCATTCCGTAACGGCTCGAGCCACCGAAGATCGACAGCTCGAGGCGTACAACGTCGATGAACTCCGTGCGCAGCAGGCCACTGCTTAGCGCGAGAAATTTGACCACGTGCGGGTGTAGACAATGGACTGCACCTTGCAACAATGTTTTGTCACCATCTATCGACTGAGCCAGACAGTTTGCAGTCAAGAAAAAAGAATCGTTGAGCCTACTTTCCAAGTACCATTGTTCTAAGCGTTTGTATAACTAAAAGTTGTACGTTTCGAATACTTTGACTGGAAGACTGATGGCCGACTTGAACGCATGTCTTGAGATTTCTACCAAGTTTATGACGAGCTAGAAGGGCAACTACACATCGGACTAATTTGGACGAGCAAAGGACGTGCTGATCGATTGGATGTTTGCACTTTAATATTGACGTGTTCTACGTTACGTTTTCTTGGTCTCACTTCATTGACTACTATGGTACGAGGATGCCGCGAGTTCTTGTTGTTTGGCGTGTATTTTCTCGACGAGCGCGAGACACATGAATTGCTTCCGAGAGAGTTTTCGTACTTCCTTTAGAAACACCGACAGTTCAATCTCGTCGTTGCCCAAAGCACGGTCCATGTAGTAGAGTGCGTCCTCGATAGAGTTCTGTTCAGCCAATGTCTTGATCATTCTGTGCAAACACAAAAGCGTAAAGGTTTTGAGTTGCGCCATTGCCACTACTTGTACGAACGTAACGTACTGTTTTGAAAGGGCATCGCCTTCGACCAAAATCGTGTCTGGATCCATTGAATCTTTGTGCTCATTCTCTTCAAGCCACGCGGTGATCTCTTTGTCCTGCATCTCCACAACTCCTTGTGCACGAGCAATGTCGTCACGCAGAGAACGCAATGACTGCAGTCCCTGCTCTACGTTCTCCCGCGACTGCGTAAGCTGGACCTCATGCTCAAACTGCAGATCGATATCGTCGCGTACGCGTTTAAATATTTTTTCCAACTGCATCTGAATCTTGCCTGTTACTTCGGCTTTAAGTGCAGAAGCACAATCTTCCGGTCTCACTTCCCCCGATCTAACCATCCCAGAACCCGACGACGACGACGACCCTCCTCCTCCAAGAAATTGCTGACTGCCTCCAAAAAGAGAATCAGGTTCACGGGAATCTCCATTCACTGACACTTCCTGTCTCGAATAAGTCTGAAATTGCGAAGAATAATACGGTGACGGCTGTGGCGGATGTGTCTGTGCGTACGATCCCTGCTGGAAATATCCACCCGTGCCACTTTCACCACTTGAACCAAACGTACCACTCCCATTGAATTGGTTGTGGTATGGCGATGGGCTAGAGTTTAGTGGTCGCCGGAAAACCGGCGGCATAGTGCCAAAAATGGAGCACATATGAGCCACAAGCTCGAGCATTGTAAAATCTGGTCTCCAGTCGGAAATGTATGGAATCTTGACGTATCCGTCGCTCGTCACATGTGGATGTCCAGGCTTGACCATCATATCAGCTGTGGGTCGTACAAAGCAGACTGGGGAAGTCATAGGATACGTCTCGACGATCCAAAACTCGATTGGAATATTATACTGATTCCCTCGATAGAAAATAGGGATCGTTCCTTCCAAATTAAGCAGTGTACTAGTCGTTCCATCATTATGAGCTGCTCAATGGACAGCAATGAATGCAAAAAAAAACACGACATTGCATGAGAAACTCCTTGTCCTGATCTCTAGAACCGTATACAAAGACCCAATTGACGTACCAAAGGTGCCGCAATTGGGTTGCAATGACGGGATTTGGCCCAAAAGATTATACACGTCTCCACGGACACGAGAACTGTGCTAAAAGACATGCAAATTAACGTGTTTTTAGAGCGCTTTTCAAGGTCAAGTCATGGCAATGATATTGAGTAGATAAAGAGCAGCAATACGCACGGGATAGCACTGTAGAGATGACAAGATCTGGTCCAAATGGCTCACATTAGTAGCAAACATTGTGCTACGCGAGACGAGGAGCTCAATTCCGTTATGTGTCTCGTATTGAATGTTGCTTGAAGCCAAATCCTTTCGAGCGACATGTCCCCCCTCTGTTTCGTAACATTTGAGTTTGTAAAGATGAAATTTACGAGAGGAATATTTGACCCAAAAGTGTTTTTTTTCACAAGTCGCACATGTTGAATGGTTGTCACAAGTCACATGGTTAGTGTCGAGCGAATTTGAAGCGGTCTTGTCCTCTCGACTTGATCTTGATCAAAATGACGCGTCTGCTTCTCTTCTTCTTCATTTGCTTCGTGTATGGAGAGGACGTCTGACACCAGTACTCAACACCGGACTGCTATCGCCGGCAACTGCTTTAGGAATTGTCGGTAATGCTGATCAGCTTCTTCTCCACATCTTCAAAGCGCTCGGAACCAGAACGATCGCGGTGAAAGTATCCTTGAATCCGCTGCTTCTCTGTCTCACTCAATCCCTCAAGGCAAAACTTGAGATGCGCTGGTGTCAGGTCTTTCCTTGTAATCAATCCACGCACTTCATTACGTCGGTTAAGCACAATGAGATGACGCAATCCCAATGATCGGAACAAACGGAATGCACGCGGCACTGGAGTCTGCTCCTGAACAGTATGGGGCGTCGGGTTCATGTATGGGGTAAGATCCATCCACAAGTTACGCTCCTCCTCGTCTAGTTGAATGTCGTTGACAGACGGGTATCGCGGGTAGCTGCCTTCCATGTCCCGATATGATAGCGCGTACTGGTCGTTGTACAACAGCGTCGTGTCACCAGCAGGAATACGAACAAAGGGTTCCGGTTTCTCCACAAAAAAGTCTTTGCGCTGAAGTAGCACAGACAAATGGTGTCGATTGATGATACCAGAAAAGCGAGGAGATTTTCGTCTCGCACCAAAGTTAGGCCGTTGCCCATCACCAGCAGCGTCCTGACTGCGGGGCACAATCACTGGAAAACCACCGTGGTTACATTTCTTGAGCACATCGTAAATCTCACCGACCTTGGCGATCTGTGGAACGCACGTTGGAGGCGAGCTCATGACGTTGAGGGCGCGCAGGAAGCGCGCGTAGTAGGGCGGATCAAATTCAAGAAACGGCAAGTGGTTCAAGTGAATGTGGATGTCGTACAGACCCTCGTTGAAACTGTTGCCGACCCAGCGAGCAGCCATTAGGGCCACCATGATGGGAAGACCCCACTCGATCACTCCCGTACACTCGAGGATGATTACTGTCAGCGAGATTGTCATACGTGCCATACCACCAAGCATGCTGGCAGCACCAATCAGAGCGAACATACCATCTTGAGCGCCAACAGGAAAGCCCAGGTAGTGAACGAACTTCACAAAAACGCGGCCATAGGCTGCGCCAGCAAGTAAGCTGGGCACGAACAGACCCGATGGCACAGCAATACCGTAGGTCCAGCATGCGAACATGTAGAACACGACAAAGAACATGCACAATGAGAACAGCGTGAAACTACCTTCGCCAGTAAAGTGCAGCAACTGCTTCATGCTAGTAGCGTAATTCACGGTGAAGAGTGACGCCAAATCATTATACTGACCCTTCGGACAATAAAACCGCGAAAGCGAGTCGCTGTAGTCGCCGGCGAGGTCGAGACACGTGCCAAAGTAGTACGAAAGCCAGAACGATGCCGTCGCCATGCTGAAAGCGATCAGCAACGCCTCGCCGAAACGCAAGTAGCGGTGAGTCACGTAATGCTTCCGGAAATCGGTTAATACCGTGTTGGCACCGTTGAAAGCAGCACCCGCCAGTCCACCTACCATGCCCATCACGATAAACACAGGAACGTCAAGCACCTCGTAGGCCATGCTGCCTTTGAACTGGCCGAAAGAAAAGGTGCCCGTTTGAGTACCCATGGTGCCGCCAATGAACACATGCCCCACATTAGATGTCGGTTCGTCCGACTCGCTCGCCTCTATAAAGGTCATGAAGTAATTCAGCACGAATGCAGACACCATGGCGCAGAAGAACGTGCGCCACGTGAGGTTTTGGTGCCAAAAGGAGGCACCCTCCTCCAGTGCGAACAGAACACCGCCGATAGGAGCACCAAATGCAGCTGCCACACCAGCAGCAGCACCACACGAGATAAAATCACGCTTCTCCTTGTCGTTGCGAAAGCCTTTGAACTTGGTCCAGCTTGTGTCGACTCCAAAGCTCGAGGACTTGCCTTGTGATAGACCAGCACCAATGATGGCGCCGCTGTGAATCATTGGGCCTTCTTTACCGCTCGGTAGTCCTCCAGCCACACTAAAGAGGATCCCGAACGCCTTGCAAAACAGCGTTTTCAGCCGGACCACACGGTGAATCTTGATACCGTTCAATGTTGCTTTAATCTCCGAGATGCCGGACCCACCAGCAACTGGACACAGAATAGCAACGCAGTAGCTAGCAACGGATACGAACCCCACACTCATGAGCGCGTAGACAAAGTAACCCGAGCCAAAAGCGTGTGACCCGTTGAGCTCGCCAGCTACAAACGATTCCATCGTTGAAGTACGAAACGTAGATAGCAATGACGTCCAAAATTCAACAAAGCACGCAACCAAAGCAGTGCTTAGACCGACTAGAAACGTCATGACCCATCGTGCAATATTGAGCGATCGAATGGCACCTTCCGTTTGTTCTTGATCGTGCTGCATATTCACTCGACTTTCAAAAAAGTCATAACTAAATGACTCACGATGTTGTGCCTTGGTCCGTTTCTCGCGATCTTTTCCCTTTTGTTCCTGTTTGCGCGTAGCAGCTGAGAAAGGATTGCGTCCCTTGCCTTTCAGCCAATCCAACAACGTTGTTCCATTGCGTTGTCGCAGCGCTTCTTCAATCTCAAAGCGCGAGAATCGAGCGCCCGAGTACAAATCACTTGGAAATGAATGAGTGCGTAGGACACCCAGCGTTTGATCGGGTGGAGGCAGAGACACAGCGTGTCGACTTGGAGATTTCCAGCTTGGTCCATCAAGTGTAAAACGAGCCATGGGTGAGCGTAGGATCGACGATGGAGAGCGCAGCGAAGAGGCCGAGCGCGTCAGAGCCGCATAGTGGCGACCGGGGGCATCACTGACGACGACATCGTGACCAGAGGACGGCGTGTCACTGTCGTTTTCAACGTCATCGACGGCTGTAATGGACACGTGCAATGTCGAAGGGGACGATGACAGCAGCGCGTCACTCTCGGAAGGCTCAACCATGAAGACGGACGGACGAGCAGGAGATGGGATCAAAAGGAAGGGGCAACTTAAAAGACTTTGGAGCTGCTCACAAAGAGAGATTTCGATCATGATATCGGAAAACAGAGGGTTTTGATGGATAAAGTATCTGATACGAGTGTGCAGAATCATGACAGGTGATAGTGTGTCACCCTGTTAGAATTAATAGTTTGGAAAAGTAGTAATGTAGCAGCAGTATTATGTGAGACCCTAGTCTCTTTCTTATAATGTTTTAAGATACAAAAAAAATGTCGACATGTTACTTTTCGACAAAAAACATAGCTATAATACTACTGTAGCTCTCTTTGGAGGTAGCATTATTTTACAGTTTTTGATAACATTCCTTGGAATTCGATTCTTTGCTACTGCAAATAAAAGGGTGGCAGCCAATTTCATTCATGTTTAGTCGAAATCTCGACGCTATGGTGATAATCCTCGAAATGCGACATGAGGTCGATAACAGCAGCTGCCGAATGGTGTTTCCTTACATCTTTGCCATGAAAAGTGTAAGTAAAATTGTGGTGGTCCTGGCCCGCTATAATGTTACGACCAGCGTCTATGGACAGAGGCCACCTTGACTTGGTTTCATATCTTCCTCCTAGAATCCACCCTCTCTTGCGCTTCATCTGTTATCGCCGTAAAGCAATTTCGACGTATAGCCAGCAACCTGTCGCGACACGAAGACTTGACACCGTAATCATTCTGACATTGCATATATATACGGAGGACACGTTGCGTGTATGCCACGAAAGGATCGTTCGACAACACATGACTTGTCGTGGACTGGCCAGGAGCTACCCAGCATGATAAAAAGTAACGGTAGCAAGAACGGTACGCGAGCTTGTCATAGACAAGATCGATTTCTCATGTGCTGTCCTTACGGGTTATGCTAGTTTCAATAGTCTACTTCTACGTTTCTTTACATGGCAACCACTAGTACAGAGTACACTTGCGGTATCTACAATGTTGAATCGAAGACGAGACGGTGAGGGGTTTCACCAATCTCGGCTCAAGCAAATCTTGCAACGAACGCAGACACTCATCCGTTCGAAAGCCAGAGACGCACGTCAAGATCCGTATTGTTGCTTGCAGATGATCCGTGACTGGCGTGGCCACCTACGGCACGATACAGCACGAATGGTGAGATCCGCACGCCAGTACAAATACATGCCCCCTCAGGCGAGGGGACAAGTGTTTGCTCACATGAAAGACAAGTTGCCTGTTGCGGCAGAAGAGCCACTTGCGCGAACCGTTTTCTGGCCCGTGCGGTTCACAGTTAACCGCACTTAGTGTATACAGCAAAACAAGATCGCCACTGATTATCACTACTCAGAGGGAGTTGGCGATCAGCAATGCCAGGGTCTCTGTCTGGCCCGGCTCTGACTAGCACCTAGTATCGACCAGCGACGAGACGCAGGAGGAGGCGCGGGATAAAACCGCGGCGCTCGAACAGAATCGGAACGGAGACGAACAGAGACGCTACGTGTGCCGCGGTCGCGTCAGTGGAAATTGAGCGCCCACCCTTCCCCTGCCATGGCGCCACTGGGGCTCCCTCGGGTCAAAGTCGAATCTCCTTCCCATTCCGCATTGGGGGCTTAGCCGGCTCACGGATTGATTGAATATAACACACACACACACACGTGATCAAAGGCAAGACGATCGTGTAGGGGTTTTTAGTTCGACACAGCCGAATCAGCTAATCCCAAGGAGTTTCTTCCGAGTCAGGCCACAACAACAGTAGTAATAGGTTGATGACCCTCAAGTGCTGGCACGCTGCGTCACCTCGAAAACCACCGTCAGTTATTGACACAAGCGAATCGCTCGTATCTCCCAGTAACCAGGACAGCCACATGGGCCGCGGACGTGCTACGCCAAAGTCGACACGATGTCGCTCCCAATCGAGCAACTGGGACAAAGACGTTGTGGACAACTCGGACGAGAGCGAAGACGATCACTTCGATGCCACGGCGGCCACGATTCCAGCACCATCGCACCAGATCCACGCCATGCCAGCGCTTTGGTCGAGCGGCCGGAGATGGCACAGTCGTGGCCGTAATCGACGACGTACCGTCAGCGAAAACTACACTTACACTAACGTGAACAACAGCAGCGGCGTCGGTATGACTGGTTGTAGTAGCCATCACACGCTCACAGGATCCCCGTCGTCGCTCAGCTCGATGCTACCGTCTTCTCTGTCCGGAGGGGACGAGCAGCTTCGTGAGGCAGCGGCAGCCGCTGCGGCAGGAGAGAGTCTTAATCAACGAGTACGGATCGTATCGCCTGACGGCCCGCGATTCGCTGGTTGGGTACGAGGCCAAGCCGCCGACGTACAATGGGAGGCGCTGGATCCTAGCGTGCAATGCGTGCGGATTGACGTGTGCAATGTAGCGTGGACTGTGCCAACCACTATCGCGCACCGCGTAGCTAACGACGGCATGTTTCGCTGGCGCCGCGTGTACTGGGGTATGCCGATTGCCGAGGGCTATTATGTGAATATTTACGACGTGACGGAGCAGAAGGACCCCGCCGACTCACTGTTACTGGCACAGAGCGAGCGCTTCGCCGTCATCAAGTGAGCGACGGGGTGCAGCAGCAGCCGCGAGTGCAACATCAGCAGCGACCCGGTTCTCTTCGGCGTAGCCAAGTGGCGAGTGGGTGTGTGTTTATGTGTGTGGTTTCATTTGGTTTGGTCCTGTCCGTTCGTGGATTGTGCGACCTTTTCCGGCCACACCCAGCACCAATCACGAGTTGCGGTTCGCGGAGAGGTATTTAATGAACCCAATGGCAATGGATGAAGTCAAGACTACTATGTCGTGTTCGCCCGAGTGCGTACGTATGTGCGTAGAGCGTAGAGCGTAAAGCTAACAACCATGGCCAAGTCACCCCAACGAAGGGCAAACCACCAGTCGGGCGTATATGTGCGTACAGCTTGTGTCAACTCAAGTAGAGAGAGAGACTAAAGACCATAGAGATCGAAGAAGAGAAGAATCTACTTCCACGCATTATGATCCTACTGGTAGTCTCTGCCTTGGAGCTGCAACTGCCGTGTGTAGGATGCTCGAGCAGCTTCAACGTGTCGAGACAGCCCTCATGTTTTTGCCCAGTTCTACACACGACATGCTTAACATGGCTGATACTGTAGGATATATACCGTAGGACATTGCTACGCCCTTTTATAGTCGTGAAGGCATTGCTGCTGGATGTGGGGCGCGGTGTGACGCGTCGTAGGGGACGGCACCGCGGCGGCCGAGACGTCAGAGGCGTTCACTAAGCCGCCGTCTCGCTGCGACGTGGACACAGCACAGGTCTGCTATATCATTGCACTTCATTGGCGACCATTATATCAAAGCCTTTTGGTGACCGTCAAGCACATCGTCAATGCACACATGAATAGTGATGAGCATCCAGACTGAGCGCTGGTGGTGGCCAAGAACATCATGCGCGGGTGTAGCGGCGCTGACTTGTTCTTCACCATGCACGACCTCATGGCAAAGTCCGGTCTGCTCACGAGTCTAGACTCAGGGCATGAATGCGATCCACGGACAATCCCTTTTGCTCGTTGATCTCTGGCGTTGATCTCTGGCGTTGTGACTGTGCTGGACAGTCCAGCACATGACGAGCCCAGCTTGGACTCGTCATGACTGACACACTCTTTAGACGGGGCTCTGCTAGCTCAAGTCGCACGAAACGCTGGCATTCCGCTGGACGTGCGTGACCTTAGGACGACGATGGTACCTCGTACGTTGGCCCGGCAATGGCGGCGTCTTGACTGACGTCACTTCTGCTCAGATGCACTTCAATGCCAAGAAGCAGACGGGCGAAGAGCTCGTAATGATCAGGATTCGCTTCGTCTGACGTCAAGGTGCATGTGCTGTGCAGAGTGCCGCAATCAAGTCCGTCTACCTCTTTGGCCTTTGATTAAACAAAATAGTATCGAGCTGGTATTCCAGTGTGATCGCAAGGAGCACGACACGCTGCTCGTGGTAGTGGACGCTATTGTCGTGGAGTGCATTGATCTCTTATACGATTAGGTCACCTGATATCGGCAAGACAACGACCAAGTTACGACGTCTCGGTTTAATTTGGCTGATGAATTGAACGAAAAAAGCGCTGCGATGGATGTGCTGGACAAGCGGTTTATGCTTGGCGTCTTTCGTGTCACTGGATTATGTTTTGTCGAGCATGAGTGCGATTGCGAGTTCATTTGCGTTTGGCTCAGCTAATGCACTGCGCTATCAGGCGGACGAATAGACAGCTATATACTAACCTGTACCGCTGTAGGTATGGTCAGCATCTCCTATAAATGTTCCTTTGTTGTCGTCTCTAAATACTACTTCGTTCATCATTCGCTCGCGGATTTAGCTAGAAAAAACCCTAAAGCTACAGGCCACAATTTGGTGCTCAACGGCTTAAGAAATCTGATGCACGTGACGACTGGATTTGCAGTGTTTTCTTACAGCATTTGCCCTGTCTCTTCTGACCTAGCATCGGATGCAAATTCAGGCTTGAATGTAAACATCCTTTTTATCTAAATGTCGAAAATGAAATTCAAAAATCTAGAAAATTATACCAACAATTGTTTACAATCTATTATCAAAAGTAGTGGGTTGTAATATGTGGTCCACATTTATTCCCATTAGTCTCTTTTATCCAATCAAATGGCATTACATTTTTATTTGAACTTACATACATGCTACTGTAGGACAATGCTGTCTCATTTAAAGGAGCTCAAGGTTGAAAAGACGAGTTATGATCATGTCGACAGTGCAATTGATATGAGTCCAGGTGGCTTTATGGAGACTCCTAGTGGTTCTACTATTGTTGAAACTGGCAAGGTACAGCAAGAGCAAGAGTCAGTCGAACGCTATGATCACGAAGAGGACGAGAACTCGGACGCTGATGCTTTTAGAAACAAAATAGAGACGGAAACATTGACTCAGGACCTGCGATTTCGTGTCAATGGTGTTGTTGTGGACCATGAAGTAAAGGGAGGTGCGAGAAATGGATGGGAAGGTGTCTATGAGATCATGTTTAAGAGCTCTACACCCACGGGTCAACGTGTAGCACTTGTGCTGCTCGTAATGGTGTCAATGAGTGTTGTAGTTGGTGAGTTAGTGCTTCAAATGGATGAATAAGAGGAAAGGCGACAGAGTGCTGATACTATGGCGTGCTATGTATTAATTTGACCTGGTCAATGGGTAGCTGTACTGGACAGTGTGGACGACATTCGGTAGGTCTTGATGCACATTACGACCGCTAAGTGAGAAGAGGGAGGGAGTGAATGCTGACTACTTTTTCCTGACTTTGTGTATAGAGATGACATTGGAGATTACTTATTGGCGCTCGAGGCATTCTTTACAATTGTATTCTCGGTGGAATACCTTTTGCGAATGGTGTCACTTCGGAATCCAACCAGATTTGTCTTCAGCTTGATGGGGTTTGTTGACATGTGTGCACTGATACCATCGTACTTGGGCTTCGTCCTCCCAGATGCGAGACCGTTGCTGCACTTGGCGGTGCTGCGGATTTTCCGAGTGATGCGCGTGTTTCGTTTGCTGCGACTTGCGCGCTTTGTGGACGCTGCTGCTGCACTGAGTGACAACATTCAGTCAAACAAGAGGCGGATTGCAGTTTTTCTTGTAGCGCTATTCACGATGATTATTGTCATTGGATGCGCCATGTATCTTATCGAAGGTGACCGTCACGACTTTTCAAACATTCCTATCAGCTTATACTGGACAGTGGTGACCATGACTACCGTGGGATATGGTGACATTTCGCCAGAGACCATTTTGGGCCGTGTGCTGGCTACTGTCGTCATGTTTGTGGGCTATGGAATTATTGCCTGCCCACTAGTGTTGAACCAGGCAGGATCCCAGGACGTCCTGACTGAAGTGATTGAGTGCCCTCGTTGCTTTCGAAGGCTGCACCAATATGACGCCAGCTTCTGTCGCGTGTGTGGCACGCCACTTCGCCAGCCTCGCGCTAAGAATATTAAGGCGCATCGCGACCGCCGTCGTCGCCTCGCGAAGCTTCGGCTACCAATTCCAGATGATAGTTTACTGCTCTCAACCACGTCGACAAGAAGGTCGAACGTCAACTTGCTTTCGGAAGAATTGGATTCGACGCGGACTGTCGACAAGAAAGCTTGATAGATTGACGGGGTTATGGCTTTTTGTATTGTGATGGTGCCCACGCGTCACATTGACAAGTCAACAACGATGAACGTCTTGGATACCATGCACAAGCGGATAGACTGTGCATGTATTTCCAGCAACAAAGACTATATCCGTCTAGAACGTAAGAAGATGAAGATTGCTTTTGAAAGGAATCAATAAGGAAAAAGAGTGGCACTTTGATGTGACATGAAGGCTTGGCGTTCTCGCTGTAGTATTTGCAAGACTAGTAGTAAGTTACGTACACGTTGGTATGGCTAACTCCATCGGAGCAGAGAGACAGTGTTTACGACGGCGGCGCAAACAAACTCGGGACACTCGTGCGGTAGAACCGTCGTTTCGTTCGGCACTTTGTGACACAGGATGACTGAACGTTATAGCTGCTACGACCACCGTACATTGTTATTGCACTATTGCGTTCACAACCAAAGGTTTTGTCGCTGCTGTAGCGTGAATTTGCACCCATAAATATGGAGTTGCTGTGTTTTTGTAGCCGTTCCTGAAGCTTCTCAAGATCAGTGCGTGTCGCAGCCACGTGCACCGTGTCTCTCCATCCGTAGCGATTCCACAACTTGATATGTTGTACCCAAAGTTCCTTCGCATCTCTATCGGTAGCAGATAGTATAAGCGAGTCGTTTAACGTACTGCATGAGCTGCCGTCTGGCTGTAAGTGTATTTTGTACGTGTTCACTTGGAACGAGTAGGGAAGTAATGGTTCGTCCAATTCCTCATCCTGGTCAAGAACCTCAATCATAAATCCACTAAGTTGCAATAAACGTTGTCGCTTTCGTGGCTCATTTTCCTGAGGCTCTTTCTCGTCATCTGGTTGCTTGCGTTTACCTTCCTCCATTTTCTGAGACGATGCGCAAGTGCTGTGAATATCAAATTTAGCCATACGACGTAACTCAAGTGACGGTAGTGACGTCTCATCGTACTTGTCAATGTCCAGGGAGCATATGAGAATACCAGTATTGATCTCTACAAAGACAGGATGACGATTCTGGAGAATTAAATAACCTGCACAAGTCATGGCGCTCAAAATCTGAATGTGGTAATAGAAAGAATAAAACGTATGATTACGAATCAGCAAACTATTTTGTAGAAAGAGGCGCTATTCTTGCACACTAGAAAAAGTCTATTTACAAACTTATCTTGGAAATTACAGAAATAGCCCTGACGTAAGTAAATAGCTGAATCTAGGAGTAGGTTAAGCAAGAGAGAGGGTCCCGAGCCTTATTGTCAAATAGACGAGGTAGCGGTGTTATTAGTGGGCGCAAAACAATTAACGTATGGGCAAACTGGCTAATTAAAGTATACGAGATTAACTATTGGAGACATTAGTAATCTAGCTGGTCATCCCCCGTCAATTCGGCGATTGTTTTTCTGTCGGCGTGTCGGCCAGGTAGACTGACTCTGTTAGTGTTACTACAGCCAGCATCACGATGGACGATCGTATCGTCGATGTGAAGAAGACATTTACAAGCGGTCGTAAGGTACGTGTACATACAATTATCAGCATAGCTATGTGCTGCTCTAAGCGCTTGTTGATACAAAACGGAAAGCTATATTTATTTATAGTATAGTGAACAGCTTCTTGTAAGACAACAGCCTCGTATTCTTAAGCGTTGGTCGATATTATATTCCATTTTTGAATGACCGGGACTTATGTTCTTTCTTCCTCATGGTAATACAATGTGAGCTAAAGTTGCTGCAAATGATGCAGTGTTGTAGATGCAACCTCTATATTCCTTGTAAAATGCCTAGAACTGGTGACTCATCTGGGTCACCACTTTAGGAAGACACGCCAGCAGGTAATAATCGTCCTGGTTTCCCTTTTCTCACTTGGTTTTTGTATGCTCTGATATTGAAGTTCAACGAAGCTTGAATGCACAAGACGACCATCATTCTTAGGCGGGGCGACATTCCTCTCTATCTTGCTCTCATTATACTAAATGAGGATTCTTCTTCCTTGTCATCCCATACCGATCCTAGTTGCACTTCCCATTCACGATTCCGCACTATATAGCAAGAAGCTCAGCCGTTTCCTAGCGTCAGACACTTTGCTCTCAGTGCGTCGTCCGTCCAACACGAAACGGCTTAACAAGAAACGATTTAACGTCATTCCTCTGTCTACACTCACTCACTTCCAGCTTCTTTTCTTTTTTATAATCGCCCTATGTTTGGAAAATTCAGCGTCCATAACGTCGGCCCCAATGACATGCAATTTGTCGCTGGTAATTACCAAGAAACCGCACTAGAATCAGACGATGCCATGCTGTGTGACGAGCCTACTGTGGCCCTCACGCGCTCATCACCTACACCTAATCTAGTGGTCGTCACGCCCGTCGCTCGTGTTGCTCAAGTGAAGAAGGAATATCTGCCGTATGATGACAACTCATTGGATGTCGAGTACATTAAGACAATTCCAACGGTTCAAGTTCCTTCAGTAATGACGGACAAGACAAGTCGTGGCTTTGTGTCGATTTCCGACCGCTTTCCACTCTCGAAAGTGGGAAAAGCTCGTTGTAGCATACCCAAGCGAGCGTTCTGCGCCTCAGAGAAGATCAAGACGCAGCGCGTAGTAGCCCCTTTCTCAATAAGGCGTTTGCTAAGTGCTACGCCCGAGTTAACACTGGTGGATCAGATTACAGTGCTTGAAAACGATACAGTGAACGATAATACGATCGTTGCTGAAAAGCAAGAGAAGGCAGCTACGACAACGTTTGTAGCAGGATCAAATTACATGCAGGAAATGAGTGACGCGTACCGGCATCAAGCTACGGACGTGGAAGAAATTGAGATGGAGGTACGTGATGATGGGATTGATTTGTTTGACTTTGTACAGTCATTTCTTGACATGAGTTTGACGTTTGTCTATTGAGCAGCAACTTCGATGGAATATCCAAAAACAGGTTTGCCAGCGATATTTCCAGCAGGAACAAAAGTATGAAGAATGGGGAAAATTTGACGAGCAAGACACGTACGTGTGATGCTGTAAAGAAATCGAGAGTCTTTTTGTTTTACTGATCGTATCTTATCTTTTTTGATTCAACTGAAGACGAGTATTCTTCGTTCCAGGTGGAAGACGAGCAAATATATTGGCCGAGAAGAAGTTTCATGACAATGCTGTTCGAGACGCTATGGGAAAGGGAAATGCTACGTGGGTGAAGGAGCGACGAACTCGGTTTGAGGAGGAAATTCGTCAGTTCTATGTAAGTTGTAACTGTTTGAAGTTGTTGTTGATGAAAGATCATCATTGTAACTGACAGTATTTTGTGATGTAAAATTGCAGCGAGAAGAAACGAGACACAAACAAGAGTTAATGCTTACACGTCTTGAAAAAGTGTCACCATTTTCGAAGTTTCCCATTCTTGGCAATCGTTTTTTGCTGCTTCGTCTACGAGGAAAGGGAGGCAACGGTGAAGTATGGGATGTTGTTGATTACGCCAACAATAAACAGGAGTGCGCTCTCAAGCTGTCGACTTCAATTCGCCACGCTCAACGCGAACACAACACGCACTCGGTATGCATTTATATCTGATCATTGTCGAGCTCTTTTGCTAACGGCTTGAATTTTACAGAAACTTCATCACCCCAACATTGTCCAGGTCGGCGACGTGCCCTTCCTCATTCGATACGAGCAGCAGCAGTACACAGCGTTTTCTGTTGCAAGTGTTCAATCGGACTTGCAGCAACTTATCGAGGTACGAGACGCATTAGAAGGTTCTTTGTCTCAACAATTTGTTCTGACTGTTGACGTTGACTGGTGACGTTATCCAACCATGTTTTTGTAGATGTACGAGTACTTGGATGATGATTCTGCATACAAGGTGCTTTCGCAGCTGCTGAGCTCGCTGAAGTATTTGCACGAAGAGGTAGGCCACATTTAGTGACTATGATTGCCGCGGCAATGACGAATTACTGAATTTACTTTGTTTTTTGTCTACTAGATGGGCCTTGCTCACTATGACCTGAAGCCGTCGAACATTCTCATCGACCACGACGGGTGTGTGAAGCTGACTGATTTTGGCCTGACGCGCATTGCTAAGGCAGCTACGTCGAGCTCTAGGGTTGGCACTCTGCGGTACCTTCCTCCCGAGTGTTTCCGTCCAACCCGAGTCGATTGCGAAGCTACGGCGGAGAAGGCGGACATGTGGATGGTAGGGATTGTATACTGCATGATGGTCACTGGGAAACACCCCATCTATTCTAACAAATTGACGCAAGCGGAAGTGGAGGCAGTGATGGGTAAGTACACTGGCGAGGTCCAATATGCGCGGCCAGTTTGCGATCTAACCCGGTGGATCTTACAAGGGTGCCTTCACCCGGACCCAAGATGCCGACCAACGGCCGCGCAATTGCTGGTGGCACTCCAGAACGCGGTACCACGGCAGCAGAGCCTAACGCGTTGAGCAGCCAAAACAGCGGTCAGGCTGCTGTGCATACCACGACGAAAATAACTTGTCGTAATTTGAGCGTGTACAGGGCGTGCCATCGTACCATACAACCACCGATCAATTATTAAGCCACATTCGGTTGCTAAGTCAAAGCAATACTTTTATCACGCGTTTGCTCATTACCGTCTTTATTGTGTCGAGCAGCTAGCTTGGACCAATTCAAGTCACAGAAATGTCGAAAGCGTGCAAACTTGTTCGGCTCATCAATGCAAAAGCTGCGTCGGTTTGCAAGAAGATCGTCAAATGCCACGCCAATCGAAAACAAGAAGAGTCCCATGCCACGCACAACCGCCGGTTCGTTGTCAGAGCCCACACGATTCATGTCGTGATAGAGATCGTCACCAACAATGGGATGTCCATGTCGCGCCGTATGAATACGAAGTTGATGCTTGCGTCCTGTCAGCGGCCACAAATCCACAGTCGATATCCAGTCGTACCGTGCGCTACAAAAGAATATCTCCACAACAACGTTAGCCCAAAATCACCCCATGGCTCATAAAACTACAACTTACCTGCGTGTCGTGCTCACGACTCGCACTGCAGTGAGACACGGCCTGCCATCAATAGGATCACTCAAGAATTGCAGTTCGTCGCGGAGTTTCTGCAGTGCACCTGGAAGCTCAATTGGATCAAGCAGAGCACTCTTTCCATGGCACATCTCACGGACATTACCCACAAGAATAGCACGATACTGCTTGATGACAGAATGCCGCTCCAATTGAGCCGACAATTCCACTTCCATCTTCCTCGTCTTCGCCACAAGTAGCAGACCACCCACACGATAATCCAGCCGATGCACTGCATGTGGTAATGGCAGCTGAAAGTCACCATCTGCAAGTAATATCGGACTCTGTAATAGCAGTGGCAGTGCTTGCTCCACTGTACGTTTGCTTCTGCCTTTTACGTGAATACCCACGGGTTTGACGACCACTGCCATGCTGTCATAGTCATAAACTATTCGCAATCCTTGCGTCATGCAAGTTTGCAGCCACAATTGAGCTTTCAGGTCGTTACTCATATCCGATTGGTTCTGCTTTACTGGACTAAAGTAGACCAAAATGTCGTCCACAGCAGCGCAAGTGAGTGTGGAAACCCGTGGCTGTCCATTCAAAAGCAAATGTTCTGCTTTCCGTGCGCGCTTTGCCTTGGAGATTGTGCCCAACTCGGGGAAGATTCGTGCAGCCACTTGCACCCATTGCGACTGCGGTCCTAACACTAAATCATCGGCTACCACGGTATGCTGCTGCATGGCTGATTTTTACGTCGTATCGATCCGGCCTGGTGTAATGTTTTTCGTCGTCGACAAAATGGTTGGACTCTACCTGCTAAATTAAATATTTAAAACTCTACGAAAGCAACGGGGTTTTAGGCATCAGATGCACGCATAGTGTTTTCGCTTAGAGAATAAACTGCTGTAAAGATGTTTTTTCACAATGTAATACGTTGCTCCTATTTTTTTGTTCTACGGTATACAGCAGCAGGATTAGGTTTTGGCTCGGTATACGACTGAAGAGCAAACACGAGTTCGATCTTAAATTAGATTTCTTTATCCACTGATAGAAAATGCAGCAGCTAGCTCGCAGCATTCGTCAAGCAACCGTCGATAATATGATTTAAAAATCTTTTATGTCGTGCTGACGATTGCAACAAGATGCACGCGAAAGACAATTGTGCCTGGTGGTATTGTGCAGCACATCCCAGATCGAGCGACAGATATGGGCGTCCCAGATAGAGAGACAAGACTGTCTATCTTAGTTTGTCGACTTGCTATATAGGCAATTTCTAGACAAAATATGCTGATGTAATCCCCATCTTATCGTTCGGACTTAAGATGTTACTGTATATTGATTCAACGATTAATTACATCTAACAACGGACAACTGCAGCAAATTTCACTGTCGTACCGATCGTGTGTTTTTTTGCGTAAAATTTTGATGTCGCAGTTTTTCTTTCGGTTGAACTTCAACTTGCTTCATACTGAAAAGCAGTATAAACGTGTTATTGTATTCCTTCTTTTTTTCTGACTGTTTCGTTGAATTTGCTGCTTTGCTCCTGGCATCCGTTTCATACTTGAAGTTCTGCCTGACAAACGATAAGGCCATTTTTGCACTACCTCAATCAAGCTGTAGGAAAAGTGGTACCCACAAGTAATTTATATCCATGCTTGCCATTTCGACTCGACTCGACTTCTACCAAGAGGTGCATTAAATTGAATGTTAAATGACAGATGGCTCGCATTTCTTCAATGTGACGTCAAAGACCCATCGGTCGATACTCTCATTGGGCTGGCGACAGACACTCCCCGTCTATTCAGTAAAGAGAGCACAAACACACGACCAGGCAGATAAAGAAGGCACAAGACAAAACAATCACGGAACAGTGGTAATTAACCCGTAGTAGTTCCAATAAATAGTGTATAGAAACTAGCAACCTTAAGAGGCACGCGAGAAATAATGAATATACTACTACGATAGTGGCTACGGTCGAGGTGGCCTCGAAATGATCACGTGAAAGACACACGTGTCACGTGGTCGGTCGCCGGTACAGTATTTTTACGTGGTACAGACGTCTCTCTATCCCGTCACCTCTTGTACTTTTGACGATCTTGGTCCACTGAAGATGGTACGAAGCATTTAATACTTGACTGAAAAAGCTTCACCGTTTCGGTGATAGAGATAGCATTATCAATGCCGACATGTCAAACGACTGTGCCTGTCGCTTATCAAGTGGATCAATGCACCTCGTCTTGCGTGGATAGCACAAGCCTCGAAGAATCCGAGGCTCTGGTGTTTCAGGTGTTTCCATGAACTCTGGTTTCGTCAGCCGCGATGGCGGATGATGCAGATTCCTCGCGTCCTTGTCGTGGATACTACAATCCTTGAAACTGCTAGTAATCTCGGTAATACGTTGCTTCTTTTTCTGCAACAGCATCTTCTCTCGTGAATTCCGTCGTAATGGCAAAGTATCATCATCCTGAACCGATAATGTCGAGCTCATCGTCATCTCCTCAAGATCCTTCATGTCCAATACAAACTGCAAAGAGTCTCTCATTTGCACTTCCTGATCCTCTGCTTCGTTACTGGAGCTACTACCAGCAGCTCGGGAACGTTTTAGTCGATGTGTCGTTGGACCCTCGACAAAGGACGTCCATGTATCTTGATTGCAATGCAATATGTCACTGTTTTTACTGGTGTCATCTGAAGTCTCGGCAGCCAGTGCCACCAGGTCATCACAGGCACGAGATCGTTTCATGGAATCTAAAGGTCGTGCCGAAATGTAAAGTCGGTTTTTTATTTGATTTTATATTTTACTTCGCTGTGATTCGGTAGAGAAGAAAAGCGAAAATGAGCGAATCCGGCGACGTCCACCGCTTTTTATTCAGGAGCCAGAATTCCAAGCAAGTTTTGTGCGGGGCAGACGAGCCCGGGACTGAGAAGAGCCCGTTTTTTTTGGGCGAATGCGAGGTGGCTCTGGGCGCGAAGCCGGACCAATCCGCGTGAACCCCTTCCCCGCATGCAATTCAACCACGCCCTTCCCAGCCCAAGTTGAACCAGCAGAACTGAAACGACTATCGCGAAAGTTAATGTGTGTGGTAGACGCTGTCTCATGTCCACACAAAAGCTGGTTGAAAAACCTCTCATTATTAATTTCCAAACGTCAAATCTCGTGCAGCCTGCTTCAAGCTGCGAGAAACACGCGCTTGTGGCAGCAATAATCTTTGAGGTGTAGGCAACAACGACGTACGTATTGAATATACATACGGCTCTAGTTGCAGCACCAAGCCATCGATCGCTTCCGTCGCGGGTGGTTAAGGGTATGAGGGAAGGAAGGAAGGCTCGTCTTGCACTTGTACCCATGAGGTTGACGGCGACTTCAAGTGACATTAGGATAACAATGAGAGAACGTGTTGTTTTGCATGTTAAATCGTCGATTAAATCGCTGCTTACGGTGCTAAATCGTCTAATCTTCTGAAATGCATGTTGAAGTTTAAATGCTCTGCCGTAATCGACGTTCTGCATAAAAAGCAACGCCAGCTCAAGAGAGCAACAGTGGGCAATGTCGATTGCTTCTTTAGTCTACACGACCGATGCACGATCCGTTTTCGACGAGAAGAATTCGTGTCACTCTTATAATTGACTTAACATATGCATCGGTCATCTGTGGTGGTTGGTATCTTGCACTCACATATTTCATATCACGACAATATGCAACAGCGTCACCGTCAAACAACAATCGCGTAACCTATTTTATAGACAAGGACTAATCATCAATTGTAAGCGATGGATAGGTTGCAAACGTCGAATCGCCATAGCATCTTTGGTCTGAATTTTACGATGGGGATTGAATCTTTCTTTCCAGCAACATTTTTTGTCAAAAGACTTGCGTATATAGCGAATCGACAGACTTGAAAGAGATAGACAGTCTCATGATCTCTGTCTCTCTATCTCTTTGATCGGGACGCACATCGTATCCAACCAACTTGTCTTTTTGCCTGCATGTTATTTCAATGACGTAATAACTCCCCCCCCCTTGCGACTTGATCAGGCTTTTACAGCCCACCCGACAGCTGCACTATCTAGTGACAGCCTATCAGCCATCTTCCCCATGCCGATCCAGTCAATCTGGTCAACGTGCTGTCGCTACGCTGCATTCTCGGCAACATCAAAGACTCGTACTACATATTCTGTGCTCAAACTTGGCACGTAAAAAGCTTAGCGTTGCATGCCTAGCAGACGCGCAATATCCTCGAATCCACTGCGAGCGGCCACCTCTTCCGCTGTGAAATGATCTCCATCTTTTATTCCCAACAGGTTTCGATCGTCAGAATTATGCTTCAATAACAGCTGAATGGCCTCTATGTTTCCTTGACTAGCAGCGACGTGCAACGCCGTCTCATGCCGCTTCGTCAACTGCGTGACGACGCTCGCTCCAGCGTCCAATAATGCTGTTAAGGAGCCCACATGTCCATTATAAGCTGCTCCATGGATCGGCGCCCATCCGCGGTAGTCCACGACCAGTACATTAGCGTGGTACGCTAAAAGTTCGAGTACCGTCGCCTCGGAAGTCGCCAGGACAGCAAAATGCAGCGGTCGTCGCTTGAACATTCGTTGCTCTACAGCGTTGACATCTGCGCCGTGTTGCAGTAAGAAACGGGCTATTGCAGCCTCTCCACGGTCACACGCCCAATGCAGAGGCGTCAATCCGTACTTGTCGAGTGCCATGACCTGCGTGGCGTCAGCTAGTAGAATCTCACGGAGATCTTCAAAGCAACCCGTGCGGGCTGCGGCGTGCACAGGTGTGGTGTCCAATTCTTCATGTAGCTCATCTAAGCCGACCTGGTGAACCTTGTGGTCTTGTTGTTGCTGCGTGGGACTCGTCATGGTAATGGGATGTTGCGCTAGAGTGACGCAAACGTTACCCCATGTCGCTCTTGTAAGATGCGGAACTACTGCAATAATTAATAATAGAGAGCGTGTAAAGAGATTCGACTAAATTTTTAAAAATTTATCGTCGGACAATATGACTGACATGTTTTTAGTCCGATTTCAAGAGGTATATCCACAGATTTTGCACGACGACGTCCATAAGGTCATACTTACGGATGATGTTATGGTGGAAACGGGTTAATGAATGTGTTTAAACTATTGAACCTGCTCGAGTCAAAGTGGAGAAAAATGCAGCCGCAAAACCTTTACCAACTGATCCACTTGCATAGCCCACCGTAGTGCACGGGGAAAAGGTTCGAAAAAGCTGTACTCGACTATATCAAGCCCCAAAAACACGCAGACTTGGAAATTGCTGCGAAGAGTGAATCGAGACCTTTTTGCTTCAAGGCGTTCGTCAATGGTTGAACTATCTTTTAGTCCGCGTTCGTCAACGGTTGGCCTACTTTCTACGACCTTTTTGCTGCCAAGGCGTTCGTCAACGGGTAGACTATTTGTTAGGCCAACCGTTGACGAACGCCTTGACGCTTTTCGCAGCAAAAAGTCTCTGGAGACATGAAATTTCTCATTCTAAATTCACCTTTCGCTTGCGTCTTAACAAGCAACTTGATAGGTGAAGCTGATTGTTCTGATTGTTCTGCTGTTTTTGTGATGACGTCGCCACGGCTCTCAATTTGGATGGGGTGTTCGTAATGAACTGCAAAACGTCAAGAAGATTAACCACATGTTTTGTTCGTAGTCGTGGTCGTGGTCGTGGTCGTGGTCGTGGTTTCGTATTAGTATAGAATTTCTAGCTTTGAAGGCGGCTTGATGGTGATAGGATGCGTCGCAATCCTACCAGGTACAGAGTTGGTCTTTTTACCAACAGTTCTGGTCGTGAGTCTGGTACTGGATGTGCACCGTCTCAGTTGTAGCTTGACCCCGACGACCATTTTGTCGAGAACTGACATGTTCAGGGATCTCTCTTTGTGTCGGAATTTCGACATCCCACAAAGCTGTGAAATGTCTATTCCTGAACCAAGCGCCCTTTTGTATTGCAAAAAGACTGCAATTTGTATAGGACGCAGCCATTTCGTATCTCGAGATCAATCTGGTTTTAATGAATTGCATGCATGCTATGGCTGGCTCGTCTAACAAATTGAACTGAGTAATTTTATTCACAACTTCTTTTTAATATTCCAAGCAGAAACGCGTTTGGTTAGTGCCCAAAATTAATTAAATTGTGGTCGATTTATAATAATAATATATTGAACCTATTAATTATGTCACACCATTGTTTGTGAAGTAGCAGTACATCAATACACACGAACATTTGACCGCCACCCATGTCACTCATGTGAAACATCACAATCAAGTAACATTCCAGTGACGTGGCATATCTCCAAAGTAACAATGGAACCCGAGCTCGTGTCCGAAGCAGATGGTGCCTTCTATGCGTTTGCAGGTGTGATGCTAGCACTCTACGTTGTACCTGCAACATGTTTTACGATCTACCGCGTCTTGACTGCACCCAAGAAGCTTCGTTCACGTGGGTTTGCAGTGCATGTGGCCTTCTTATCCGTCGCCTGTGGGCTCCTCGGGCGGTGTTTGTGGGCGTTACAAAGTGTCGATACGTCGGGGGTGTTTGACCCGTACGAAATATTAGGCATCAGTGACACTGCAACGTCACGTGAAATAAAAAAGGCATTTCGTGCCCTCGGGCGACAATTGCATCCGGACAAGAATTTGGCCAATCCCTTGGCCACGAGTCAATTCGCTCGCGTCACAAAAGCATACGAAGCGCTCACGAATCCCCAAAGTATTGAGAATTACCGTAAATATGGCCATCCGGATGGCCGTCAATCGATGCTCATGGATGTGGCATTTGCTTCGGCATTTAGTGGTTCTAATGGTGGCACGGGCTCGGTGTTTATGCTGGTATATTTTGGAGGCATTTTTGCCGGTGTGGTCTACCTTGTCTACTGGTTGCAAAAGTCGGCTGGACGTTGGGATCGGACGCAGATTTCACGTGCAACTCGTACGAGTTTTGTTGACGCTTTGACTGAGAAAATGAGTGTTCATGATGTGGTCGAACTGCTCTTGTCCTGTGATGAAATGGCTGGAGCTGGAGCAGGAATGTCGGACAGTGTTCGAAACGAGACGCAACTTCGTGCCAAAATGCACACTAAATTTGCAAAAAAAATGGAAGCTGCAAAAGCATTGCCAAGTGAAGTCCTTGGCCGGATTCGCAAGCACGAGAACCCAGTGGCACGTGAGAATATGCTGGCCTTGTACCAGTATCTACGTCGAGAGAAACTACGGGGGGTGTCACGTCCGTTGTGGGTGGATCAGAGGTTCCAAAAGGTCCTGCTTGAGTTGCCCTTCCTCGTGGATGCTTTTGCGACGATCGCTGCAAAAGAATTGGCGAAACGGGCGTACCCTGCTATCCCACTGCTGCGTGCACTGTCGCTACTTTCCAGCATTGCACAGGGAAGTCTCGTGCCGGATGAGGTAGCTTTGCGCGATCAGAAGGAACGAGTGGCGGCTATTGAGGGACAGTTGCCAGACTTGTGCTTGAAGGAAACGACGCTCGTTGTTCTTGATGAGCCGACCATCCAGCCTGGCGATTGGCTTACCCTGCAAACCACTCTACAACGACAGCACCTAAAAGCCGGTGAAACGGCGCCACTAGCTGCTACCTTTTACGACCACGTGGACTCGAAAAGTCCATTTCGCAAGGAACACGTGTGGTTTCTCGTTGTTGACAAAGGAACTGGCCGGTTGTATTCAGCTTGGAAGGTACGAGTCGCTTTATTTCATTTATCTTTGTGTTTAAATGCTATTGTCTGATCTGTATTGCCATTCATTGTCCAACAACAGTGTGTGGATCTATCTCAGCAAGTCGTCCAGAAAGTGGGGTTCTTGGGACCAGAGACTCGAGGTATTTGCTGTTATGATCTATTGTGTGTTTTATTGTCTTGTAAAACTTGTACATTTGATTCAATGATACAGGCAAATACGAGTTTGAAGTGCGTGTCGTGTGTCCAGCTTATCTCGACGTGCAGACCAAGGTGGATCTACCTCTTGTCGTAGGAAAGTGATAAACTTTTTGCTAGAGGTTGTGCATAACATCACCACCAATCGACTCAAGTTTACTTGACTTTACTATAGCTGTTTCCAACAGTGTTCATCTTTTGTGTTGTGCGGTTCACAACGTCAGTTGCTTGGATTGAGACCATGGAGATTACGATGCAGTATACTCGACGTTCTTGGCTTTGCTACCGTGCAAAGGCTTTTCACGGATTCCAAGCACCATCACGTTCTGTCTCCTGTCGTCGTGTACCTGTCGTTTTTTCAGCTACTTTTTCCGTCTTGGGACGTGACAATCGACAGCTTCCAAGGATTATCTCGGAAGACACTTTGTTTGAAAATCCATGGCTTCGTCTCAAACGTATCTTGTTTTTAAATGCTCAAGGCTCTGAACGACAATGGACGGGCTTGGAACGTACAACTACACACCCAAAGACTTTATCCGATACAATTGCACTTATTGATCCAGTCGAAGCCCCTGAAATAGCTGCTATGAGAGAATTGAAAGAAGAGACGGGATATATGGGCTCACGGGTGCTGCACATGGGACCACCAATGGTGAATGATCAAGGCATTACCAATGGAAAAGGCAGATTGTTGCTCGTGGAAGTACAAGAGGAAGAACAGCAAATTCCATTGCAACAGCACTTGGAACAAGATGAAATCATTCAAGTCGTGCATGCTCCGTTAAAAGATCTTGTCAAGTGGTTGGAAGGACGTAAAAGGATGCAATTGATGCCAGGTTGTACTCGTACGCACTGGGACTTCAGGACTTGCCACAAGAAATCGTGGAATAATGGAATTGGCTGTGAGATAGCTATTCTCCTCTCTCCACTCTCTCTAGCGATGTCCGTCCAGTGATTTCTCGCTGCTAGTTCAAGTGATAACGCAGCCGTCCTTCGACTCGTCCTTGTCTCCTGCATCTTTTGCTTGAGCTTGTTCTTCTTGCAATTTTTTCTTCAAACGGGCATCACGTCGTACGAAATACCCGGCCGTTCGATTGAGTTTCAAGTGCCGTTGATGACGACGAATCCGTTCCCGTTCTTGTTCAAGCTGTTCTTCGACGACATTCATCCCGTAATAACGTGATGGCATGCCATTCCGTCGAGCAGCTTCTGGTCCATAATGGTGTGCAAGCCACACCTCTTCATCAATACCATAGAGAGGACGTGCTTGAAGGTCCGGGGCACCTTCAGTAGCAGCATAGGGATGTTGGGTCTTTCCTGATGTATCGTACGACTGAAAGCTCTGAATTGGACGGGAAGCATCGTATTCACCTCGTTTTTTGACGTCCGAGAGTACGGAATGAGCTTCACTGATGTGTTTGAAGCGTTCGGCTTTGATCGGATCATTGCCAGTCACATCTGGATGGAGAGATTTTGCTATCGAAGAGAGTTGAGCTGAGTTGAGAAGAAGAAGAGCATTGGAAAGAGAGTCAAGATCATCACGTACCAAGTTGAAAGTAAGCGGTTTTAATCTCCTTGGACGATGCACTTCTAACTTGTTACGAGCATGAGAGACGAGTTACAAGATGCAATGGGATGATATGACAAAGAGGTTCATGAAAGCACGACCTGGTAACGTTTAGTATGCGATAATAATCCATTTTGAGGAATTGGTAGCTGTAACGACTTTGAGATGGAAAAGAAAGCTGAACAATGGGGTGCTTCGAGACTACAAATATGAGGCAGGGGGGAGGTTGTTGTTGTTATGTTATCGTTGACTTCCATGTGTGGTGAAACAAGGACAACCCCATCATCATCTATTGTCGAGTATCTGTATCAAATCTACTTGTTCTTGGCAGCTTGTGCTTTCTCGTACTCGTTCATTAGCTTCTCTTGCATATCACGCATGACAATACCATGAGTCTTGTACTCCATTGTAAACTCGCCCTTGCCTTGTGTAGATGATCGCAAGTCGGTCGAGAAACCAAACATATTTTGCAACGGCACGTCGCACTTGACAACCGTCTGCATGTCATCGGCATCACTGCTGTTGATAAGACCACGACGACGGTTCACTTCGGCAATAGCCGTACCTTGGAACTCATTAGGTACTTCCACTTCCACAGCCATTACGGGCTCAAGAATACACGGCTCAGCTTTCAAAAACGCCTGACGAATAGCCAGCACCATGGCCGTGCGGAAAGCAAGCTCGCTCGAATCCACCGAGTGTGACTGGCCATCATTCACCACTACACGCATCCGTTGTACGGGGTGGCCGATAAGCCAACCCTTCTGGACAGCATCGTTCACACCCTTTGCACACGCCGCAATGTACTCGGGCGGAATAGCGTTACCGACAATTGCGTTCTTGAACACGACACCCGAAGTGTTACCCTCGTTGACAAGCTCTTCCACCTCTTCGTCTGTGAGTGGTTCAACGTATCCCACCACACGGGCGTATTGTCCAGAACCGCCACTCTGCTTCTTGTGAAGGTAGTTGAACTCACTGCGCTGACGAATCGTCTCGCGGTAGTTTACCTGCGGCGCACCAGTCTCCACGTCCACGCTGTATTCACGCTTCATACGCTCGACGTAGATCTGCAAATGAAGCTCACCCATACCACTGATGATCGTTTCCTTGCTGTCATCATCCACACGCACGCGAAATGTCGGATCCTCTTTTTGAAAACGATTAAGCGCTTTGGAAAAGTTGCCAACCTGCTGCTTGTTTTTGGGCGTGACGGCCAAAGACATAACCGGCTCGGGCACGTGCAGACTCGTCATTGTAAACTTGCCCTGGTTTGTGTCACTGAACGTGTCCATACTGGCACATTCAACACCAAACATGGCAACGACATCACCAGCACCAACCTCCTCCACCTCTTCCATCTCATTCGAGTGCATCTTTACCAGACGCGGCACCTTAATACGCTTCATGTCGCTCATGTTGTAAATGAAGCCGCCACGTTTGAGCGTACCAGAGTACACGCGCATGTATGTAAGCTGACCAAACTTGCCCTCCTCGAGCTTGAAAGCCAGCGCTAGTAATGGTGCCTCTGGAGAGCACGGTACACTCACACGAGCCTCACTGTTTGCCTGGTCGAGAGCAAAATTCTCAATCTCCGACGGGCTCGGCAAATACGAAACGACGCCGTCCAACATTGGCTGCACACCACGATTCTTGAATGCTGAGCCCATCATTGCCGGTACAAACTTGTGCGCAATCGTAGCACGACGAATGGCATCCTTTAGTTGCTCAATACTCGGCTCTTCTTCCATCAAAAATATCTCTGCAATGTCATCATCGACATCTGCAAGTGCTTCAATGAGTTCCAACCGTTTTTTCTCCGCTAGTAGACGGACATCAGCCGGTATCTCGTCACTCTCTTCAATCACTTCCCCACTCTCGCCCTTGTTACGTAAAGCCTTCATAGTCAAAAGGTCCACGACACCTTCCAAGTTGTTTTCAGTACCAATTGGAACTTGTAAAGCCCACGCATTGAGTTTAAGTTGCGTCCGTAAATCTTCAATAACTTTCCAAGGGTTTGCACCCATTCGATCAAGTTTATTGATAAATGCAATACGTGGAACACCGTATCGTTTCATCTGTTTATCCACCGTAAGGGATTGACTCTGTACGCCAGAGACACCACAAAGAACAAGGACCCCACCATCTAAAACACGAAGGGCTCGTTCAACTTCAATTGTAAAATCCACATGACCCGGTGTATCAATAATATTAATATTTGACTCTTTCCAGGAACAATAAGTTGCTGCCGATTGAATCGTAATGCCTTTTTCCCGTTCCAAGTCCATGGAATCCATTTTCGCACCGACGCCGTCTTTCCCACGTACATCATGAATTGTATGAATCCGTCCCGTATAAAAGAGAATTCGTTCAGTTAACGTGGTTTTGCCAGAGTCAATATGAGCAGAAATCCCAATGTTCCGAAGGTTTTTCATGTAGCCATTTGGAACAGGAAACCCCGGGACAAAAGGTGGTGGGACATTTGGATCGGACACAACAGCAGCAGCACTATGATTTCGAAAAAGAAAGGACGTCGTGGACGTGAGATGGAGGGAAGGAGATGGACGACGACGTAGACTTGTAATGGCACGGGATAAATGGAGCCAATGCATTGCAAGAATTGGTGCTGCTTGGAGTCTTATGGACGAGGAGCTCAATTAAATCCTGACCATTCGTTTTTTATTTTGACTGGTGGGGAAAAGGGCGTGTGATGATTGGTGGAAATCGTGTCTTGGATGGATATGATTGGCTAGAAAGTATGATTGCGAACCGGGATGGGGTTATTAGTACATACACTATAAACTGTCGCAGGTACAGTGGGTATTTTTTTATGTTTTTTTTGTAACCTCAAGTGTATGGATAATGAAAGTAAAGAATAAAAAAATGAGACCTTTTTTTCCATGCTCAGTTCCAAATTTGCGACAAAATGAGTCCAAGTGGTCGTATTTCTAATGAAAAAAGAAACGGATTGTTTCTATGACTGAAGTAGCTTTTGCTGGGGCGATCTCTGGAGGTACATGGACATTTTATTTACTTCTAATCAGATTATCTTTTTATTCTCATTTATTTTTATTCTCATTTATTTTTATGTAAAATATATATATATATATATTTATCAGGTATGACACGATTAATCGCTGCACCTCTGGACCTTCTCAAGATTCGATTCCAAGTTCAACCAGGATCGCTCTCAAGCACTTCATCAGGACTTAAATATTCTACTTTATATCAAGCGATCCATAGCATTTATGCTGAAGAAGGTCTTCGAAGTTTTTGGCGAGGAAATTTAGCGGCATCGGGACTCTGGGTCGGTTATTCAGCTCTACAATTTGCTACGTATCGTGTACTTAATACAAAGTGCTGGAAAAAGGACGGAGATGACGTTAAAGTTGGTATGCCAACAGTACTGATTAGTGCTTTCAATGGAGCAATGGCTGGTGTTACGGCCACTGTCGTCACTTATCCACTGGACCTCTTTCGTACAGCATTTGCTAGTCAGGGAATGCCCAAACGATTCCCAACGATGCGTAGTTTGGCATTGCACATGTGGACAACACAAGGCTTTCGTGGATTTTATAGTGGTTTGGGTGCGACAACTTTTCAGATTGCACCGTACATGGGGCTAAGCTTTGGCATTTATTCGACGTTGAATGAAGTAGCGGCACAACATCGTAGCAGACAAGAGAATGTTGATGCAGATGTGTGGATGCCGCTGTCGACCGCTCTATCGTATGTTGGAAGTGGAGCTGTGGCTGGATTTGTATCGAAATTGGTGGTGTATCCGTTAGATACAGTCAAGAAGCGCATGCAAATGCGTCATGTACCACGCTGCGAAACGTACGGCGTTATTCCAATGTACTCTTCAAGTTGGACGTGCTTCTTTGACGTGTTACAACGGGAAGGTATTCGAGGGCTTTATAAAGGCACAGTACCTAGTCTACTAAAGTCTGTAGTCACCGCGAGTACGACTTTTGCGACATATGAGTTTACACTTGAAGCAACGCAGCACTTTTTCATCCATAACGACAACGAGGAGTGGACGGACTTGAAGACACTTAACACGAAGTGAAGCATTAACGCAAATGATTATTTATCCCGAAAGCTAGAAGAGTTGCTCCAAGTGCATGATCACAAGTGCCTTCTTGATCATCGAAAATCGATTGATAGCTTACGAAAGTATGCCGAGTCTGATTAGGTGCATACTGTTGAATTGTTTACTTACTTGTACGTCTATCCATGAGCCACGTACTTGTAACTACTCAAGATAGAAAAACGAAGGAAGCAAAAAAGTCAAGACGTGGATATCGTAGTTTGGAAGAGCTGTTGTTAACCTTCAAGGCTGTCGTTAAATAAAACATGCAGCAAAATATCGCATTCGAACAGCTAAACAAGATAAAAAAGAATATAATAGAACAGTGTGCGGTCAGGATGTGGACATGGCTGAAGACGAGGAAGCTAGTGACGATGGAGACACCGCGGTCGAAGTCGTGACGGACGGAGTAAGATGCCGATTTTGGTAGAATCCTTCTAGAAAATGTAATCGTTGGGCATCGCTTACAAGTCGCTCCATCGACATCTGCATTTAGGCGTACAAAAAAAATGATCACAAGCATTAAGACACACAAACACAATTATAAATGCACAACGATGGAGAGAGAGACGTACAGTTTTGGCGTCTTCAAGCACAAAACGGCGAATGGCTTCGGTGTCGCTCATATTTTTGAATACTGCAGCTCTTGATGAAGATATAGCAATGGCCGATGGAAGTGCGTTGGTACCGTCGAGATTACTACTACTACGACTTCGTCCGAGACTGCTTCGACTATTGTCAAACGAATTCTCTGATAACAATAAATGACGAGGCGATTCTGTCCTGCTGGTTGAGCCACCCAAAGAGCTTGAGCGCTTGCAATGGTGCCCCACTGTTTGGCTGTGACGACCTACAAGATCGATAGACGTTAATCGCATGCGTCGATTTTGGTTCAGCATGGTCGCTGGTGTTCCACTAGCGACTTTCCGTTGAAAGTTCCAAAGCCGGTTCGGACGATTGGACGTGACAGTATTATTGTCACCAGTGATCCACGCATGTGACGAAGATGTGCGTTGCATTTTATGACGATTCGATTGTCGAACTCGATCCGAGTCTCCATTTGCAGCAGCAAATCGTGTCAATGGTATTGGTACGGATTGACTAAAATCAGTACACTGAGTCGTATCATGGACTGACAACTGTTGCACTTGTTGCTCATCATGTTGACGTCTCGAATGTGCAGCGAGTGCGTCATCATTATGTTGAAATGCAAGTTCCAGCTGGTTTACACGATCTTGCAATGCATCTTTCCAATTTTCTTCTTCGTCGTCCTCGTCTGCCCATTCTTCCATGGACTTGCGTTGCTACCAAAAACATATGGAAAATAAAAAACCATAACCGTTACTTCACAACCAACCAACCAAACAAAAAGTACCAATCGTGTCGTCTACTACTTCAACATGTAACAACAACAGCAACGTACTGCAGAGTGAAGTAGTGGGATGATATCAGTCTTATTGTGCTGGAAACTGGCGTCATCCTCCACCACAACTTCATCGTTCCACATGGTTTCGTCATCGTCATCATTTAGAGCCAGTTCAATACCTGCATCTGAAGCAATTGATACATTACTGTCTCTTTGCTCCAGCTCTAAATAAAGCACGTCCTCATGTCGTTTTTCTTTATCACCAAATATCGAACGAAACGTGCGATTCGCACGATCTTCTCCAGTCATAGCAACGTTTATTATTCCCTCACGTTCTCCTTCTTCTTCTTCTTCTTTTCTCTTTTTTTCTTGAGCAAGAGACAAAGCAGCAGAGACGAGAAAAAGAAAAACGCCGGTCTAGAAGCGCAGCATGCCTGTTAGGCCCCACTTGATGTCCGTCTTTTTTTCGATCTCTTTGATCTTATATGGGTATAAATATATGTGTGTGTCTGTAGACTAATAAGTACGAGGTTCGCACGCTTCTTGGAGGTTTTTTCTGGTGGAAAATGACGGATGCAACAGCCCCCTCGTTCCTGGACGTTAAGAAAAGTAGATTTTAACCAATTGAAATGAGGAATGGATTGGAAAATTAACGAATCAGCTTATTATGAGAAATGCTAGGTTGGTTCTAGCATCGAAATAGACTGGGGTGACATGTATCTTCTTCTTTGATTGCGTCATCATTTCCCTAAAAGATTGTGACGGTAGTGGTCCACCAGAGTAATCCACTTGTCCATTATTCTATAATTTTAGTCCACCACTTTGGATTAAAATGCCTTTTTGGTCCGCCAACGATGAATCAATAACCTACAATTGTCTCCATGCAACAGCCCCTACGGCATGAAGGATCATGAATCGATCTGATGTTCGTGTGATTGCAATTATAGAGTACAGATTAGATCCACTTTCATTCACCGGAATGCATCTAGTCCTGTCGATCTTACCTCTTACAGCATCCATATCTCCATAGCCGCGTTTTGTGATGACGGTGTTGTGATATGTTTTTCCCAAGCGAGATTGCAACAGACGGCGCATGTAACAACAAGTGGGATGAAAGGCTACAGATTGTACAAGTAGTAGAAAGGCTGTCTTGATAAACATTTCATATGGGAATTTATACCTTCAGTCCTTGCTACTAAATTTATACCTTCAAGTCTTGCTACTATTTTGCATTAGCTTGTATCAATTTCCCTGTTACATCCTACTTTTGTCAATATAGAAACAATAATACCATATTGTGACGCAGCTAGTTTTGTAACATTTGTGTTTCTACAAATTGTGCCACCAGTCATACCAACAATGAAGCGTATGGCCGACACCATCAATGGAAGAGACTCAAAGCAAAGTGCCTCTAGCAACAGCCACAGCGATAATCCACGAGATTTTAAACGTATTCGTTGTGTAAATGAAACTCAAGAGGCTATTGGAATGACTCTTGTTACTGTAAAGACATTAGCAGACGAGAAAGAGACGGATTCGCATCGATTGGCACAGCGTCAAAAGCAAATTGATTACGGTAAAAACACGATCGGTTATGATCGTTATTGTGCTCAAGTATCCAAGCACCAACGTCGACGGGGAAAGCATCCAATGACACCAGATAAAACCATGCGTATAGGTAAAAAGGGGTTTGATGGGATCGTACGTAAATGGCGACAAGCATTGCACAAATATGATCCACCAGAGCTAGTAGAAGGTACTAAAGCAATGATATCCAATGAGTTCATTCCAGTGAATGCAATGACAAAGACTCTTGATGTTGATGCAATAACAGTAAAGTCAGAGGAAGAGGCAATCTCAATTGCCGATTGTGAAGGGAAGAATTCGATACTGTTAGAAAGTAAGATTCCTTCATCTAGTCGATCAATTTACGAGAACTTTGATGAAGATGATTATGACAAGGACGACTCGGACGATGACTTGTTGTAGCTTAAGACTCATCACGTTATCAGTAGATAGACGTAAAGCAATACTATCAAAAGGATACCAATTACATAGAACTGTTCTTTGAATTACTTTGAAGCTGCTAGAAATTCTCGTCGCAGTGCTAATGCTTCAAGGAACAAATCAATGTCCAAACTATCGACATTACGTGCGACTCGTGCCACCAATTGAACTTTTATCGTGCCCTACATGCACATCAAGCTCACTTTAGTATCACAAAACTCTATCTCATGTACTCTTACTATACAGAAGCAGTGTTCAGTACCTCTTTATTTGTCGTATAAGTCTCACCTAGGAATTGATACATGGAGTGGAGTTGCAAGCGCAAATTTTCAAGAGCGAGTTTTTGTGTCTCGACAGTCATTGAAACATTCTGAAACGATACAGTCGCTACTTGAAGCTGTGCATTGTATGCTTCTAATCTTCCTGTAATTCTCACGGATCGATTCTGGAGCTGAGGATCGTTTAAGACCTCTTTAATCTGACAGATCTCGCAACATCCCGGTGGTGCGACCATTTTTTCCGAATGGTCTTCGTCTAAGGTAACCTTCAAGCGACATTAATCACTGGCTCGGATGTTACTCGAAGTCCAACGCAATAAGAACCAGTCAATTCAAACAGTGTAGCCATGACAAAGACGACTTCAGCCAACAGGACGATGACGGCTGCTGCTGCTGTTTCTGTACCTCGTGGTCGCCCGGTGAGTGGTCGTGTATGGAAGAAAGTGCAGAAAACGCGCTTTTCAGCGCAGGGAGTCAAGAGCGCAAAGGTGTTGAACTCGACGTGGGAGGAAAAAATGCTCAAACGCTCCAAGCTTAAAGAATTGAAAGAATTACAGACGGAAATTAAAGCACGACGACAAGCAGAGCGTGATGCAAAGCGTCAGGCACGTGAGGAGAAGGAAAAACGTCGGAAAGAGAATGAACTCAAATCAGCTGCTGTCCAAGTGGTGCGTGGGTCAATGGCTCGAGTGTGTGATTTTGGGGACTTTAGATGCTAACGTTCTTTGTTTGTGTGTGTTTGTGTTGTTGCTGTAGATCTCACGTACACATCGACTCAAGACAATGAGCAAGAAACAGCTACGGAACATTAAAAAGACAATTGTAAACAAACAGGGTGTGGTGGAATACGTGCCCGTTTACTCCAAGTAGACGACGTACGGATCACGGCTGATAACAGACAGGGACTGGAGCGTCAGCATGAAGGATGTACAGCGTGCAGATCGCCTTGATCCGTGATATTGGACAATTGTTTTACTGTTTGATGCGCAGCTGGAACGAGTTCCATGTCTGAGGTGTAGCCATGTAGGAGACAGCATCACTGTCAAATGGTCGACTTTATTTTTACACATACAAAACCCCCATTTATAATCGACCTGTTAGGGTTGTTTGTTCTCGTATACAATTAATAAGATTAAAATTGACGACAAGTCTGCAAGTCGCCATTGTAACGACTCTTCCTTAGTACGACCGTTGATAGTTTACGACTATCCATAATGGGGAATGCCGGAATCAAAGACACTAGTGACAGCAAAAATGAGATTTACGTTGATGAAACAAACGGTTAGCAAAAAGATCAGTTGATAAGTTCCGTTCACCTTAATTTTTATGGTTTGAATCATTTCATGCACAGACGAAGTCTTGACGGAAGCTCTACGTGTGAATCTGCAACGGTTGATCGTCTTTGCGTGCTCTGCGGATACGACTTTGCAACGAGAAATTGCCGAGAAATTGGCCAATGAGGCTGTCAAGCGTACGTGACAGAGGACATTCTGGAGCTAAGGTTGGATCATTGACATATTGCTGGGGCTTTTTTTCGCTTTCGGTAGCCGATCGACAAGTACAAATAGTCGAATTGGACGGACTGCAGCTGCTGCTACCATTAACCAAGTCAAAGGATGCAGAGGTGCAGCGTCTAGCAGCACATGCTCTTGCCAACCTCTCCGTCAATTGTAAAAACTGTCTAGTTCTGAGTATCTAGATGCAGTTGATTGATTGAGATGGTGTTGCTTTCTTGCAATGACTACAGCTGAGAATCAGTCTAAAATGGCCACGGAAGGAGGCATTGATATGCTAATTGACCTCTTAAGTAGTTCAAACGAACACGTGCAGCGTCAAGCTGCAAAGGCACTTGCTAATCTTGGCGTGAACGGTTTGATAGCTAGTTCTTTATGATTGATTCTGGGGTCAGGGTGTTTTGTTTAATGGCGTTTTGTCTTGGTTGTGTGATGCTTGGTAGTGGACAACAAGGAACGAATCGCTAAGGCGGGTGGCATTAAACCGCTTATTGACTTGGCTAACTCGCACCAGATCGGAGTCGCTGTCGAGGCCATTGCAGCACTTGCAAATTTGGCTGTCAATGGTAATGTTTTTTTGACAAACGCTGCTTTCTGATGTGTCATGCGGTTTTCATGCTGCTTACTGATGTGTCATGCGGTTTTCATGCTGCTTACTGATGTGTCATGCGGTTTTCATGCTGCTTACTGACGTACAATGCTGCTCTGTGCACGAACATCAGACGCCAATGAGGTGGAAATTGCACGAAAAGGAGGCCTGAAGCCTATTATTGACGGAGCGCACTCGGAATCTATTGAACTCCAGTCGCAGGTGGCACGTGCACTTCGTAATCTGTCTGTCAATCGTACGTTCATGTTTGTCAATCTGTTGATTTGTTCAGCACTTTTTGCACGGATTGACAGCAATGCTATGGATACGATTGTAATTTCAGCCGAGAACAAACAAGCGATTGTGGACTTAGGTGGGGTAGAAGCTCTGCAGTCACTTGTCCGTTCTATCAACGATCGGATATGCCAGCAGGCTACACGTGCGCTCGTTAATCTTGGCGTCAACGTTGTCGACTAGGTAATGGCTAGAAAAGCTATTCTGAATGCCTGCAAGAGGAGCAGCCACAGCATACTCGAGTCCATGACTGTAATCTCTTCATTCATCTTATGTGCAAGCTTCATTTCTTTGTGTTCAAACAAGCTACCCTTTAAGGAGTGAAATTGGCTGCGTCTTTCAGCCACGGCAAAGCCGAGCGTGCTCACGCCCCTTGTCGCCTTCTGGCACGTTCTTCTGTCCTTTTGTTCGCAAGCCACGACCCAGCGCCTGGAACACCAGCAGCCGGGACCTGTGGCATCATCGTACGACGTTGCATTTCTGTTCCAATCTATGCAGGAAAGCGTCGTTAGCATCGAAAGAAGACGACAGCCACGAAGGCAACGGCTAGACTTTACCTCGTAAAACGACGACATCATGAGTGCCTGCTCGCGCGAATACGAAGCGCGAATCTCTTTCATCTTTTTTTCCAGGAAATCCACACGTTCCTGCTTCTCGTTGACCTGGTTTCGGTGTGAACTCACTGCCACCATATACTTTGTCTGCACAGCGTGAAGTGTTTTCTTCGTGTAATTTTCGAGCTTTGCACGCTGTTCCGATAGCTCGTTGATCACGGACTCTTTTTCCTTGAGACGCTTTGTCAACTCGGTCACCGTTGCGCGCAATGAATCGACCGCTTCTGCCTCAATTTCCTATTGCATCAGTGCATAGAAGACGAAAGTTCAGGCATACAGGTGAGTAGAGAAACCTCAAATCTAGATTCAAGGCCCTTTGACGTACCAGCCTGTCGAGCTTGTCCTGGTATTCGGCAATTTGGGTTGATGAAAGTGCATTGTTGCTGCTGGTTACCACGACAGAACCGGAAGTAAGTGTAGGAGCTTGCATGGCTCCACCCGGTCCCATTGCAACGCCTGCTTCAAGCATAGCTGGTGTCGCAAATCCGGCAGTTCCTGCCGCCGCTACTCCTTCGCTAACTGCCATATCATTTGAGACCTGCATCGGCTCTGGTCCATCCGGTGCACTCTGACACTGTCCCTGCTGCTGAGATAGGCCCTGAGTCTGAGCCTGTTGAATCTGTGCCAGCATTTGTTGTTGCTGTTCGTTTTGGATTCTCGCGTTGCGTAAGTCTTCCGACAGCTGGTCATTCTGTTTCTGCATCTGGAATAGAGATACTTGGAATGACTCCTTTGCCTTGATTGCCATGTCCAAATCGTTTGCTAGCTCTGCCTGTCCTGCATCAGCATTGCCACTCTTCAGCTCAGCATTTTCGCGCTCAAGTCGAGCCACACGCTCTCTCAATCCACTAACAGAATCGCGACCAAGTAACATATCAGCACTCAAACCTCCTCCGGTGAGCCCGCTACTCTCGCCCGCAGTCATTGCGTCATCGTTGCTTTCCCGGTATTGAATACTTGCAAGTTGTGTGCGGAGCTCCTCCACTTGGGACTCGAGAAACTCTTTTCCACCTAGCGCGCTGTCAAGCTCTTCTTGCAGTCTCCGGATCTTCTGTTCCTTAACATTGAGATTGGAGCTTGCCTGCACATTGGCCGTCTCAAGCTCCACCACCTGATTTTTGTACTTTTCAACCAGACTTTTTAGTCCAGGCATAGTTTTGATAGTGCTTTCCAGGTCCACAACTTTATCCAAGTACTGCGTGTTAAGGGTCTCCAGTTCACGCACCTGACCACGCAGCGCGTTCATTTCCTCCAGTTTTTTCTTGAACTTGGTCACACTAGCTTCAAGTTTGTTCAGTGTTCCAAGTTTGGATCGCGAAATATCAAGCTCGTCAGCTTGGCGACGAACTTCATTTTCCAGCATCATCAGGCGTTCTCCCGACTCGCGCTTGACACGCTTTAATTCCAGGTCCTTTTCTTCCAGATGCATCTGCAAAGCGTGAACTTCATTGTCGACAATTTGTTGGATTTTTTTGTTGTCACGCGTGAGTGTATTCTGGCGTTCACTGCGCAACTGGTCACGTTCACTTTCGAGAGCCGTATACTTTTCGGCAAGCTCTCGGTTTTCCGTCAAGGTACGTTCAAATCGCTCTGTCATTTCACGCTTTTCACGTTCCATATCCAAATATCGAAGTTCCATTGCGGAGCTCCGCTCCAGTGCCTGAGTAAGTTGTGTAGCTAGCTCTTCAGCAGAATTACCCACTGTTAACGCAGAGACTGAAACTGGCGATGACGATGGTGCAATATCATCAAAGGACGCTCCATGGGTCATTGAATTCCGACGACTTGCAGTTGAAGTGCCACTAGGAGACGTAGCTTGAAAACGACGCATTAGATTCTCAATTGCGTGCATTAAACTTGCCTGTTCAGATGCATCCATCTGCATGATCGGGTGAATGTACTCGGACTTGTTTGGACACTGAACAGCACATCCTAAGAGTAATTCGGTAAGCTTGGATACTTCATGTACATCATTTTCTTTAGCAATTAGCAATGGATCCACCAAGTCTTCAGCATGACAAATTTGACCCAATTCGTCGGTATAAAATTGCTCCACTGCACGTAATAACGTCTTGAGATTATTGGATTTAAGTGCCCAATTATTGTCCGATTGCTCTGTAATTTGTTCCAAATTCATGTATTCGGCATCACTAAAACATCATAAAAATGGGTACAAAAAGAAAACACAAAAAAACACAAAAATAGGTCAAAATTTGTTGTGACTTTTTGTGTGCAAATACATAAAAAGACACTTGAGCTCGGACACACATGTGGTGCATAATCTTGGCTAAAAAAACACCGTCACATAAATCTTTTAAACTTGAAATTTGTATATCACTTGCCAAAGTTTCATGAAAACTTTGCACCTATAGAGAGAAATAGCATCATTTTAGTGTTTAAACGCTGATATTTTACGATTATTTTATACACCGATCCTTGTGTCGCGTGATAATTAAACCTCTTATACAGTAAAAAAGCTTTTTATTGTTTTAATACAAAACGAATCAAACAAACGCACCCAAAGTAAAAGACTTCGTCGTGTCGTGTCATTCATGGCGAGCTGCTGGAATGTCGTGGAATGGGAGGATCCTCTCACTTAGAAATTGTGTAGGTTACTTCATTCAATTCACTTAAGTACGAAATCGGTTTAATGGTGAATAAACCAGACACTTCTATTGTTTTAACTGATGAAATGATGTTTTTACTGCACCGGTGTTTTAACATAATTTCTTTTTGACGGACAGTACAGTATACTGTATACAGTATACTGTAGTAACACCACATGCAATAAAAAATCATTGAAAAAAACGGCAGCGAACCATACGTGGTTGTAATCCCTCGCGTTGATTGGTGGAAATTCATCCCTATACACTTTTTCTATACAATCCTCTGAAACATTATAAAGCTCATGTTCCGACGCAGCCACCAGCTCCTCCGGACTTTCGCGCGTCGCAGCGTCGCGTCTTCCTCGACGTCTGCCGCTCGTTTTCTGCACGCACCGTCTCTGATACATTCCGCATTAGCCACTGTAAAATCTCGCATCAATTCGCCCTTCTCGGGTCGTCGTGGTGCATGGCGTTCCATGTTTATTCAGACGGAGCCGACCCCGAACCCGCAGAGCGTGAAATTCCTTCCAGGACGCGTTTTATTGGACGATCGGTTTACGACCGGCGTGGTATTGAACTTGATGACGTCATTATAAACTGTGAGATGTAATATTTCTAAGTGGTGTTTTTTTAGGATTTTACACCAAATTCCGACGAAATTCGTCGCTCGCCATTGGCTAAAAAACTGTTTCAAATCGAAGGTATTATACGCGTTTTTTTCGGCAAGGATTTTATCTCGGTTACAAAAATCGAAGATGAAGATTGGGATGTACGTAACGGATAATATATTATCGTGGAATCTGATATTGATGAGATATAAAAACAAAGAGTGAGACTGAGCTAAAAAAGTGGTTGGGTTTTGTTTGTTTGTCATGTAGGCACTCAATGCCGAGATTTTTGCCACGATGATGGATTTTTTTGCATCTGGTGAAAATGTCATGTCGGATGAGCCGATTATTACCGTGAGATGAAAAAATTGGAGACATTTTTCTTGCAAAATATTGACTGAAGTCTAAGAAAATATGATGGTGGTCTTTGATTTTTGTTTGTTTGCTACAGGACACGACGATTTTACCTGATGACGATGAAGTGGTGGCTATGATTAAGGAGCTTTTGGAGCAACGGATTCGACCTTCAGTGCAGGACGATGGTGGAGATATTTTTTACAAGGGCTTTGATGAAAAAACGGGGATGGTGATGGTTCAGCTTGCAGGTTCATGTGCAGGTTGTCCAAGTTCTTCTGTTACACTCAAGCATGGCGTGGAGAATATGCTGAAGCATTATATTCCAGAAGTACGTGGTATTGAAGAGTGGGTAGACGAAGAGCTTAATGCAGTGAGTGAGAAGGAGTTCCGGTCGCTTGAAGAAAAACTACGCTCCGTTGGTATTCCTAGCGAGTAAAATGAACAGGGCGAGCATGTGAATTGCACGCTGGAAGACAATGCTGACGAGATCACGAGAGGAGTCGAGCCATTAGCAGCAATTAACTGAAAAGAATGAAGGATGCAAAGGATGATGCCAATCGGTATGACTGGTTTTAGGAAATCTGCTTGGTGTATTATGAGCAAACATTGACGCTGCAGCATAAGATTGTTTTTCTTGTCTATTGCTGTCCTATTCGACGTCAATATGCTCGTGAGATGTAAATATAGGCATTGTCACGAACCTATTCCTGGAACCCCTTTGCACGACATGTTGGCCGAGACATTTGAATTGAAAAGCTGTTAAAACCGCTGTTTCACAACTATTTTTGTCCACGTTCTTGGTGTTCTGGGATATGTTTTGGGAAGTGTGCGATGATGCAAAGCGCAATCGCATGTGAAAAAGAGCTGCTCCCCTTTACTTGCCAGAAAAAAGTAAGAGGTGCTTAGACGGGTGCCAAGATATTCCTGTTGGCATTCTAGTAGATTTCAATCGTGTGTGTGCCCTTCCAGCTTACCCCACTCCACAAGTCCACTCAATCAGATATCGTATCGACAATGCATCCACGCACCACAATGAGCAGGTATTTGTTGTGATTCATGTCCGTTCTTGTGATGTTGCGACAACTCACAGTCGTGCTCTGTGCAATGTCATTCTAGACCATCTCCCAAAAGGAGCTTGTCGTGTGCGGGTCTCGATAATCTTGATGAGCTTATTCGTAATTCCGATAACCATCGCCCTTCCCCGAGACGCAAACGCCATCAAAGTCTTAGCAATTTCATTGCCCTCAATTTTGCGACGCCATCGTCACCTGCATCTTCTTCGAAGGTGCTGCACCGTCCCGATCTTCCTCCATTTGATGAAAGTACGTGCCTCATCCGCTGTCGCTCAAACCCGACGAGGATCGCATTGCTAATTTTAGCTGTTTCATGTATCGTTTTGCAGAGTCTAGCTCGGGTGGAGAGTCACAACAGGTAGCGTCTTCTTCGGTTGAGCTCAGGTCTCCGGAGGTGTCTTCCCATCATGTTGAAGCGGTTGATCAACACCGCAATCCTCGTTCCGATGATCGGAATAACAATTGTGAAGACGAGCACAGCGATGGTCTTGACGATGATTATAATGATGAGGATGCCAGCTACGGTAAAGTTCACGACGACCCGAACAGTTCTGTGCCAGATTTGTCATCTGAGGAGCCTCAAGATGTGTTTGAGCACAGGCTCAAGCTTGACCATGATGCGCTCGATGCAAAGCATCGGGACCACAACATGTTTATCCTGCCATCGCACTACTCTTCGAATAGCGAGTGCTCTCCACGAGAAGAATTCCTCGTCCAGGCTTTTGGCCCCAATAGCTTCAAGCTGTATGGCGCTTCTGAATCAAACAACGACGAGTCGGACGAGAGCCTCAGTGATGACAGCAGTAACAATGACAGAGATCAAAGCTTATCCAATCATGAAAACATGATTGCAGATGCTGACACGGAGCTCAAGATGTCTTTTAATGAGCTTGAGGCTGACATTCGTGGTGCAATGCATGAAAATCCTCACCACCAGCAACATTCGACACGGCTACCGGAACTCGCAGATTTGTCCCACAAGTCGTTTGCGTTGTCTTCGAATGATCCATTCGGACCAGGCCGCAGTCCTAGCTTTCTTCGAAACAACCAGGATGTACGCCGTGTATCAGTGTTTACCCGGCCGCAGGACACTCGCCCTCATCTTCTGCCAACCCAGAAAGAACCTGGGTACTTTCCAGGAGGGCAGCATCACCATAGTCCTTCGTGTGTATCATTGCTGGGAAAGACACCTCAAAGTAAGGGAAGTACTGGGGTCCAAACATCTACAAAATGGCTTCGTGACGAAGATGATTGCCTTCGTGAAGCAGTGGCGCGCTTTGGTGGCAAGAACTGGAAGATGATCGCCGAAACGTTAGGGAATGGCCGTACGGATGTTCAGTGTCTACATCGTTGGAACAAAGTACTCAAGCCAGGCTTGATCAAAGGGCCCTGGACACCAGAAGAAGATCGTATCTTGACAAGCCTCATCACGCGATACGGCATAGGCAAGATTCGTTGGTGTGACCTTGCTCTGCATTTACCAGGACGAATTGGCAAGCAATGTCGCGAGCGGTGGTGCAATCATCTCGATTCCCGTATCCGAAAGGGTCAGTGGACTCCCGAGGAAGACGATATGGTCTTTTGTTGGCAGCAAAAGTTGGGCAATAAATGGAGTGAAATTGCGAAGCTACTTCCTGGACGCACCGAAAACGCTGTGAAGAACCGATTCAACTCAGCTGCGCGTCGCAAGTGGCTTATGAACCAGGCCAGTAAGTCAGCATCGAGCCTCCTCATGCCGACCACACCAGCAAATCAGACTCGGGCTCCACATAATCAGCAACATTCATTGTTGCAGCCATCATCACTGCATCAGGAGGGCAATATCTACGACGTCAGCACAAATCTGTACGAAGGTGAGAAAGTTTCACCATTGTCCGAGGCATTGGAAGACCACCCGCATAAGAAGATTCTGCCACTTGAACGTCAGAACTTCATCCAGCACTTTTCGATTTCAGAAGCTCCTGGAACCAGTAATTTGGATGAAGCACGCAGTTTTTGTCCAGCTTTAACCATGGGCAGTGAACAATGCTTTCAGCAGCAAGACCACGATACAATCGATGAGGCCACGAAGGACGACTCGATGCCATTGACGACACCACCTACTTTTGTACCGCCTCCACTCAGCGCTTTCTTTTCTCCTCCGACGAACAGTAGCATTGATGCTGATTGCATGTTGCATCACCTAGCAAATGGAACTGGTAAAGACGAAGGTCCCATTAGTCCAGTTTTTCCGTTCCCTGATCATCTCCCGGCTCAAGTGCAGCACTCATCCGTCAACGCTACTATGCCTGAAAACCCCACGCCAGGCGCACTTACCGCTGAAGAAAATGTTGGATTCTCTCTTCTCCAGCTGAAGGAAAACAAGGCTGAACGAGGTGATCTCATCTTTCATGCCACACCTGATGTCCTTGTGGTCGATACTGTGACCGATGCAAGTGTCCCCATGGATGATGAAAACATGAACAGCTTCCTTGACAGTGTCGCCCTTGAACTTGACGAGATCATGGAGTAAAATGATTGTTATTCTCCTCGTTTCTGAAGGAACCATTCGTCACTACACGCAGTGTTTGTTTAAATCATGAGCTTAGGACAAAACATACATCGAATTCACAACTTCCTCCGCAATTCTGTATTTGTCCATGAGCACTCCGTTGATGCAACCATTGCTCTACATCGTACGTGTAGAGAGCTCGTTCTTGCAGTCGAATGAACGTGACTCGGGTTTCGTCGTCTCATGATCTAGTCTTGCGAGATCGTAAACGTGCAGATGTCCTTGAGCCGGTGTTCGGCACCATCCTGGCCACCAAAAATGTGCACACGCCCATCGCTGTGTATCACAGCACCATGTCCCACACGCCCTCGTAACGCACTCTCGGCACTTCCTTCGTCGGTGAAGGGAGCGGGCTGCCACTCCCACGACTTTGTGTCTAACAAAAATGAATCGCTGAATACGCTTGTAGGCGCACTAGCGTCATCGCGCTGCGGATCCCATCCACCAAAAATGAGAATCTTGCCGTCATTTAAGAGCGTCGCAGAGTGACCTGTACGTTCTTGTGGAGGAACGCCAACTACGCAAGGATGGAACCATCTCCACACTGCATCGTTTGCTCTTTTCTCCACCTTTTGCAATACGTGCACCTCGTTGAAGCTTTTGGAAGAGTCATTGCCTCCAAAGTATACGATCTTGTCATCACCTACGGCGACGGCACTGTGGTATGTGCACGCGGTAGGAGCCTTGCCATCCACTTTCACTGTCTTCCAATTCCAGTCATCTACGATAGCAAAGAACGATTCCAGAAGACACGTCAGCGTACATCGATAACATTATTCCATCGTATCTTGATCATTTCTGCTTACCACTATCCAAAATGTGCACTGCACTTTTCCGGTTTCGTCCTCCGCTGCCGCCAAAAACTACCACCTCGTTTCCAATAGCAGTGCAAGTGTGTCCACTTCTTGCCGAAGGAGGTGATCCACGAATAGCTGGTGGATACCACAAGAAGCACTCTGTGTCTAGCACCATGATGTCTGCAAGGATGTCGACCTTGCCTTCAGCAGCTGCATTGCGCTCACCCCCAAAGACAAGCAGTAAATTCTTTGAAGATAGAAATACTGCATCATGCCACGTGCGTGTGATTGTTTCACAGTTGAGTGGAGTCGTCCAGCGGTGTGTTTTCATGTCAAACACGTGCAAGTCCCCTAGCGTTCGCTCATCGTCATCAGTTCCACCGTATACCACTACGCGCTCATTTGAAATCTTGGTGGTGGAATGACCCCATCGCTCAGCTGGACTGCTTCCTGTGGACTCCACCAACTCCCACTTGATGACAGCTACACAACATTCATGGTCTGCTTGTCAGAATGAAAGAAAGATAACCACGTCTAGTTCCTACTTGCTACAAAACAAACGCACCTTCTGGCTTCCGTTTCGGCGAGCCACTCATTAGTTCCTTGATGGATTTACCCGACGGAGGCTCAGCTCGTGACTTGAGTGTTTTGTTTTGTTTTTTGCTAGAGTCGGGTGTTGTCTTGCGTGAAGTCGAGTGCATGAGGTCGAGTGAAGGTGAAAAGAAAGCATCCGCTCCTTTCTTCACACTCTTCGCTATCGTCTTGCTCGTTTTCGTTGGTGTCTTCTTCTCCGTTTTCACACTGTCAATCCTCGTCGATTCCAAAGCTTCAGCAGAATCAACCGACTGCATATCCTTGTGTGCTCCACTAGCTTCCTCCCCTTGCACCTTCTTCAGCCTGTTCCTTTTACTCTCAGTCTCGTAGCTGCTTGAGCTCTGAGAACCATTCAATTGAGCAAGCAGCAATGTCTGCTCCACCTCATTGAGAAAATTCGGTCGAAGCCGTTTAACAGCTTCTTCATCGTCGTCATCATCACTGGCACTTGAGTCAATGGTCGGGCGTTTCTTACTTGAATACGACGTGATTGTCTTGTCACTTGTGATATCTCCTAAACATTGTCACGACAGTTACAAGACGATATCGCACAAGTGGTTACACGAACACGTACGTTTTGACAAGACAATGTCCCCTGTAAAGTCCCGACAATGAATTGTAAGTGATCCATTCATGAACTCAAAGTGAATGCCCGTTACGTCGATAGGAACGTCTACTTTCACGTCTTCATACGATACCAACGGCATCTGAACCAAGTCTCGACCAACGTCTTCGAACCGCACGTTTGTCACGAGTCAAATTCTGATTTTGATAATATCGAGAGATGAGCATGAACGTCCAGCTCCACGATGCCGTCGTGCCGTATCTTGTGTCTCCGTATGAAAACTTTTTCTTCTTGATTCACCACGTGAGACTTACAGTCGAGAGTGGCAAGTAAGTGATGCTGTTTTGACGATTAGATTCCTTCATGTGTCGAGTTTTAATGGTTTGCATAGTGGTTATCCAGGTCAAGGAGGCTGTTTTTACGGTAGTGAAGGATGTTGTTACGTCTCGCACTATCGTCTCGTGTTTGTATCGGACCGAGCAATGGAACAGACTGCGTACCAGTCCTTCTCGTTGCCACTTTATGGCATTCGTGACTGGTGCTTTCACGTGAGCTTCCTTGGTATGAGATAGAAATGGTGAGCATTGACAGTAAGAAACAACTCATGGGTCTTGTGATGGTCATAGGTGTCAAGAGTTGGAAAGGACATGTCAATTGTGTTCCAGGTGGAGGACTGGTCGGGGTTGGCAAGTTTACTATGGAGTTCCTGGTAAGTTCATTGATGATATCGTGGACATGGAAGACGGCGTTGTTGACGCGTTTTTCCTGTGGTGATAGAGTGTCGGCTTTGAAGAGTTTCGCAACCATGTACGACCATTGCTCGAGCATTCAAGAGCTTTGCACCGTCAGTTCTGCGACTTGACAAGTCCTTCAGTGTTACTGGTACCAGGAAAAAGGCAAGAAGGGGACGCAATGAGACTCGTTTATTGCTCTGTTGAGGATCCCATGACGCTGTTCCTTGTTGACAAAGTTCCTGCAAGTGCAGATCACTGATTCATGTGCTGGCTGAATCGACTGCAAGTGTACGACAAAATGCAAAGACAAGAGAGGACACCAGTACTTGTAACATTTGTTTCAAGTGGTGGTGTCCAGTACGAACAAAATTGTCACCTACTTGGCATGGATTTGTGCATATGCTACTCTCTATTTGCTTTGAATGACAGTAGAAGTTACGAGAGCGTGTAGTTATTACTCAAAGGACGCTGTTCAAGTTGAAGCCATTGATTAGTGCGTTTAATGTACTTGATGAGAAGACGAACATTGTCAATGCAAGTTTTAAGGAGACAATGATGTTGAAGAGTACTACGATATGTTCAAAAAGACGTAACAGATTCTTAGCTTGCGGCAGTTGCTGTCAAATTTCAAACTGACTGGCAATTTTAACGTCAAGATGAAGGTGAAAACTTAGCCTGAAGTAGCAGCACGCGAGAATACGTCTTCGATTGTACTTTCCATGTAAGGAAGTTGAGTCTGTTACATCACAGTGGCACAGATTCTAAGTGTTAATGAGAATATTATCTTAGCTCATAATTTTCACAAGTATTATCTCAGCTAGTTATATTCACAAATACTATCTCAGCTCATACAATAGAGCCTGTCTAAACTGATATTATCGAGACCAAAAGATTTTATCTGATAATGGAGACTATCAGCTAAGTCATTTCCACACACCGACCACACCAACACTTAAACCACAACTGGCACACAGAACCACTACTAAAGATATTTGGCACTTCAGACAAGTTATCCGTTTTGGCAGTATCATTTTATACATTTTCTACTGTATTACCTTTTCCTAAGAAATAGTTGTTGTCGCATTTCCTTGAAATTGGAAATGCCCTTCTCGCTGGATAATATAGGCCATGATTTCAGCCAAAGCGCTGACCAATGAAGGATGGACACGCGCACTGAGTGAACGGCAAGTAGTCGACATATATAGTTGTAGTTTAATGTAGTTACGACAAGTACACTATGTAAAAACCGTTAACATTTTTCTTAAAACTAACCGTGCCGTTACGTTGTATAGCTTTGTAGACGGGCGCTTCTATGAAGCTACTTTGGAACACACCTTCAAGCACGCGAGGAAGCTCTAATCTCCGTGCGCGGTGGTGGGGTGTATGGTCGACCGCTTAAGCGGTCACACCGATGGTTGCCGTTCACCATAGCCAACCACAAACGAACATCTAACAAGTACTTCACCTACGACACGAAAAAGCTTATTCGACTTCTCGTGCGTAGTGAATGGTAGTTATCAAATCGAAGACTGACTTATATGTAATTACAATAATTGAAGATAATTCTTACTACTGATTGGCTAATTATGTAAAGACCGGATACGCGTCTCTTTAAGCGTGTCACTACGTGCGAGCTTAAATATATAAGGTCGCTGATGACTTCCGTCTATGACGTCGCGATGACGCCTAGTCCACCTGGGTGCCATCCTCTTCAATGTGAATACAGTTAATCGATATCACATATACGAATGTGAGTCACAGTGGTGAGCCTTAGGTCTTCAGTACTCACGTACCTCTTAGACCTCCCCTTTACTTATGCAATACCTGTAACATATAGGCACATATAGCCCGTTACACCATCCCCTCCTTAAAACGATATTTACATATTTTTGTAAAACATCGTAAGGGAGTAAGAGGGACAGCAAGCCGTATACGACGAGCCACTTAGTCCACTCGTATTCATTCCACAGTAGCCGATGTGTGTACCTTTCTAGGTTACTAATCATGACAATTATCATGCCACCGAAAAGGGCCGAGATGATGGACACCTGCCCGGCGCCCATCTAAAACAAGCATCAAGCGTACTCACTGCGATAATGTGCCGCCGTCGCCTAGTGTCTCTGTTACAACGCCAGCATCCAATGTCGGGCTCTCTACAGAGCACAAAGATACATCCAACTTATAAAGCGAGAAAGAGGATCCGTCTCTCGTTATGGACTAAAATAAGAGCATGCCACTGCCATTGCCACATAATAGTGATGAGCGCAGCGTGTTAATATGGCATAAGACCCCTATGCAGCTTAACTTTGAGAAAGCTTCTATGCTTCCTGACAGTGAGATTAATGCCTCATTGACTGCGCCAACGAGTGCAGCGCAGCCCCGTCTAAAAAGGAGGCCGACAATTTTTAGATGTCCACCTCATTGGAGCAAAATGCTCCATAGACGACACTGAATTGTGCCCAGTCGGTGTCACAAGCACGCCGTCGCGAGGGCGGCTTCGAGACTGATGGCATATATTCAATCCCACCGTCATCCGAATGTTTAAGGCCGGATGGGAGTAGTGCGTCGCTCCTATAGCGTGCCACTTTTGACGCTGATAGAAAAAGTAGCGTCCTTACATTTTGGAAATAATAGGGGAAATGCCGGGTCGCATTTCCCTATTTCGGTCGTGTCGGGCTCATAAGATACAAATGACGAATAGAAAGAAGAATTTCTGCGCCGTGCACATCTGCATTCTAATTCGTTAAAAGAACGGTCCCAGAAACTTCACTACCAAGCGTGCGAGAGATATTCTGGGTGACAAAATACCCCCTACTGTTTTTCGCCACGTTACCCCTGTTTAGTCCGTCTATACCTAGCAAAGGAGCTGCAGCTGGTGCTTAAACTCATAAGCGAACACCATTCCCAGATTGTCGATACGTCGCACGTCAACCGGTTCCCAAGAGTAGAAACTCTTCGGTTATCCTTTCCATTGGACGCGGATGTGAAGCTTTGCTTTACATAGCGGTGGGCCAACAAAGTTCCATCAAGAAAACGTTTGTTCATATCCGCATCCACCAATGCAGGCGGTGCCCGATATGAGCGGCGATTTCGCCAACCTACTTGCGGCTTACTACCCTGCTGCCATCCTTACGCAGGGGAACAACGGTATGTTGGAAAGACGGGCTGCAGATCTCGAGATTCAAGTCTTACAAACGACTTCGGAATCGCAGGATGTGATAGCAAAAGACCGTCAGAGATACGACCTCCAAAAAATTCGTTTGGACATTTAGAGCGACTGGTAATGAGAGACCTGCGTCAAGCGCGGAGTCCTCATCGAACGCCGAGTCCTCTATCGCCTCGTTCGTATACAGGGAACCTATCGGCTTCATCGTAGCTTGATCGGCCGCGACGATCGACTTACATTCGACGTCACCATCGGTCTCGTTAGACCGATGTGGACATGTGATCTCTTCTGGATCAACATATCGTTTCGGACGACCCACGTAAAATACGGGGTTCTTCTTCATATACAGTGAGAGAGTGAGCTTATGATTTAGGTCTCCAACTTCTTCAACCACTGTAAAGGGCCCAATGCATCGGGTCAATACCTTAGTAGTACCACCAGGTAGTACAGAAATTGCATTTTTAGGTAGGGTAGCAGTACTTAATAGCACTTTGTCCCCGACACTAAAGTGTTCAATTTTTTTGCGATCATGTTGGTCCACCTATTGTTTTTGCCTGTCCTGCGCTTTCCATCGCGCCACGGACTTTACGTGTGATGGCTAATCGCTCATCCACAAAGCGCTGAGCTTCGCTCACGATTTTACCATTCAGCTCGCAAATGCCGCCTCCAAGAGGTTGGTGATGGGTCGAAGCTGCTGATAACGCTAAAATGTTATTGTCAAGGAGTGCAGACATTTCTTACCGTACCTCTTTATTGACACCTATAGGTGTCGTGACCACTGCTAAATTAGCAGTTAATAGGGCAAACTTGGTTCTTTTTGGCATTCGCACCCGAGAGAAGTGAGGTTCCTTCCTCCACTAAGACTCGTGCTGCGCACAAACGAGACTGGCGTCTGAGGATGGCGCTGTCCGTTAATAATGAAACGATGCTTCACCTAAATTGGCGTGAACACTTTTATTGCTTGCGAATTCCACGAATTACAATTGCTTGCTCCATTCTTTAGGAGTCGCTACTGTACGCGATACATCCGCCACGACTCGATTAACTCGTTCTGTTTGGCCATCGTCTAAGGATGATCGGCTGTTGACATGTGAAGCTTTCTTCTCAGCAACTCAAACACATGACGCCAAAAACCCAACGTAAAACGCGAATCCTGGTCCGATACGATGGACTCTGACATCCCGTGTAGACGATCCACGTGATACAGAAACAAGAGGTTAGCCTCTTTTCCTGAGATCTTGGCGCTACATGGTGCTAAATGCATCATCTTGCTCAGTCTGTCTACAAAGACAAACGAGCCCTCTACTGCCTTTATGGTCAGTCGGTAAGCCAAACATGAAGTCCAAACTGACCGACTTCCAACATTCAGTTGGAATCGGCAGTGGCTTCAGTAGCGCACTGTTCGAAGGTGAAGGCTTTATGCGCTGACACTCTTCGCAAGAGCGAATATAGTTGGTCACCAACCGATATAGACGGGGCCACCAAAATCCCTCTGACACGCGTAAGAATGCCTTTTCACGGCCCAGATGCCCACTAGATGATGCATCATGGAACTCGTGAAGTATCAGCTTGAGATCTATGTCATGAGGGACGGGACATAGATTCTCAAGGGATCACAGGGTGACAGTTGATGCCATAGTAGGCCATCACTGTAGCTAAAGCGATTTAACTTCGCTTTCAGGAGCGACGTAAGGGTAACCTTTCGTCCACTAAAGCGATTCAACAGCAGGCGACAATGTTCGTCCTAAATGTAGCACTCCTTTATCTCGAAGTCCATTGAGCTCGTCACATAGTAGATGTCAATGTTGACGACTCAACTTGTGCTTTCGCACGAGACACACTTTCCTGATGTCTTGCCTCGAATTTTAGTCTGCGCGATAACGCGTCAGACAAGACATTTGACTTACCTGGCTTATATCCAACTTTGAAGTTAAGTTCAGAGAAGAATGTCAGCCATGTCGCCATCCTAGGCGAAAGGTGCGGTGAATTTTTAGCGGTCCGCAGTGTTGCGTGATCCGTAGAAACCACAAAAGGCTCGGTGCCCAAGAGTTGCACCCGAAACTTAA